GCAAGCCGAATAAGACGGTCTGCGGTTCGAACTCCAACTTGTTTCGGGCGAGTATACAGTTGAGCTGTCCCCCCCCCCCCCCCTTGTAAGATGAGCTGTCCAACGGACCGGTTATCTTTTTGCTACAGCGGGGCAAACCTGTCCATAGGACAGCTTATGGATAATAGATATTCCGTTCTATTTAACCAAGCTTTAACCGATCGCCAACAAATTTTTACTAAGTCTAACCTACCCTGCAAAAATCAGCTGCAAAAATCGGCTGTAAAAATCGGCTGCAAAAATCGGCTGCAAAAATTAGCTGCAAAAATCGGCTGCAAAAATCAGCTGTAAAAATCGGCTGTAAAAATCAGCTGTAAAAATCAGCTGTAAAAATCAGCTGCCTAAGCTATTGTAAAAGCCCCGCTGCAAAAGCTGTTGTTAAAATTAGCTATAAAAGCAACTGTAAGGGCTGTTGTAAAAGCCTAGCTGTAAAAGCCCGGCTATAAGAGCCTCGCTGCAAAAGTTGTAAAAATTAGCTGTAAAAGCGATTGTAAGGGCTATTGTATTTTTACAGCTGATTTTGCGTATTAGTTACATAGGTTAGAAAATCCGGTCCGGAAGATTAATTATCCAGAAGCTGTCCTATGGACAGGTTTGCCCCGCTGTGGCAAAAAGATAACCGGTCCGTCGGACAGCTCATCTTACAGGGGGGGGGGGGGGGACAGCTCAACATAACACTGGTTTCGGGCCGTGGATTATCGAGGCAGTCAACGAGTAAATTATCAAGATTATTATGTAAGTATTCTATTTTCTCTCGCGCGCTCTAGTCGCCCCTTCGGTTCTACGAGCGATCGTGGCTGCTTATCGTAAGATGCCTTGAGAGAGCGTAATGCAACTGACAATTCATCAAAAGGTTGGATAGGCTTTTCAGGGTCGTGCGAATAAGCGTGGGTAAAACTAAGAGCTTACATGTAGATCCAAATGTGCCAGCTAAAACAGCCTATATGCCGGTAATGATTCCAATGAAAACAATGAAAACAACATTTACCACTATAGCGATATCAACTGATGCGAATACCACTAACCTACTCCTTTACCGTTTTCAGTATTGTAGTGTTTAACTCTATATTCAACAGTCGTAGAAAAGCAAAGCATCCTGGTGACAAGCTCCAATATGAAGACGGACTTTATGAGAAACCTTACAGGAAACTATCTGCATACGAAACAAATACCATATATCAGACCATCCATGATACTCTCAGCTGCTATGAGAAGCCACTATCTTCAATGATTATTCAGAGGATCATGCTCGGAGTATCCAGGTCATGTGCGGTGACTTCATGTCTTTCGTGCTGTTCAAGCTCTACCGCAGTCACGTAAGACTTTCGAAGATTGGAGCCTTGATTCGCCAACCAGACACACTCGTAGCACATGATATTATCCATTGTTAAAGTCACAACATGTAGTTTATTATAGAACCGAGATAGGTCTTATATTGCAAAGAACGAATGCAAATCCCGCAATGAGATTGCTCTTAAAAGTCGAGGCATAGATGATACGCCTCGGGGCCGTTGTCTGCACAGCCAATGGCGACGATGTAACTCTAAGTCGTCACCCCTATATGAGTTCAACTATCATATATAATAAAACAGTTTGACTTAATAGAGACGAATTCTTCTTCAAATTGTACGACCAGCATGTCCGTAAAGCGAGGAGGTTTTGAAGAGACCATTAGAGACTCGAGTCTCATGACTAGTAAAGTGTTTCTATCATATCCCAGTCTCATAAAGTATGTTGAACAATGTACAAAAGCTTTCTTTCCTATGAATGCTTTTTTTTCTCCGGTCTAGCTTTCGTGAGATTGCCTTTAAAAGAGCAGAGATACCAGTCAGTTCAGAAAGGCAATAAATCTGTTGAGATATACATTTCTGAATGCAATTAACATATACGGAGCACCTGTGCATATGAGTCAAGCATATCCATATATGCAGTCGGGCTATCATAACATCGGCCCAAATTCCCTTTCCGCCATGGGGAATAATCATCTCATGGGTGTTTCCTATCATCAAGCCTACGCTCCTCAGCCCATCCTCTAATAGCCTCATAATCTTTACAAACATGAACCGCTCCTGTCCCATCGGTACCATTTAGATTACTGTTGAGAATTTTGCCCTCCAAAGTTGTATCTCCGCAGCACATTATTGACTGCCTCAAATACCTAAAGCAGTGTTGAACGTGTCCGTTTGCATCATCGCTTATATTCAAGCCCGGGTTGTATGTAGCGTCCGTATTCATTGCAGATCCAGGCATCGTCAAGTTATTATACATGTCCATAATGATGTACTAGAATCATTTCTTGTCAGACATCGGGTAATGTTATGTTAGAGATAGGGTGTAAGTACCAGACAATGGAGCTGGTGAAAAACAGCCACCGCATAGGTGTCTTTCCCATCCCATGGAATCGGGTCTGGCAGAATATATTTTTCGGTATTATTTACATCGATGAATCCGTTCCCTCCTATATTCATTATCAGATTAGATGATGTGGTCTCTCTTCCACTTCAGTTTATGCAACAAATATTACTTACTTGGAACGTACGAGAGCCAATTTTCTCGAACCTTGTTTCTAGATTCTTCGTTCTCGCGTTGGACTGTAGCTGATGAGTCGGCTCGGAACAGCACTTGCTGAGTCGGAACTACGTTACACAATCTAGGTTAAAAACCTCCGCGTAATGACCAGCTTAGTTGTACTGACAATTTGGAACCAGGTGGTTCAGTTCACCGAGAAGAAGCTGTGAATGACTAGAAGAATGTGACTGCTCAAAGATGACCGCTAACATTATCAATTCCAGAATCCCAATGACCGCTAAAGTAGCGAATGAGGCTATAAGGAAGCTCCATTGTTTGGATTGGCTCTTCTTCTTCTCGCTTGGCTGGTGCTCAATTAAGCACTCCTTGGATTCGATGTCATCTTCGGTGAAACGGACTGGCATATCGGTAGCGATGCGATCGTTATAGGTTTGTCGGTGGTTTCGATACAAGGCCGGTTGGCTATCTTTAACTTAAAAGCAAAAACGAGGGTTGGAGACTATGATAAACTTTGGTATTGTTGGACAGGTTGGCGGCTCTACCGATACACACTGCCATCGCTTTAGAACTTGGGCTTATTGAACAAATCCGCATCAAGCACATCTAGTCGCTTCCATTGGATTTGGAGAATTGACTAGTCTGTATTTGGGTTAACTTTCGATTGTTTCGATCGACCGAACGAAACTAAGTTTATTGTGATCGGTGATCCACCCTTATTGTCGCGGACCAAATGTGTGGCTTTTTTCAGCCAGTTGCCGATTCGACCATTCTATTGTAAGTTAGCCAAGATGTGACAACTGCCACAGAGTTTGGAAAATGATCAAGAAGAAGAAGAAGAAGTTGTTTATGAGAACAGGGCAACATGGGAATCTTAAATTCGATCCTTGACCTACATAGCCTATATATTACACAAGCCATATCATCCAATCCAATACAAACATGCATCAGAACACACGAAAATACATGTAATTGTTCGATAGTAGACACGCAAATTATAAAATGCCCCAAGTGTTTATCGCAGTATCTAAACAAGGCCAGCAAGCTACTCTCAAGTATGCGGTATTTTAACTATTCTGTCAGCACCCGTAATGCACTTGCTTTCTTGCTTCCATGTTGGGGCTGAACCTCCACAGATCCATCCACAATTCCTTTGTAGCCACTGATAGTTGTGGTTTCAGAGATGTGTCCTAATTACCAGCGTGCTCATGGTAGACATACAAACTATTGTCCTTTATGGAAGAATGGCCGATTGAGCCTCAGTTTCCACAGAAACCCTATTCGTGACACGATAAAGCTCACACTGTTCTTTACCTTCATCGACCGGGATCTTTCCTTAAACCTCAGCAAGCTGTTCATTGCCCATTATAATGTGGATTTATACATAGGTACCGTCAATGTTCACGTTACTGATGGCCATCGAGTTGGCTTCGACGTATACACGAATGCAAGGTGTTAAAGTAATGGATTGACCACAGCTCATATGTAGATTGAGAATCGCCCAATGCTTAGTCTCCGCAATGCTGTGGCCCAAGTCCACTGCATATACTCTCAAGCGATTGGTGACGGCAATCCTTCCGTAGATAGTGCCTATACAGTATGTGCCAGCGAAAGCAGTCAGGGAGACTCGCGGGAAGACATTAACCTCATGACCTACTGTATCATGCCTTCCATCTAATCAATTTCTGACCAACACATGCATGCTATAAAAGTACTAGGGGTTATATAGTGAGAAGCTGAGCCGCGTATATCTTCAGCTGGGATCCTGTTTAGTTATTACTGTAGTCTATCCCTGCACCAGTTATGACGAATGATATAAACAACGAGGTATCTTTTTGTTGTTTCATGAACTCTAGCAGCTTATATTACAGAGTTTACTATCAATCTCAGTTAAATTAAGGCACATTCGGCCATTAAGTTAATCACATCAATTTCGGGAATTCATCCATCAGGTTTTGGACGAGTTTTTCAGTGTAAACGAGTGATATCCAGCATACGGGCTTGTATCCCCATTCTGTTCACGCAAAGTTGATTCTGATCTTGTGGTTACACCTTTTAAAAGTCACGCGAAATCTCCGAGAATAAACAACGGCACTTTGGAAACCAACAGACCTGTATTATTCGCAATAGATACTACTCGGTAGATGGATAAAATATCCGGAAGCATTGGGTAGTAAATGATTAAGAAAGATCGCACACGACGCATTACACTAAATCTTGGATAGGGAACCTTGCTTTCACGCTTGCAGAAAGCACATAAAATTTCTACGGTGACATGGTTGAAAACATATATAATGGCCAACTAGATTTGATGTCGGTGCATAGACTTCATATTAGGCTGAAAGATATCTTCCATAATATATTGTATTCCAGTCGTGCATCCAGTACGCAGCCGGAGTGGTTTCATACCCTACATGCGATTGTTTAAAATTGACTTATCCCAGCTTAAAATACCCCGGTTGTAGCTTTTGCCAAACCTGCTGAGGGTCATATTTAGCACTTATTGATTTCAACCTTGCAAGATTGTCTGCGCCGTAGCTAGCAAAGACATTCTGCTGGTATGAAGCATAATTTTGGTAAAGATATGGGTGATCAAGGCCCTGAGCGCGTGCGGCCGCGACAGAGCGGTTGACCATATTCTGCGCCGCAGCCAGAACGCGCTCATCATCAGACGCATTGGACCATGAAATATCAATATTTATCACTGTGTGCATGGTCAGCGGGCACGAGTCTCTGTGGGAAACAAGGGTGCGTACAGTTCAGGGGACCCTGGCCAGCAAGTCCGAGCGGGTTTCCCCCATTTCTGGAGAAATGTTTAGTCATGTCAGTTGTGATGAGCTGGAAGACAGCTGAGGGGACGATCCCCGCAACATCTTTGATGGCTGTGACCTCTTCCTGGTAGATTGCGACCATGTCGGCCATCAGCGAAGCGCTATTTTGGACCGTAAAGGTCCAGTATGTTTGGCTGTGATATTCACGTTAGTGTTAACCGTTTGAGCGCTTTTCATATTCGGAGCAAAACGAACCGGAAGCCACCTGGGTTGGTGTTGTTGAACTCAACCGTGAGATTTGCCAGATCAACGACGCGAAGTGTACTGGCGATTGCACCGGGTATCGAAGTAAAGTTTTGCAGGATGGGAGGGTTCGGTATCGGCTTCGCATACTGCAGGTCAGACGCAATGACAAATACATCTTGTGCTTGGGCATAGGCGTATGCGATGATGACCTGGGCGTATGGATCCGAAGGAGCGTTGACGCCGAGATAATAGAAGGCGTTGTTGATGGCGGCCGCAGTCTCATTCGTGTACAAGAAAGTGTCCGAGCCAGCCCAGAGATCGCCTTGGGGATACGCTGCTAGATCGAATCTCGTTACAATGCCAAAGTTGTTTCCTCCACCGCGGAGCGCCCAGTACAGGTCCGAGTATGCGGATGAGTAGCTGACTTGGCGGATTGTGCCGTCTGCAAGCACGACCTATCCATGCAAGTGTCAGCCCCCCTAAGCTACTATGAAACCAGCGAGTACGGAGTAACAGTAGTGGAAATACCTCGTAAGTGTTAACATTGTCACAGGCCCATCCGTATTGACTAGAGAAGAACGACATGCCTCCTCCCAGGGTCAAACCTCCCACGCCAATGGCAGACACCCTTCCACCAATCACCGTGACATTTTTGGGCTGGAGATAGGTGTAGACATCATACCAGACATTTCCAGCGCCAATCGACGCTTGGGTCTTGTCAGCTGAGAGAGAAAGCTGGTTAAGGTGAATCAGATCGATTGTCACGCCGCTGTCAATGTTTGAGGCCCCGGCGAAAGCAGCGTGGCCGCCGCTCTTGACGGCAAACTTGCATTGGGTGACGCGAAACGTTAATACAGCTAGAGATACATCCTCTGCTGATGTAGGGGAGAAGCGACACGAAGGTCGTGTAAGCTCCTGCTGCTGCGACCAGTATCGCGACTCTTCAAACTCATAGATTACACTCTGAGGATATGACACATGCTGGGGCAAGGTGAAGTCGAGGAAACCGCACTAGATCGTGGGTTAACAGAGGATATGTACTTGCAGTACGGAGATTTCACCCCATAATATGGAAGGGCTTACTGCAAGCTGGCAGCCGGATGGAGGAGCAGATCGTGTGGTGTGGGTGCCATTCTGATCTAGATAGGATGAGATTTGGCCCTTGACCTCGCTCAAGGTGTACGTGGCACTGGCGATTCCTAAATGCAGGAACAGCGGCAGAGTGAGACTGATGAGGGGGCGCATTCTGATGGATTGGCCAGGTTGATTGAGAAGCGGGAGATTCGGGCACACAGCTCCAGCTCGGCGCGAGGGTCATGCAGTCTAGATATTGGGTGCATGTGATACGCCCTTGTGGCATTCTATAATGAAGGGAACTCCGCGCCGTCTGGAATTCGGCTTGATTGTTTCCATATGTTCCACCGAGTGCCCAGGAACAGCGCTCGTGGCTTGCTGTTGGTTGCATCTGTATAACTTCTCTTCCTTGTCACAAGCTAGCTACGTAGCATGTCCGCGGCCTGAGAACGGCCGAGACTACGGAGTACGGAATACGCCGGGGCACTGCAATTTATCCATGCTGTATATCCTTGCCGCGGGACGGCGACGTGCCGCAAGCTGAATCGGGGAAACACGACCGTCGATGGGACGCCGTCGCTTCCTTCGCGTCAGATATGCACAAGGCCCTTGGCAAGCTTGCACCGAAGAGGAATGCCCATGGAACTCTTGAAAAGCTAGCAAGTCGCCGTATTCGCCGGCGGTTCAAACAATTCATTAACTCTAGCCATCGAGGAGCCCAACTGCATGTAGTTTGGCCGCGACACAATTGGCCCGCTGTCCTCAGGGACGGGGCATCTTTGGAAGGGGAGGGAAAAAATTATATACCTGGCGTCTCTCTGATGCATCGTACGGTTGTTGTAACTTGTGGGTGTCTTCCGCTGCGGCCTTGGCACGTCTTCATCTTCACAGAGTCCGGCTGCGTGGGGCCGGGCTAATCATGGACAATGGGCTCTCAAGATGTCTCTCGAAGCGCAGACACGGTAATTAGGCTCTCCACAATCGCTCGGAATTGGTTGAATGGGCCGACAAGCGGGTGAATTGCTAACGATGGGCAGAAAAGTCTCATCTCATGTTTCTGTGTCGCAGTTGTCTTTGTCGCCATGCGCACGGGGGCGCGTTGGTTCAAGCTGCGGAGGATGCCCTTGCAGATGGAAGACATTCTCATCTACGGCGCGCTGGTGTCTTTTGCAATTACGACGGCGTTGTATCTCGCTACCGTCGGTACCTTTTTCAACCTTGAAGCTATCCAACAGGGCCGTATGGAACCATATGCCGGCCTTGAAAACGACCTCGTCTTGATGCTGCATGAGTTTTTTGTTGTCCAGTTTTTCTTCTGGCTGACCTTGTGGATGGTCAAGTGGAGTCTGATGTGTATGTTCAAGAAACTCACAGACGGGCTGCCCCTGTACAACAGAATCTGGTGGGGAGTCCTTGTGTTCTCGATTCTTACATTCATTGGCTGCTGTATCAGCAATTTTACCAGCTGCTCTTCTATGCATGCCTGGTTTACGGCGGGAGAGTGTTCGACACCTCGAGATGCGCGAGCTAAAGAGATTAGTTTGTGGTTTAGCCTTGCTGTAGACTTGGCCACTGACCTTCTAAGTAGCCCTACCCATTGCTTCATTCAGTTGATCATGGCTGATTGTAGGATATAGTTATGGCCGTTCCCATGCGCGTCCTCTGGGGTTTACAAATGTCGCTCGTGGAAAAGATTAGTGTCGGCGTTGTCTTTGCCGTTGGGCTGATCACCATGGTTACGGCTATCATACGAAGCGTCACGTTGGAGTCAAGCTCAACTTCTGGCCAAGTTAGTACGACGTGGCTCATCATGGTAAGTGCCTTTGTGCTCTCTTTTGTCCCATTACCGATGGCTGCTACACAAACTTGATCAACCTTGGCTAACTTCAATAATGTAGTGGGCTGCCATAGAAGGAGCTATTGGTACGTATGCACTGCATGCAAATTGCTCGGAATCAAAATTCGTATGCTGACATTTAGTTGATGTAAAGCAATGATTGTAGGGTGTCTTCCATCCTTTGCAGTCTTCATTCATGGTCGGGTGGCGGCATCCCGAGCCCAATACGCCAGCGGCTCCAACAAAAACCCCGCTGGCCCAAGGACGAAATCTCGCGGAACTACAGGGAGCAATCGCTTGTGGCAATATCACGATGCCTCAAGCGATAAAAGCCTGGTGGGAGGGGGCATCGTCGTTACGCAATCATGGCGGCAGAGCTGGCATAAGACAACTGGAGGGAAAGCCGACAGGGTGGAGGGGTTAGAGACGGATCATGAGTTAGAAATAGTTGGCGGAAATAACGGCAATGGGAAATAAAAGGCAAAGCATCTAGGTTATTGTACTGGCAGTCAGATTGAGTCAATTGCAATAGTTTTCTAATGATACCGTAGAACATATTCGTAGACACTCGGACCATTGGTGCTATTTATAACAAAGACAACGTTCGGCGATCTATTTGAGAGGAGCTTTCACGCGCAAAATGGACGTCTGTATATAGAATCAGTGACATAGCGACCCCTTCCGTGCTCTTGACTACCTCCTACGTAGGAAATTGTTCTAGCCTTGAACAGGATCGAGATAAGCCTTCGTTGAAGGGCCGACCCAATCGGGATCTGAAAAGGCGAAAGCTTCCACCGGATTGGTCGGAGGATAAATCAGGATGCGATTGACAAATTCCTTGGCCTCTTTCATTGTTGCCCCGGATTTCACAACTTGGCGTTCCCAACCTGAAGTTATCACGGAGCCCCAAGCCCCAAGATCAAGGCAAGTCTCGTAATTAGGCTGCTCATAAGGACGCAAGTCCATCTTTAAGAGATCTGCCGCCACGTTGTAACCGGATACGCGACCCATCGGAATAGCATGTTGACACGACATGATGGTGTAGTTACCCTTATCGTCAGTCTTGGCACATGCCGCATCGCCCGTGGCGAAAATGTCGGTACACGATGGAACTCGCAGATTGCAATCCACAATCAATCGTCTCATGCTATCCTTTTCACCAGGTATCTGCTCTGTGAGAGGAGTTGCTTCCATACCCACAGTCCACACTACAGTGAGAGCCTCAATGCGCTCCCCCGCTGTGGTCACAATGCCTCCATCGTCCACAGACTTGATCGCGACCCCAAGTTTGACTTCCACCCCGACATCCTCAAGCGCTTTGGTAATAACAGGCCGAACATTGTCTCCCAAGGAGGGGCCAATAACATCTGATCGTTCAACAATAATGACACGGACTTTGGTATCAAGGCCGAGAATGGCGCGTAGCCGACGAGGCAACTCGGTGGCCAATTCGATGCCCGTGAAGCCGCCCCCGCATATTATCACAGTATTCCGAGCCTGCATAGATGGCAAAGACGCGAGATGGCGTAAGTGAGCTTCAAGATTTGCCGCTTCTCGGATAGTATCAATGCTAAATGCGTGGTCTTTGAGCCCAGAGATCTCGGGGCGAACCAAACGACTTCCAGCAGCTAAGACGAGTTTGTCGTAGGATAATTTCGATGATACTCCGGCCATGTCGACCATTTCGATTTTCTTTTCCTTTGTTCGGATAGTATGAACAACTCCTTGAGTGAATCGGACGCCAGTTGCTGCAAATAGGTCCTCAAGAGGAGCGCTCATGTTTGCTACATTCGACTCGTAAAGACGAGGACGAATCACAAGTTTAGGCTCTGGTGCAACAACCAACACTTCAACATCTTGGTCACCTAGTAAGCTCTTATTCAGGTCGATGACCCTCTTGGCACCAATGGCGGTCCATAAACCAGCGAAGCCGCTTCCTATGACAACGATTTTATTAGCCATGGTGACGGATTCCAGATGAGGTGTTTGCTTAAATTGTTTCCGAATGTTTTCTCTGTAAAATTGGGGTGTATCATTGTTTATATATATACTCATTCTTCTATTGTAGGAATTATGGATGCTATATCGAACATGGGAATGTTAGAGCTACAGTTCGGCCAATCAAATTATTTCCCTGGGCGAGGCTCCCGTTACGATTCCATCTCAGGACAAATAGTAGTGAAGCCGGCTATAGCTGTGGCGCCCAGCTTCGGTGACTCGGTGACTCGGGAACTCAATACCCGCATTCACACTTCTGGCAGAATGGTTCCGACTCACGATATGCATCTCCCATTTTATAATTCACTATACGATTGTATCTGTTCATTTATCTCGAGTCAATCAAGTCCACGAAGCCTTCGGCCACACCGGAAGAGTATGGTCACACGCTCATCACTGGCATGCCTCCCATGCCGTTCCCGACACGTCAAATGCGACGGCAAGCGGCCCAGCTGCACCCGGTGCGATGAATCTGGAAGGCTGTGTAACTATGCAAAATCGCGCCGAGGTGGTCTCAGTCGCGCAGCACTTACACGGCTTAGACAACTTGCTGCGGCGGAGAGTCGGTTAGTTAGCAACTTGATACCGGCTACAGGGCCGCCAGCTATACCCGAAACCCGGCCGGAGTCTGGAGTAGGGGCCTCTCTTGATGCTATCGTCGCCGGTGTCACTCAAGACTCAATGCCGGAAAGGCCTGACCCAATACTGCTTGTACCGCCTACTGCCCAACCCAACAACCTCGGAGATGATGCCCTAGTGGATTTGTACTACAAGAACTTTCACAAATTGCACCCAGTGGTTTTGCCCCGGAGACATCTGGTTAGGCTTTGTCAAGCTCCAGAGAACCAGCCAAGCCTAGTGCCCCTCGTTGCTGTCATGCGACTCATCGGCCACCTCTACGGGTTCCGAGAATGGCCGTGCCTATTACAGGACGCAGTGAAAGTCTGTTTCTCGAAGGCATCACAAACAGACCCCTTTATGGTGCAGTGCCGTATTTTGTACTCTATTGCTTTGTTCTGGTATGGGCATAAGAACGAGGCAAAAGATGAAATGGAAACGGCCGCTCGACTTGCACTCGGGCTTGAAATGTTCCGGTGTCAATTCGCGACGGAACAGGGAGGCGAGGACCTTGTACTGAGAGAATGCTGGAGACGGACCTGGTGGATGCTATACATCGTGAATGGCTACTATGCCGGCACAGTCGGCATGCTGGAATTCGCAGTAATAGACGTTGAAGCTACTGTGGAACTGCCTTGTGAAGAGTTTGAGTATGAATTAGGTGTGAGTACTAATCCTCATTGGAGCATACCCCGACTATTTCCACGTCCAAATATGTTGGGTATAACGGCTTGAATAATAAATTGTCTGTAGGAAATCCCCGAACCGAAAACACTGGAAGACTTCGACTGTCGTGAGTTTTCTATGAGCAATGTCTCATTCTCATCCTTCGCATATCTTATTGGTGCTGCAAGATGTGTGGCGTCTGCAGCACCCATGGCTCTCGGCATTGCGCCCGAGGATGCCTCTTTGCATATGATTCATACTGCTGATTCGATTCTTGACGGGTGGCTACTCTTATTGCCAAGCAGTAGCAAACAGATCATGGATAAATCAGGCGAAATTGACGAACTCATGTTCCAGGCCAAACTCCTTATTCACGTGTAGGTACCAGGCCTTGCACCATTGTTAAACCCCGTCAAGATATTGGTTGACATATGCTAAAACCTTCACAGAGCAACCATCAGTTTACATAGACCGTTGTCAGATCTGAGATTCAATACTATAGAGGCTATTTCGAGCTGTGCTAGACAGCCTCCACCGGATCTCCCAATACCAGAAATGGTGAACGTGCATACCGTACGAGTATTACGGTCGATAGAGGCACAGATATGCCTGCTAGCATTACCTGCGCGGCCGTTTCATCATACACCGTTTGCAACTTGCATGATAAGCGAAGGAACGCTTGCTCTCCTATCGGCCTGCAAGTTCCTATTGAAGGGAAGAGAGCTATCAAGAGCTCGAGATCAGGTTCGCATGACAATTGGGTGCCTCAAGGCGTTGGGCGATATATGGCCCAGGACCGCAAGAAATCTGCAAGAGATACAAAGAATTGCTCTGCATGCACTGGGACTGAAAGAGGACACGCCTATTCCCGCTGTCAGCGACCCACCAAGTCTGTCAAGCAGTGAGAGATAGACGACTCAAGAGTCTGCTATTTCCTCATCAACTGGCGATGCTCCTTTTATCATCAACTCATTAGATGGTCCATGCTCATGGTATTCGCTTGGTGACATAGACCCGGAGATGCCATGGTGGATAGATCAGTGAGGGATTGAGAGCACGATTATGCCCGCTGAGATTTTATTTCTGGGGGAGAACGCCACCAGGTTTCTCTCCGATACAAACTCTTATTGTAGAAATCTCACTGTCCAAATTATCTGTAGATAAGTCTCTATATATGTATTCAGTATTCGCAACTCTGTCATTCTCAGTCCTTGGATTTATGCCCGATGATTGAGCGTGAGTAGTCGAGCAACTTAAACAATACACGAATATTTGGGGTGAAATCACGCCATAGAAATTTACCAGCGACTAATACAGCCGCACCAAAGTTCCACTTATCTCTGACCAGGACAATCATATTCTTCACCTGTACACACCTATCTGCTGAAAATTTTAAAATGTCCAAACATATTCCTCCACCTGGTGCGAGAAGCATCGATGAGATCCTTGCCGAGGCACGCACTCACCTTGTGCGCATTACTCCGGCCCAGCTTCTTACCGAGTTGCAATCCTCTTCATCTCACGGCCCAACTCACATTGTGGACATCCGACCAGCCGCCCAGCGTGAGCGAGAAGGCACCTTGATCTTCCCCGACGCTCCATTATTCGACGCATCCGCCACTAAGCATACCATTAACATCATTGAACGCAATGTGCTGGAGTGGCGCCTAGATCCCCAAAACGAAGCCCGGATCAGGGAGATTGTGGACGAGTTTGGATACGACACGCGAGTTATTGTGTCGTGTTCAGAGGGCTACACAAGTTCGCTGGCGGCGAGGGAACTGCAAAAGTTGGGACTGTCGCGAGCAACAGATTTGGAAGGTGGATATTGGGCTTGGAAGCGGTATCTGGATGCCAGACAAGCACCTGGCGCAACAGCTGAGCCATGAAACTGGCATCAGTTGGTTGTTAGAGTCAAGATCTGAGTATAGAACGAGACATTCGCATTGGGGTGTAACGTATAAAATGCCATTACTATCGATTCCTAATGTCATAATGAAATTCAGTAATAACTAGAAGGCGAATTATTGAGATTACGAATGATAATCTGCTAATGGCACGTGCTCAGATGCCACTGAGCAGACTTTCTTAAATGGAATCTGAAGATGTGAAAATATTGCGTTAAGATTATGGCTAGTTAATCATTGTCTCCCTAAACTTGGATCTCATATCATATAAGAAAAGACTCAATTGAGATAATGCCAAATTGATAAATTGAAAAGACCAAAGAGTACGACACAATTACGTGTGAAATATGCACTCGTCCCATGTCTATACCCAATATTAGAAATACGCCTGGATGCCCTTAATGACCTTAGATATGCTGGAAATTGTTATGCCTTGCTGTGAAAGCCAATAGTTACAAGTCTTATTTGCTGAAGTCATGAGCTGAGTAAATACGTAAACGCTCTGTCCTTAACACTACTTGAACCAACTGGATCAATTGTTTGAGGTCTTTGTAGGCAAACCTGAGGACCAAAAGCCAGTGCTCCCAAGAAGCATTTTGGGTTTGCTTACTATTTGGAATCAGACTTGGTAGAAGGCCGTAAGCTGACGGCAACACCAATTTACGATCGGGTACAGGACATCTATCCCTCCTGTACTAATGCATACATCGCATCCGTCCCTATAGCGACCGCATTATTCACAACTTATAAAGGTACGAGTGAACTGATCTAATTTGACGTTTAAACCGCTAGAGGTGCACCAATCCTGTAGGCGTAAGCTCTTTGAATCAGCTTACAACTAGCAGACATCTATACGACTGACAATAGTGCTGTAGCTCCAATTGGCAATGCAGATTTTGACCTTTCATTCGACATGGAGCGTTATGATGTTCTGATTCGTTCAGGAACTATTTTAATAGCTAGTGTTCTTGGTTTTCAGCCTTGCCTTAAGTTTCCATATCATGAAACACTGCGCACTTGCGCTTAGCATCATCAATGGATAACCACACGAATCTGAGCCGTATAGGTACCTTGTCTGCTACAGTCTCGGTTGAAAGTCCATGTGCTTGCCAACCTGGAAGCCAGGTTGGTGAATCTATTTAATAAGGACGCACATGCTACCAAGTATTTATCCCCTAGTTTAGTCATAAAACTAGTGCCTCTAAGATCAAGATCAGGGCGCTCGATACTCGTGCCGGGCATTTCGGCGGTATGATGAACCGCAAGATTTCGCGGGGTGCAGGCACCACGCAGCACCGCTAAAATTTCCCCAGATTTCGAATTATCCGGAGAACCTGGTGATGCATATACACCAATTGCTCAAGCATTCTAGATGGAGTTGTGTACATTATTACGCCATTAATGCCCCTTGGATTGTTGAAGATCTTATTGTTTTCTTGACTGTTTCTGGTTGACTGCTACATTGCTCTCCCCTCCGGTATCTCTGCACCAGATTATCCCATTAACGACAACAGTGTTGCTAGCAATGCCGTCGACCGGCTGGTACACCATCGGCATCGCGTCGTTTGCATCGATTGGCACGTTCTTATACGTATGTGAATCTTTGGATGCGAAGTTTCGGAAATCAGCTTCTAACAACAGTGGACAATAGGGCTATGATACGGGTATTGTTACTACGAGTTCGTCTACTACATTCTTCCTTATTATCCCTTTGAAAAATTACAGACGACTGAAGTAAATAGCAATTGCCCATGCCAGTTGGGCGGCTTACATGGGCAACCCATCTTCTGCTCTTACGGGAGCTGTATGTATCTCACTTGACACCCCAATACTTGCTGTTCTATTTTGACCGACAGTGACAAGGTTGGCGCCATCTACATAGCTGGCGAAGCAGTCGGTGCCTTATCGCAAATCTTAGTTGCCGACAAACTTGGACGAATTCGCTTCATGCAACTTGCAGCCGTTATTGTAACGATTGGGGCCATCTTGCAGACCGCATCAGTCAATATTGGCATGTTTCTTGCAGGGCGAGTTATCTCGGGAGTTGCCGTCGGGTATGCATGAAAACTCCCTTCATTCTCAAGAAACAAAAGAAGGCTAATTCTTATCGTGCGCCTTTCAGAGCATTGAGCGGTACTGTGCCTGTCTACCTCTCAGAGATCGCACCCCCCAAAAACCGAGGACTTATCGGCGGTCTCTCTGGTGTCGGCCTTTCATCCGGCATAATGCTTGCAAACTGGGTCGGCTATGCCTGTGGTTATGCTCCGTATGGTGCAGTCCAGTGGCGTCTCCCATTGGGTCTCCAGCTGCCCTGGGGCATTATCTTGTTCATCGGCTTGGCTACCTTCATGCCCAACTCCCCGCGTGAAATGATTCATAAGGGCAAGATCCAGGAAGCCCGACAAGAGTTTGCGAGAATTCGAAGCGATTTACATTCCCAGGAGCTACATGAAGAATTCGGACTTATGCGAAGGCAAATCGAATATGAGCGGTCGCGGGAACTCACCTCGTTTCGTGAGATCTTCAAGCTATATCGGCATCGCGTCTTGGTGTATGTTCTAGAACCTCTAGGAGGCGCCCTTGAGTCAAATAACTAAGTATTCTTTTAGGTCTGTCAGTGTGCAGGTTTTAACGACTGTAACGGGCGTCAATGTCATTCAGGTCAGTATTTGTTCATCTTTCGGCAAGATTGGATGATGTTGGGATAAGTTCTAACTAGCCTTTAGTACTACCAAAGTGAGTATACTGGTGCCCATGTGACCTAATAATCATTCGCCATTCTAACAACGAGTAGCAATTCTCTATAAGTCGTTGGGCATTAATTCCCAAACTATCCTCGCGCTCACCGCGGCCTGGGGAACATGTGCCTTCATCTCCAACGCCATCGCTGTCAACTTTCTTCCAGATAAACTAGGCCGTCGCAAGTAAGGACCCTCGTGCTAATAGCCAAAGGTACAACTTTAACTAACATGCACACAGAATGCTTCTCTTCGGGCTGACTTGTGTCATTGTCACCGAGATCTATGCCGCTATTATGCAACTCAAATTCCAGAACACGGATAACCGCGTTGGCAAGGGATTTGCCATTCTAGGAATCTTTTTGTTTGTTGTGTGCTACTGTGAGAACTACCTTGACATTTCTTTTTAACCTCCAGTCGTTGACTTTCTTCTTCCCTTCCCTTAACCTCTCACTTCTTCCAAGATCTTTCCTCTCGTCAAAGAAAACATGACTGCAAGTTCGAAGAACGAAACGAATAGTGCCAATGGCAAGGCGAACAACTTGAAAACGAACCGTGCCAAGGTTATCGTGGATGCTGCGTACGAGGGAGGATACGCAATCCCGGCCGTCTGTTGCTACAACCTCGAGGCTGTAGTGGCTACAGTTCGAGCAGCCGAAGCCAAGCGCTCGCCAGCGCTCATACAGCTCTTCCCATGGTCAATCGAATACGCAGATGCGCTTCTTTTGCACGCAGCGGCCGAGGCAGCGGATAAGGCGAATGTGCCAATTGGGGTGCACATGGACCACGCGCAAGACCCTGAAATCATCCGGCGAGCGGCAGACTTGGGCGGATTTGACGGTATTATGGTAGATATGAGTCACTACGGGCGTGACGAGAACATGCGCCTGAGCAAAGAGCTGGTTGAATACTGCAATGCTCGCGGCATCATTACCGAGTGCGAGCCGGGTCGCATCAACGGCACCGAAGATGGCATCCAGGATACAGAGGACTTGGAGGAGATTTTGACAACACCAGAGCAAGCCGAAGAGTTTGTAGCTCTAGGGATTGATTGGCTAGCGCCAGCCTTCGGTAATGTCCATGGCGCATATGGACCCAAAGGACCTCAACTCGACTTCCCACGACTGGAGCGCATTGCCGCTCACGTAGGCTCACGAGTGCGGCTAGTTCTACACGGAGCACACGAGAAATACTTTCAGGCTGAGCTTCTCTCCAAATGCATCTCATACGGCATGGCGAAAGTGAACATTAATGGGCCAGTAGCTGCGGCTTATATGGAAGTCGGTGCTAGGTTGATAGGCAAGGAGCCGCTGACAACGGTCATGGAGGAGCAGACAAAAGCCATGCAAAAGGTGATTGAAGACCACATGGACTGGCTCAAGTCAGCCGGCAAGGCGTGAATTGTGTCGCTGTATCTTACTACCATAGACTAGAGACTATTCGAAACCTATGTCGATGTTGAAGTCTTACAAATAAAAGCATTAACCTTTTTGATTCCCATATCCCCAGTGAGGATGATTGTTTCTGAAGATTAGATGTACTCGCCTAGTAATCATCTTTGCTTGACTTCATCTTATATCCAAGCCTCTTGCAATTGCTAACAAGTTATATACAACTGCTCTACCAAGTACCCTATTAGCTTTCACTTCTATCCGCTCCTACTGTTTGGCCTCCCCTAACGTTTCGATGTAGTCCTTCACCGAGTCGACAAAAGATGTGTCTTGCTTCATCCCAAGTGACAGAGATAAAGAGTTATCAAAATCATCTGCCCAAGAGTATAGTGTGGATTTTAAAGAAGGAACATCCTCTTCTCGCACAAAGGCCAATTTATCCTTTCCTCCAACCTCCTCCAAAGCATTCAACATATCTTGGATGGTGACTGCAAACCCTGGCATGTTGAGGACTCTTCTGTGTGGTGGAAGGGCATCACGAGGGAAGGTGAGTGCCACAAGAATGTTATGCACCAGCGTCTTGGGAGAAGACATCCAGTGCCGCCACGCGCGATCCTTTAGCGGCACAACGCATTCCTGTCCGTTCATTGGTTCTCGAATAATACCTGACAAGAAAGCCGAGATAGCCTTGCTGGGTGCTCCAGGGCGGACTGAGATTGTCGGGAAACGGAGCGAGAACCCATTGATCATTCCGCGGCGGGTAAAGTCGTTGATGAGTGTTTCACAGATGACTTTCTGGCAGCCATAAGACATCTCTGGGGTTGTAATATCCCTCTCGGTAACATTGTGCTTGGGTACAGGGGTGCCGTAGACAGCTTCGCTGGAGGCGTAGAGGACTCGAAGTCCAGGGCATATCTTTGCTAAATTATTCAACAGCGTCCATGTTGCAGTCACATTGACGCGATAGCCCAGGTCAAAATCGGCTTCAGCGGCCGAAGACATGACACCATGGAGTAAAATGGCGGCGTCAAGATCCTTGGTAATGACACTTGTAGGCGAGTCGACGAGGTCTGCTTGGATGGTTTGGGTCATCTGGGGATATTTTGCGCCTCGAGGAATGGAAGGCTCAATCACATCTGTTAGAATGAGCTCGTGCGAGCCATCATCGAAAAGTGCTTTAGACACAATCTGTCCTATGAACCCTGCAGCGCCAGTGATGAGGATCTTCATATTGTCTTTGTTTGGGGCAATAGAGGTAACAACTGTCTTTCTCTGGAGCAGTAGAAGTATGAAACGAGCCAATTGGGTTTTCTTTGTAACAGCTCTATCTTCCGTTTTTGAGCCTCTCTTTACTGGGGTGTCGTATTTACTTTGATGTTCTGGATCATTGAATCCCCTCCTCTTGCAACACTAGTCTCCAATACAACGTTCGGCTGGTTCCCGGGGGGCTATTCTAGTTCCACTTTAGCGAAGCTCCGGTTTTGTCAATGCGGCGCAATCATCCGCCGTGAGCAAACCGGCGTGACTTCGAGCCGGCCTAATGTTCCACCAGATGGTGAGGAGCTCAGCTCGACAAAGTCGGTGGTCCGAAAATGAAGAAGTTGAGCTATCAATCCATTACCCGGGTGGCGAACCGGCAGCGTGATTTATATACAGAGGAGTGAGTAAGAGGAACGAGGGAGTAAGAGCTTCGAAACTACCTAAGCTTGGTAACAAAAAGACTAGCTTTCTCTGCCCATCATGAGCGCCACTCAAACAATCACAGCCTCTCCAGCATCGGTCCGGGTGTTCAGCCCATTTAAGTGAGTCTTTCCATTCTCCAGAATATCCCGATGCTCTTTTCTAATCGAGATATCTATAGATTAGAAGGTCAATATGGTGACTTTCGAGATGATTTAGTCTCCCAAGGATATGCAGTCGTAAAAGGCGCTGTGTCCCCCGATAGGGCTAGCCACTACCAGCAAAAGGCCTTTGAATGGCTCAAATCCTTTGATAGCTCATTGGACTTGGAAAACCCTTCGACCTGGAAAACGGCGCAACTCCCAGTTCAAACAGATAAGAACACCTATGAAAACTACGGAGTCGTTCACGAGCGCTTCATGTGGGAGGCGCGTATGGAGCCTGGAGTCATAGATGCGTTTGCAAAGGTGTGGGGAACTGAAGAGCTGCTTGTCTCGTTTGACTCACTTAATGTCACTCTTCCCAACCTGAAGGCTGCTCGTGCCCCTTGGCCACATGTCGACCAGGCTCCTCGGAAGCGTGGTATGCACTGCGTACAAGGAATCATTAATCTGAGCCATGCTAGGCCCGAGGATGGTTCACTAGTTGTTATACCCGGCTCACACGCTTTGGTTGAAGAATTCTTTGACACTCAGACGGATTCTGGAACTTGGGAATGGCGAGACAATCGCTATTTCAACGACAAGGACATGGAATGGTTCCGTAAGCATGGCCTCGAGCCGCAGCGGGTTGTTGCCGAGCCAGGAGATTTGATCCTCTGGGATTCGCGTACCATTCACTGGGGCGGCGAGCCTACAGAGAAGAGCCAAACCATTCGCACAGTCATCTATGCTGCCTATGCACCGGCGAAGCTGGCCTCCAAGGAAGCGATTGTGGAAAAGCAAAAAGTCTTTGCGGCCAATGGGGCTACGACTCACTGGCCACACGACAACATCAAGCTCCGAGAGCTGAAGGCCCAACTGCCCGATGGAACAGCAGATCCTCGTGATAGATCTGAACCTCGTGAGAAGCCTCAACACACCGAGCAACTGTTGAGATTGGCAGGTGTCAAAGCTTACTGACGAGCTTGATGATGAGTGCCATTATATAGCGAAGCATGGTTCAACCATTGCAGTCTTCTTTCATACATGTAACACACAGCTTAATTTGTTACAATTAGTTCAATACAAATTGCATGCATTTGTCCTTGTAAGGAAATTAAGTCTTTGAGCCCTATGTTTACAACCGATCTAGCTCTTGCTTTTGGACGTGGTAATTTACACCTGATGGACGATACAAAATCCAACTCGTGATGACCCCTAGACTGCTTGGCTCAGAAGAACGCGTAAACAATCATTTGTAACGTTCCGCGACATCATTGCGCCGGAGCGTCTGTAGGCTAATCCTTAGTAGCCGCTTTGTGTGGCTCTCAAGCTCGAGGAGCGAGTCAGGCCCAGCACAGCTGATGACTGCTAGATTGATCCCAAGTGCTTACCCCGCGCTTTTCCCCAGAGACCATTTTGCACTACAAAATTCCTGTGGGGCTAGGAAGGCAAGAATCGTGAGGGGAAAGTTGGGGATTCTGAAAGTCTGGGGTTTTGTGAGCCGCCATTTGGTTGACGGTGACTTGTTCAGGTATAGCAGCCTTTTCTCGTAAAGGTCCTGGCCTCTATTTCGAAAGATTGATATTCTGCCGAGGCGTCACGATGCTTGGGAGTGCAAGACAAAGCCCTGACATGTCGGCTGATCGGGGTTTTGAGTCTGGCGAGCCGCCGAGCAAGCGGCCGAGGATGCTTTCCAAGGCGTAAGTGTAACCCTAGTCTGTTGGAGTGCGTGGTCGTTGGCCTATCCTTATTGACTAATCGACAACAGCTGCGAAATTTGCAAGATGAAAAAATCACGATGTGACAGTGGCCGTCCACAATGCGACACATGTCGCCGGAAAGGTGGGAATTTCGCGTTGCTTCGGTTTTCTTGTGAGAGATGCTCATTCATAGCATAGGCCTCACCTGCGTATATCGTGAAAAGGGGCAGCCGGGATTGCGTCCCGGGTACGGCAAGGCGATTAAGCAACGTCTCACTCTGTTAGAAAATAACATGGACAAGATCAATCAGTCTATCCAGGATGTGTTGAATTATGTGCGGGCTGAGCCTATCACTAAAGTTTCCACATCAATGGCCGATGATAGCCTTGGAGCTTCGTCCCTTGAAACCATCGACAAGGCCAGCCACTCCGCCCAAGACATCCTAAGTCCCATCCACAGGGGCATGGTAGCGACGACTCCCCTTCCGCCAGCAAATAACATCATCTCAACTGATAGGACTATTGATGAGCCCCAGATATGGTCGGTTTCGCAGCAACGGCCCGAAGTGAGGTCGCTCACCTCAACTCCGGCAGATACTATGACCAGTCAATTGCGTCCTTCTCAAGCTCTAGCTTCTGTCGGCAGCGGACTACCTTCTCATGAGATCATGGACGAGCTTCTGGAGTTATTTTTTGACCTCGTTTACCCGTGGGCCCCCCTGTTCTTCAAACCCAGCTTTACAGCCAATATGTACGCATCGGAGCGCCAAATCCTCCTACACGGTATCGTCATAGTTGCTTTTCGCTTCTGGAGGAAATCAGATCCGCCATTAGAAACCCGAGAGGCGTTCGTCAAGGCATCTCGTGATTTCATTTTGTTGAAGACTATTGATTCGTGTACCCTGATCTCAACTCAAGCTTTAACTCTTCTCGCCATTGATACAATTGGTCAGGGACAGGGACCGCGTACTTGGAACGTAATGTCCATGCTCGTCACTGCCGCTAAACATTTGGGCTTGTCGAAAAGTCCTTCTTCCTCAAGCATCGAAACAAATACACCGCTCGTTCGAAACGAAGATCCCGATGATGGGCTAGATTCATCAATTATTGAGACAGAGGAGAGACGACGCTTGTTCTGGGTTATATATAGCATCGACCGCCTCTCCAGCGTATCCCACGGTCAACCCGGTGGCACAGATACGAGAAATATCCGGTTACCATATCCAGTAAATGATGAAGACTGGGGCCAGTCGGTACCATCTGACTGGTTCCAGGCAACAGGAGCGATTAAGCAATCACAGTGGTACAATACCTTCAACCTTTGGCGCCACTACATCGATCTTTTAGCCTTGCTAGACCGGTCTAATCAACTCTTGATTCAACCCGTCAATTACTCGCTGCCAGCTCATTGTCAGGAGTGGCAAAGTAGTTTTCGGCGGTTGGACATCAATTTAGCCACCTGGTTCGAAAACCTCCCGCGAGAAGTCCGAGAGCCGCCTCCTGACTTTAATCCCATGTGGATTCTAGTTCATGCTACATTTCATCTGTATAGCTCCCGTTACTTAATTCTTACCTTCTCGCCGTTCTTTATATTCTCGTAAGTACTAATGAGTCTGAGAAATGCAGTATAAATATTCGCATGTATACGGTTGCGGCATTTCCATCGACATCCTCTCCCTATTTGAGGCCATCACCATCAGCTCGCGCTCGCTGCCGCCAGGCTGTCAGAGATATCGCATCACTAGCATCTTCTGTCCAGCCTCAGAAATTGGAACAATTAGGTCCTTTGTTTGCTTTCGTGGTTTGGGTCGCTGCTAGGAGCCTAATTATACTGTGGACAACGGGACACGAGAACACGTACGGGTCTATGCCCACCGATTTAGAACCATTGCTTAGTAGCTTGCGACAATTATCGATACCCTGGCCGTGTTCTCAACGGTACATCAACCTCATCCAGCTGATTTTGGATACCAAGAACAATCCGGGTGGCCCAACGGGCTTGGAAATCTTCAACGATACGAGGCGGACAGCTTATGGGCTCCAGAACCGTCTCAGTACTTTAGCCGACCCCCAACTTCCGGAATTCGACTTCTTGGATATGCCGATCTTAGACATGAGTGAAATGTCCGCGCCTTGGAGTAGTACATTTGTTGCAGATGTTGATGGAGAATGGCTATAATGATTGTGGCCATGCTTTCCTCGTGTTTCGTCCACTGGCAGATATATACAAGCTACGAGAGGTAGAATTACTGCCTTATAATCATAGAATTATTTATTCATCGATACCATGTCTAATTATGCATCTTACGCCATTATTAAGTATACAGCCTTTACAACTCTATTTGCGATATAGAGCTCCGTGCACAGCCCTTATCCTTATTTCCATGCCTTGTGCCAGTTGCTTTCACTGTCTCTATGTTTCAGCATAATAGTAGAAGTTATTACACCTGATGGGCATAACCATTTAATCCCGCTCAACTTCGCGCACTTGCTCCATCACTAAACTCACCAACTTACCTTTCTCCAAAGCCGACCGTACATTGCTTATGGTCCACTCTTCCATCTTGGTTTTCGTCTTAACTCATCCCACTTCGATTAGCATTCCCATCTTGCTGAAGAATAAGCGGACTACAGTACTAACCTCGACCGTCGACGTCCCCATATGGGGCAGTAGACATACATGTGGGTTAGATACCAAGCCAGGATGTATGTTAGGCTCCTGCTGATAAACATCTAATCCAACGGACCAAACCTTGCCGTTATTGAGGGCGTCGACAAGAGCAGCTTCATCCATGACACCTCCCCTGGCAGTGTTGACAATGACAACACCTTGCTTCATCTTATCGAACTCTGGAGTAGAAATAATATTCCGTGTTCCTGACTAAGTTGAGCCTCCTGATCAGTTTTGTTCAACGCATAATTTGCAAAGAGCGTAACAATCTGTGGACTCACGTTGAGCGGCAGGTTCAAACTCAGCACATCGCTTCTTGCCAACAGATCTTCAAAGCCCACGTATTCTGCACCGCCGGCCTGCTCCACGTCCAGCTGCTTCCTATTGTGGTATATAACGCTCATGCCGAAAACCTCGGCTTTTTTCTTCAGATTCCGACCAATGCCTCCCATTCCTAGGATACCAAGGATTTTGCCTTGTGGATCATGGCCGAGAGGAGGAGGCGGTACGGCTCCCCTCCACGTACCATTCCGTATCGCCATAATGCCGTTATTGAATCCTCGGAGCGCGGCCAGGATCAGAAAGATGGCAGTGTCAGCCGTAGCGTCATCGACCACGTTGGGGCAATTTGAAATAAGAATTGAGCGTGCTGTACATGCAGAAACATGTATATTGTCATAACCAGCACCTGTATCCACCATGATGTATAATTAGACGAAATTCCTGTAGGCCGGCCATTCGAGCCTAATACATGCCGTTGTAAACTTTCATTTAGGAACACAACTCACCGTTGTGACATATAAACTTTAAGCTCTTCGGCAACGCTTGGATGAGTTCTTCGTCATATCTGCCTGTGACGGCAAGGCTAGATGGTGCCCGGTCACAAATTACAACAACGCCGTCGAGTCTGCCAGATGTGCATTCTTCAATAAACTCTGCTCGATTCTTTGCTTGAGTAGAGACCAGTTCTGCAACATCGCAAAGGGCGTTCCAGGAAGTCGTGGCGCTGTAGTGGCTCAAATGTTAGCCGTGTCGCCAAGTTTGAATCGTCAGACAAAATGCGGAAGCTATGATTAAAGGCTGCACTCACTGGTCAATCTTACCAAGCAACAAAGCCTTGGGTTTGCCCATGATTCACTGTCTGATTTGCGATGTGCTCCTTCTAAGGTGTGTGAATTCCGAATGAAACGGCTTCCAAGTTTAGACACTGCTCGAAGGCTCAATCCAATAACCCTTGGCGCGAACTGCCTGTTCATAAAGCTGCAGCCTCACTACTCGGCACATCAATACGCCGATTCGTAATCCCCGCCGGACACAGCACCGTGCCGGACCCGAAAGTGGGCTTCAGTTGCCGCCCAGCCAGACCCAGTACCGGGATCGGCATATGTATGTACTTGTACGTACATGCATGGTATCTTCGTAATACTGATACATCATCCAGTTTACACGTCTCCCCAAGCCTAACGAGACCGGAGGCATTCACCGTCGGTGCCTGTCTAAATTCCTGAACACGATGCGGCTACATGATTTGATTGCTGTTGGCCAACTAAGCTTATGTGAGACAGGCTCACAACATTTATGTGAAGCCGCACGACAGGGTCGACAACAAGACCAACGTCACAAGCGTTAAGACAAGCTACAAATGTAGAGTCTATGATGAAATACACCTGGGCAAATAGTAAACCATTCTAGGGAACACTTATTAACATTGTCCAAATGCTAACCTAACAGCTAGTATGTGCTTATCACTAGCAAAAGAAATGTATTTGCCGTGAAGGTAATGGGTGTACAGGTATTTCGGAAAGAACCAGATTTAGCCGTGACAGCGTCTTGAGGCGTCTTTTCCGGCAAGACTACGGAGTAGGCGGTTTCACAGGTTTTAGCCAATTTGCGGCTATCTTCTCTTTCGCTCTTTGTCCTCTTTATCCATGAGGTAATAATTTCGGTGGATTGTGTGCGATCGAGCTAAAGACGGCAGTACCCTTGCAGAAATTTGGTTGCGGAACAGTGAGCTTTGAGCTGAGGACGCCGGAATGTGGAGACGCCCCCTTCAGCACTGTTGTAAATGCTACCCAACTTATCATCGTATTTCCCTCGATTAAATTATCTTTCTCTCATACATTCTAGAAGCAGCTGGATTCCCTGCGGTGTCGGCTGAAATGGATCCCAATACCCGAGGCTATGGAGCGCAAGTGGATTGCTGTCAAGGGCTCGCCGATGAAAGTGGCCTGATTTCTCTTCCGCCACACGTGTCAAATCGGAGACTACCATCCAATTTAGGAATCAGGGGCCAGGCCCCCCTATCAAACACCTTTAATAAGGACGTACCTAAATTATTTTGCCCGGAGACGTTGGGCTTTCTCGATCCAGTAAGACATCACGCAGCGAAAAGTTAAACTTTTGGGTACGAATACTACCCGTATTAGTATGGATTGTATCACTAAAAAATTGCAGCATCTTCTTGCATGTCCCTGCATGGGAGAGTAACCCTTTATCCCTTGAGCGCGCCTCATAAAGTGGAGAATCGGGCAGAGGCCGGAGAAGAGATGGAAGTGGGCTTTAACACGGAGTAGCAGAATGTATATGAGTTAGGCTGTCACAGTCACATGCGACAAAAAAATGATGACGGGATTTTTCACGGTTATTTCCGTTCTTCTTCCCTCCCTCCCTCTTCTCTAACTTTTTCTTCTCATTCGTCTTCTTATTTCCCAGGCGCTTGTTATTTGTTTTGGTGTCCATTCCTCTTCTCTTTACACAAAATACCCAAGTCTCCTGCTCATATTCTGTTGAAGGGTGATTTCATTTGCCATTCACGACTTTTCTATCATCGACGATCTACACGAGACATAAAGAATCCGAACCAACAAAATTAAACACAAGAAAAACACCCGCAAGGAAGAGCACGACCAACATTCCCCCCTCAGTTCATTCGTGAATACGACTCCGACAAGTCCGCCCTCGACCCCACCTCTTATACTATCGATACCAAGATGAAGCTCACACGCGCCATTTCTTTGACCAACTTTATGGTCGCCACTTCAGCGCTCGGCTTTCAGGTCTTTGTCCTTTACCCTTGGCACAAGGAACTGGACAACGGGTTTGAAGACCTCAAAAAGGAGCACATGAAGGTCCTCGACGCAGTTGGAAAGAGTGTAAGCGAGCAGCAGCGGATGGCCTTCTCGAACAGGCTCAGCGAACTCAAGACACAAAGCTCTCGACGATGGTGGTGGATGTAAGGGAGCAAGAAACATGAAGGAAATACATCTAGAGACCAAGTTGCCCCTTCGAAAACACAGCCATATAAACGGATTATCAACGTCAACGTTCTATACTACGCGATGTATAGTTTTCGTGAGCGGTGACAAAATCCATACTATATGGCGAATACATAGATACTTTTCCCGGGGAGAAGGTTTTTCGGCGAAAATTGTTATTTTGGTTTGAACTGTTCAATGCCTCATTCTTTATCAGGTGTATATTAACTAGATTTTCTGCTAAATACTCACTAGCGACTTAATATATCATTTTTGTTAACTGTCATATCATATCTGCATATGTTTATATCATCTCCCATTGCCACAAGTAAAGAATCATCCGGAAGTATTGTTAACATCTATTTGTCTTGCATTGAGTCTCCGACTATATAGGACGTATAGGACCCTATGCTTTTTGTGCGGACGGCCATTCTATATGCAATATGCCTGCATTCGTTCGCATAACTAGCAAGAAGTTACCGCATAACCAAGTCCAGATGATCGGTCCATCCAACTAATACGAGATGAAAAGGGTGTCACCCCGGAGTACCACGTGGCGTGTCTCGGTTGACGTGAATTTAAGCCGACTTTTGCGGTCAGCAAATGTGACTCCAGGTGGTAGGTATGCGATCCTCCGTTCGAAGATGGTGATTGCTCTATCACGACTATTTAATTGTCCATGGTGACGCCAAATATATAAAACCAACCAAAAATGGCCATCTAGTTTCTACGAGATGAATAGCTAGTTGATATAGGCAGATGACCTCATGATACATTTTGTTTATGAATCGTTGTTCAATCGCCAGAGTCAATATTAACATAGAATAGCTTCATACCATATCTCAGCAAAGCTTTTAGAAAGGTGTAAAAGCTTTCTTCCCATATATATTACATCATCCACGATGTGAGGTAAGATGTTTATTTTTACCACTTCAGCTGGATACCAGAATCTCTTTTAAGAGGCGCACATATCATAGGAAATCCAATCCAACTCCCAGCCATTCAAACAGACAGCATCAATTTAAGGTCCATTAAGTCTATCGATAGATATACCGGATAATTTTGAGCATGTTTTCGAGACAACAGAAATGATACCTGGGGTGCCTTTAAGTCACCCCGCTCGAATGAGGCCACTACTCTGTCTCTCGCTAGACTAGAGCTTGGATGCATCATCAGCGACATAAAGAACTCTTCTGTATCTTTAAATTACATATTTAGACTTAAAAGTAGATTTTCTCAATAGTTCCATATAGCGGCGGGCTGGCCGACTCACAGACGAAATGGAAGCTGCCACAGAAGTCCGAAGCAAGAACCAGAGGTCACTCGCCGTAAACGTCCACATTACAAATGGATACAGAATCGGGATTATTCTGTAAAAGCCGATATTCCGTGGAACTGTTTCTTCAGCTTTCCTCAAGAGATTCTAGATTACCGAATTTGCTACGGTAAAAAGTACAAGAAGAATCTAGATGTCCCGGCAGAGGAAAACAGGCGGGTTTTGAATAATCGAATTGCACTGTTGGGATGCAAGGCGAAGCTCCTGCGCGCAACGCTAGCCGGATGAATTTAGCTGCCGCATCTGATCCATTGCTTCTACAGGGCGCTCCATTTACCTGCAAGCGCGCAACACTAGCCATATTTGACGATTCGGCCCCGTCTTGAGATTCCGGGAGGCTGTTTGCAGACACCACAGAGGTGAACCGGTCAACTGTAAACTACATGCCGTTATGAGGCCCCTCGAAGCCGAGAAACTTTGGAACCCAGAGATAAGGCAGTAATACTATCTAAATTATGATAATGCATCATTTGTGTTGCCTCTTTTTCTGAAAAAAACATCCGTCAGCCATCTACCTGATTACTTACCCTGAAAGTGTCCATTTTCCGCTGTGTTCTCTGCGTTCCTTTACCATTCTATGAAAACTAGCATATGGACTAAGTAATCGGCAACTGTATAGCGGGTGAGTAAAAAGTGCAATCTTGGAGGTTTCTTCCTGGGCAAATGCGTTCCTACTATGCCGCAATCTTTCTCACGGGAGATTCCAAGTTATCCTTAGGATTGATACCACTGGATAACAAGTCAGTGTTAAGAGGACGTCGATTCAACGAGTTGATCAGCCGTAAACGAATCTCACTAGGTATCATACAGAGTATACCGGGTGGATACGGAGTTGGCCTGCATCCTTTGAAAAAACCTCCAGGCTGAGAGGCTTCTTAATGCTACCCATGCTTGCCATGCGAACTGGCGGAAGCCGGCGTAACGCTAACTTGATCCCAACCGCTCTGTAATAAAACCATGGCTGCTGCTTGCTTTCTTAGCTCTGTAACTGAGTGAGAAGTTTATCGTCGCTGCTGAGGGTGAGGCGTCCAGCTAGCCAAAATGGTCTATCATGGCATCTCAAAAGGTTGTGAAACCTGTAAGAAGAGGAAGAAAAAGGTAGGTGCAGTATATGATCCATGGAGCACCGTTGATTGGCACATATGAAGGCTTACACGTCCAGTGTGATGGAACCAAGCCAGTTCGACCAACCTAGCATTCACGTATCCTCCTGTATCTAGGTATACTAGTACTGATTTCCCCGAGTCTTGAATTGCGACGTATGTCGCAGAACGAGCGGACAATGCGTTGGATACAAAGATTATCCGTCCCTAATTTTTCGCTACTTTGCTCCAGTAGCATCTCGTCACTTACTGGCGTATCCGGACACATCTCATTCAGATGTCAACATCGTCAAGTGTGAGACTTTAGAATCTTTAATCGGGGATTCTGTGGTGCATCCGTCTGGTGGGGGGAGCTCGGGAGGGGGCGGGGGGGTTCTGCATGGTCTCTAGGAGATTATACGCAGTGTACCAGCATCACCAGACCTTGTGCGGGCCGTATATGTCATTGCAATTTGGGGCGAAGGTACAACAATGGCTCCAGTAAGTCAATCCTCAGCATGCTAACCAGAAACTGTTTCAATATTAACAACAGCTGTCAGGCTCTTGGCCCTCTTATTGGTGGCGTTGCTATAGAGACAATGGAGCTCTTGGGAGCTGCTTTGGCTCTCCACGCCAATCTTAGTTGCAATGTTCTCCGCATTGCCAGAATCTTCTCCGGATAGCATCCTCCTGAAACGAGCTCAGAGACTGCGTATTATCACAAGGCAAAATTTCCTTAGATCTGAGTCTGAGTTTCGACAGTCACGGTTGAAACCTTCACAAATTGCATTTGGTACCCTCGTCAAGCCTTAGGAGATCAATGCTTTAGATCCAGCAATTTTATTCTCGACATTTTACTGGGCTTGAATAACGAAACATTTTATTCATTCTTCGAATTCTTTCCTCTAGTGTATGGTGGCATATTTAAATTTGACTTGACGCAGGTTGGCCTCTGATAGTTATCAGTGCTGGTTGGATTTGCACTGGCTATTCCTTCCCTTTGCCTGTATTTCCGGGTCATTGCGCCGAAGCGTCACATCGGGTTGGGCGTCGTCCTCCCCGAGGACTGTTTATATCCGGGGCTTTACGGCACGATGCTGATACCTGTCGGCTTGTTTCTGTTCGGTAAGTAGCCACTGTGTTCTCAGTACGATTATTAGCCAAGTAATTAATTACTGACAAAGTGACTAGCTTGGACTTCGAGGGAGAGTGTTCACTGGGATGTGAGCCTCATTGGTGTTGCCATTGCCTTGACTGGCACTCTTATTATCACACAGGTGATCTGCGTCTATCTACCATTCAGCTATCCAAAATATGCTAGATCTCTCTTCGAAGCAAATGGACTGACAAGAAGCTTTTTCGCCGAGGCTGCAATCCTTTTTTCTCCCCCCATATTTGAGAAATTAGGAACTGCTGGAGTGGTCAGTCTTCTCGCCGGATTTAGTCTCACCTGTTCTGGAGGATTGTTTGTGCTATGGACATTATTTTGGAGCGAGTCTAAGACAGAGAAGCGGATTCACCAGCCTGTAATCACCTATTGCTCCAAATCACACATCGTTGCAACTTTATAATTATCCCGATACGGCGTCTGTCATCTCTGCCCTGCAAAGCCTCATTGCAGCGGGAGGCATGTTTTATTCAAGGAAACATGAATATCTGGAAGAGATTTCTTTAATTACTTCACACAAGTGTCATATAGAATGAAGCCATTGCGAATAAGCAGAATCACTGCTGTCTTAGGCTGCCAGCTATGTCTCCCTGACTCAGTAAGGCATCAAAATGGCTGGAACCGGCTAGGATCCTGTCTTATAGTTGATGAGATAGAGGCCGCCGGCCGACCAAGGATAGATTCGACTGAATTCGTATATCTATCATAGCGCCCAGCTTCAACTAGCTTAACCATAGTCAGAATATGGTTGTAGGTATGCGATGGTAATGTTGCAACCTTGAACACCTTCTCAGTCCAATCGTCCAATTGGGCTGGTACATATTTAACAGGAGTCCCGATTGCATTAGAATACTCCTTGGCGAGCTCAAACATGTCTGAGTTTGGTCCAGTCAGCTCCACGCTTTTGCTGATATACTGACTTGGGTTGAGCAGAATTTGCACCGCGACCTCTGCAACGTCGTTGCTAGCTATTGGAGATATACAGCCTTGACCAAAAGGTAATCGTATAGTCCCAGATTGTTTGATGCCGGCGGCGGGGAGTTGCCAGAAGAGAAAGTTTTCCTGGAACACAGTTGGTCGAAGATGTGTTACTGGCAGTCCAGACCAGTTGAGTATTTGCTCGCTCAGCCATTGCAACTTATGCTGCGGAGAATCCGTTGTATGAGTAAGATCCATCTCAGCAACCGTCATTTGAGACATGTTGACAAGAACTTCGATGCCACTTGTAGCTCTTGCCGCTGCAGCCATCACCACCGTCGCCTCCAGATAATCGGCGGAGACGCTGGTGCAGAAAAAGACTTTCCGACAGCCCTGGAGAATCGGAAGCACCTCCTCTGATTTCAGGAGATCGGCTACAACAACCTCTGCACCTAAGGAACGCAAGTGATCTGCTCTACTGTCATCTTGCCGCACATGTGCGCGAACTGGCAGGTTGGCAGCTCTCAGTAATTTCACCACACGCCTTCCGACGCCGCCAACCCGGCCAGCTGCTCCAGTTACCAGAATAGGGGCTTCCAGATCCGACATGTTAAAAACGGGGACTGAGTGTAGGAATTTTTGTTTCTTAAAATGAATTGTGATGTTGATTAAACTGGTAGTACGGAGGGCATATAACGCGGCTGTGCTTATGGGATATATATACATCTTCTCAGCGCCGAGGCTATAACATCATTTCTAATCATCAAGCCTTGAGCAGCGATCCTTGACTGAAATCATCGAGTCATTTGTAATCACCACGTTTAATACATATGAGCGTATGAAGCGTCACTAGGAATATCTCAAACGTCAATGCTGTAGACTGGTCACAATTGGCCGAGTGTCATCGCCTACAATTTCTGATTACTCAACGTGAAATTTCTGTTTACTCATCTGTTATTGCGCACAACCCTAGAAAAGAAGTATCATCTCTGCTAGGCTTTTTGGGGCGAATTCTGATCTAGATGAATTATTATATCCTTTCAATGAGCTCACCTGCTGGAGTTAAGTTTCTGTTCCGTGAAGAATATTTGACTGAAACCTTATTAAACGGTGCCTTGACATCATGGGAATGGCAATGAGCAGATAATTCTCATGCTGTATCTACTGGTCGGTTAGTTTGTTCAATGTTTTTGACCAAAAAGAAAAAGAAAGAGAGGATATAATACCGATCTTGGTCATCTTTTTTTGTTGGAGAGTAGATTGTCTGTGATCAGAGGTAGGCTGAGTCATGATATATTTGGCAATCATCAGTCTTCTCAAGGATTATTGAAAAAGAAAAACGCGGTATTTTCTTAATCAAATTATCTACTTCAGCGGAAATAGGCGGTGAGCCCATATACTTGAGGGATTAACAGCTCAACCGTGAGGCGGCGTAACTCGATTGCGATGTATCCTCTTAGAGCAAACCTATGATTCTTGAATGATGCTGCGTAGTGGTTAACTTTCAGGTACGACACCGCAAATTAATACATCTTGAGTGATATATCGCGGCTTCTGAGGCTCGCTGTAGTGTCTATTCAATTTTCTCTATCAATGTGCTAATATCGTATCCATCATCAATGCATTCTCTGCTATACACCATTTTCGCTCATATGTCATACGGTTCCTCTTACTCTATCGCCGAAGCAACATGCTTCTCGCCATGCAATACGGGGTTGACGCGGTCATCCCACTCAAAGCCAAAAGAATCTCCAAGTTGCTTCCGGCATGCTGTTTTGACAGCCTCCAAAACATTTGGGAAGACGCCAAAGTTGGCCGGGTTGGCCTCGTCATTGTCACCACCTTGGAATACACCAGTGCGCACCAAGCAAGTGTTCCAACCATACATATTGCCTCCGATAATGTCCGAGGCTGGGTTGTCACCGACCATGTAAATGTTTTCGGGTATGCGCTCCTCTCCGTGGAGTTGCTCCATCCATGATGCGATAACCTCATCGGCGTACTTGTACGTCGCCATCTCAGGCTTTCCGTACACTACACGTTCCAGATCAACCCCAGTGAGCGCCTTATACATAGCCTCGAGGCCGATACGGAAAGTGCCTTGGCTCATGCGAGGGATTGGATGCTCCGTGGGACACAGCATATCTCCCTGGGAGAAGTAGATGGGAATCCGCTGAGAAAGAGGATCGGCAGCTACGGTGCCCAGTCGGCCATCCTCAGATCTCAGAAGATCAATGATAATCTGCATATCTGTAGCGTAGTCGCGTGAGTCGGAAAAGACCAGAATTGCCTCGATGTTCGTCTTGGAGAAATCACGAGGCCTCGAGCTGGCACGCTCTTCGTCCGTAAACACACGGTAAGGGGCGATGGTGGTGTCCCAAGCCACAATGTCGTTCGGCACCACGATGTCACGGAATCCGTACTGCTCCGCTACCTCTCGGCATCGGTATCCCTCTCCTCCAACGACCAATACCGTGTTGTAGTATTCGGCAAGAGCGCGCATTGGGGTGTGTGATTGAATGAACTGTTCTGTGTTGACAGGATTCTGCAGGATCTTGGCCAGCTGTTGCGTACGGGCTAGCTCTGGTTTGCCCGAACCGTTTGTCAGGAAGATGTGTGGAATCTTGATTCCAAGCTCATTGTCTCCATTCAAAATCTCCAGAGCTCTCTTTCCCTCAGGGATCAACCGGTCTCCATGTACCAATACGCCATCAATATCGAATACGAATGCCATATTCTTGGCTTTCTTCGCCTTGTCTGCAGATATGTCTTGGACTTGGGCAGCTAGAATGTCTCGGGTTGGCTGGATAGGAACGGCACCGGGCCCCAAGACGGCATCTCGATCGATATGGTGGACGGAGCTGAGTCGAGACTGTCTCTTGGAACGTGGAATGGGCAGTGAAGTGCCAAAGGAATTCCGAGACGACCTCCTGTCTCTCATCGACGGAGAGAGAGAAAGGTTATGCATGTACTTGGAGGCATCTGCATGAGGAGATCTTGTAGCAGGTATCTCAATGGCGTCATGTGTCGTTGAGGTAGGTGACATGGGAATAGCAAGAGCTCCCTCATGAATGTGGGCAGAAGCATCATTTGATTTGCTCTTGACAGGCTGTGTGGGCGTTTCCACGCCGAAATCAACATCATCGAAGGTTGCCATGATTGCGGTGATATGTAAGTGACAGTATAGCTTATCGAACACTGACTCTCAGCGCCTGGTGACGGCACAGGGCCTCATGTTTTAATACTTTCTTGGGACGGAGGTGGGACAACAGATAAAGGAGATAACATCCACAGGGAGAGTGGAGACAACAAGAGCCATTTCTTGGGATTCAGACAGTAGATACGATGACATGGGCGAAAGAAGGTTTCGCTCATGATTCAGCCCTGATGTCATCCCTATCATATGAAAACACCGAGTGCCTCAAATCCACTCTCACGCCTTAATCATCACGGTGGCTGCCTTCTGGCGGGAGCCACTCTCGAGCCACTCTCAGGCACCGAATCCACCAACTCAATCCAATGGTAACACGACACAGCTTGTTGTCCCAGTAGAACATCGTCATCCTCGGCTCAGCATCGGCATTGGTTATCACGTTTCTAACCACCGTCTATCTTCGCGGTGGACACGATGCCCACAAGGCATCTCGTTTCGGTGTAAGAGATTTCGAAATATGGGGCCGTTAGATGGGCCAGTCGGATTGGCCGGCGCCGTATGTGACGATAACCTAAGCCAGAGGCGCATCAAGTTTCGAGAAAGATGGAGACGGCGGGTCTGTTGTGGCGGTTTCAGTGGATGAGATTCGCCAAACAATCATGGCAGCATGTCATGCCAGCCACGCTGAAGTCTATTGTCCATGGCCATCAATATGTCGCCTAGGGGGGCGAAACGTCGGTCAAGATGATCGCAGATCTTTATTAAACTTCGGAGAAAAGCCAGGTTTTACACGCCCGGTGCGTCATTTTTTCAGACTCGAAGTGGATGAAAATCCTTCTAGCTGCAGTACCATTCCCACTATTACGGGTCAACCTGCCGCTCCGTTGCGTAGCACCAAGGAAGTTGGCCAGTAGCAATGGCTCAGCTGTCAGAAGTTTGAGCAACCTACTCACAAGTTCAATTTTATAAGAAACAAGTGAGCTCACAGCTGGTTTGGATGAGAGGCATTAAATCTCATTTGTATGGGGCATACGTGACCATATCAACGCCATTCAATCCAAGTGTCGGAGCCTAAGCGCAAAAGTTACATTGGTTCTAATATTTCGTTTCCGCGGACCTATCATCGTTATATCTCCCGAATCCAGGGTTCGAAACACTTCACAATGGCGACGGGTACAAGTGACGGAACTGCCAGCAACATGTCCTCCAAAACCTTTATTCTGAACACCGGAGCCAAGATGCCGGCTGTCGGCTTCGGCACATTTGCCAACGAAGGTGCCAAGGGCGAGACATATGCGGCCGTTACCAAGGCGTTGGATGTTGGATATCGACACCTCGACTGCGCCTGGTTTTACCACAACGAGGACGAGGTTGGCGAAGCAATCCAAGACTTCCTCGCCCGCCGATCCGACGTTACCCGTAAGGATCTCTTCATTTGCACCAAAGTTTGGAACCACTTACACGAGCCGGAGGATGTAAAGTGGAGTGCCAAGAATTCGTGCGAGAACCTCAAGGTTGACTACATTGACCTGTTCCTTGTTCATTGGCCAATTGCGGCAGAAAGGAACAACGACATGAGCGTAAAACTTGGACCAGATGGGAAATACGTCATCAACCAAGCATTGACGGAGAACCCTGAGCCGACATGGCGAGCGATGGAGGAGCTGGCTGAGAGCGGTCTTGTGAAAGCAATTGGCGTCTCCAACTGGACTATCCAAGGATTGAAGAAGCTTCTTCAGATTGCCACCATCAAACCAGCAGTAAACCAAATTGAGATTCATCCATTTCTACCAAATGAGGATCTCGTGGCATTCTGCTTTCAGAACAATATCTTGCCGGAAGCCTACTCACCACTTGGTTCTCAGAACCAGGTTCCAAGTACTGGCGAGCGAGTACGCGATGATCCCACTCTCAAAGCAGTTGCCGAAAGAAGTGGCTATAGCCTCGCGCAAATATTGCTGGCTTGGGGGTTAAAGAGAGGTTATGCTGTGCTCCCGAAAAGCTCGACTCCCAGCCGTATCGAAAGCAATTTTGTAATTCCAGAACTAAGCGACTCGGATTTTGCGGCCATTGAACAGGTTGCAAAGGGAAGACATGCGAGGTTTGTAAATATGAAGGACACTTTTGGATATAACGTCTGGCCGGAAGAAGAATAAATTGTCTCTTAAATATCATGAAGCTTTTACGGGATTTTTTTTTCTTCCCACTAATACCATTCTATGTCAAATATCTGATGGTGAAATAATGAAGTAAATAATCTGTCAGCTTGAAGAAAACAGTGCTGGTCCCTAATGCATTGTGGACTGGAGTCCGAATCCTGTATACCGCATATAACGCCCATACTAATAGTCGGGGTGTCAATTAACGGCTATAAATCAGGGTTGTGGAGTATATTTATAGACATATATCATTTGTGTATATAGATGTATATGCAGCAAGCCAGTGCTTGATTATTAATGAGACATATCACTTTTGCTTCTTGGTGACAATCATCCAAGAATGACAGTAAATTTCTCCCCTTAAGACATTATGCTTAAGACTCGAGCCTAAGTCGAATAATGATGCTCTTGCATCCTGTTAAGGTCTCTTAGGAGTTAAAACCAAGATGTTCTATAGTTATTTCTCTCACACGTATAAATGGATATCATATTCGTCACTATCCTACTCTTAGATGAATACATATTGATTGTATTCGGATATGGAGGTCCTCATAGTGATATACATGGTTATCAGGATATAGTATTCGCAAACATAAACAGTATTAAAATGTAAGAGGATTCAACCGGTGCCATGCACATGGCATAGGCTCCTAGTAGAATTCAAACTAGGCAGTACCAAACAATATGATTGCTTAACCATCTTAGAAGATGATCTTGAAAAGTTCCCTCGTAATGCCAGTCTGAACACTCGATAATGCGTTACCGTAGAGTACACAACAGGGACAATAAGTTACAGTTCTGCTTGTGATATTCTGTCATAGTCAGTCAACAGTGTACTATCGGCCTGGTGGGTGGCGGGGTTTTGTATGTCTCGAATGGATCTCAGGTGGGACCCCAGTGAATGCTTTGAGAGTACGGCCAAACTCGGTCAAGTTATGGTTGAAAGCGTCTTATATGACCACATAGTCACACATTGAAGGCTTTCGGAAGAGTTTGCCAGTGCTTCCAGCAACAAATCCATTCATTCTGTAAGGCAAAAGAGAGCTGGAGAGCATGGATGACTGCATCATCGTAAGAGCCCGGTTTATTGTCGTCGGTGCTATGGACAGGTAGAAAATGTGTTAACCGGCGGTGCATTTTGAGTGGTTGGAAGAGTGTTGCCATGGAAGGTGTGTGGCTCGGCGTAGTGTTACGAAGGCCGCAATGTGATCGCGTTTGTTAAGGCTGTATCTGGGGGTCTCCTTTGAAGATAGCGTAGTATTTATGTATTATTGGCCATGCATAAGATGCTTGTTTCGTCAACAACGTACCTGGATTGACGGGACCCTAGGTATCCATCCCCGCTTCCATTTGGTCTGGAACTGTGTAGGTCGCGTTGACGACGAGATGCGTCGTGAATGCTTGCATCCTACATTGATCACCACAGGCACGACTAACCCTAACCCGGCGTCAATTAGCGCTTAAATTGAGTACTTGATAAAGACAAAACGACTGAAAGGCTTCAAAAGCGTTGATCAACATTCAGTACAATAATCTTATTTGAGAACATTGCGCACATCGAGGTTGGTAGCGATGGCTGTCAAGGCATTCCAATCCTCAATGATGTTTAACATTAGATCATGTAGCATCTTGTGTACTTATGAAGAATTGTTTTGGCAAGGAACACAAAATATATGGTGTCATGCTGACCATTCTGCTATTGGTTTGTTACACGGAAATTCTCAAGGCATTCTAATGATTGACACCTATCTTAGCTTTAACAGCCGAGGACTAACTAAACTAGCTGCTAGTTGCAACCTGAACCAACTTGCTGAGGCTGACAACTTTCTCACTTAAAGTAAGAATACTACTAGTTCCCATGATATCCAGCACAGGCAAATCAGCCTCCAACGTCCTCGCGAGCCATGTTCTGAATTCTGTAGCGACCAAAGAGTCAATTCCATTGGAGCTAATTGATTTGCCTAGATCGATATCATCGGCGGTCATTGATAAAAGCTTTGAAAGCTTCAGTCGAATCCCGTTTGAGACAATTACGACGGCTTCATCAGCTGCTGTTGCTGTGGCTAGTTGGATTGGTACCAGTAAGATAGGGTCGTCGTCAACAGCATCATTCGCTGCGCTTGTTTCACTCTGGAGATGTCGGAATAGAGGCAGCTTGAGGTAAGTGGGCACCGGCATGCGACGCTGCTTGTACAATGCAGCATTTGTCAGTCCAGAAACTGTCTGGCTTGATCCAGGATGTCGCTGATCGAGATGGTATTTAAGTATCAAGTGAATCTCATCCTCACGAATGGATTCAAGCACGGAAGAAATGGAGGGGACCGTTTTGAGGCGAGACTTATTCTCAGCCACGTAGCCTACTGAGAGAATACTTCCCAAGTCAATACTGGTAGCAGGAAGCCCCAATGAGTGCCTGTGTATAGCTAGCGCATCTTGATAGGTGTTGCCCGCTGCGTAATTTGCTTGGCTTCGGTTGCCTAGAATTCCCATCATCGATGAGAGAAGAAGGAAGAAATCCATGCTTGCGGGGAGCAGCTTGTGAAGATTCCAGGAGCCTCGGAACTTGGGTCTCAATGCGTCCTGAAAGTTTTCGTATGTCATATTTTCGAACATTGAGTCCTGCATTATCGCGTTAATATGTGTTTTGGATTGAGAACGAGTGTATGTTTTTCTCACCTTAAGAACCATGGAACCTTGAACGCAGCCCTTTCAGGCAAATTTGCTTTGCACTGGTCTATGATGTAGGATAGCAAAACTTCGTCGCTAACATCGCAAGCGAAGATATGAATGTTGCAGCCAGTCGCTTCCAACTCTTGCACGATTCCTTGAGCAGATTCGCCTGCTGCCCCCGATCGAGAGATGAAAATGAGATGCTTTGCTCCCCGTGACACCATCCAGCGTGCTATACTTCTTCCGAGACCTCCAAGGCCGCCAGCTAACACGTAAGAAGCGTTCTGGTCAAATTGTAACGGAGATGACTTTTCAGGAATAATTGGAACAATATCAGTCGGATTTGGTTTGAACACAGTTTTGCCCATACTCTTGCCAGATTGCAGGGATCGGAAAGCTTCCTCGATCTGGGTGTAATCCATAACCCTAGTAGGTTTGGCCAATCGTACTTTGCCTTCAGCAAACAGTCGAACAGTTTCAGTGATTAGTTGCCCAAGCTTTTCCGGCTTATAATTCATAATGATTGTCAAATCAACGCTTGCCATTACTGTTTGGCGCAACAGAGGGCTAAGGTCGATTCTTCCATTTGACTGGGCATCCTTTTTGCCAATTTCAATGAATCGGCCAAACGGGGCCAGCACATCCCAAGAAGCACGTAGAGCATCGCCCGACAGCGAGTTGAGGACCACATCTATGCCACGATTGTTCGTCATGCGCATGATGCCTTTCACAAAGGACAAGTCTCGACTGGAGAAGATGTGGTCCTTCTTCACTCCGTACTCGTTGATAAGAAGATCTCGCTTTTCCGGTGTAGATACTGTGGCAAAGACCTCCGCGCCAACCAGGTTGGCTAATTGGATAGCAGCCTGACCAACGCCGCCAGCTGCAGCATGGATGAGGACTGTCTCTCCCTCGGATAAATGTGCAATGTGATAGAGCCCGTGGATTGCCGTGGAATAAACGCATGGGAGACTAGCAGCATCTTCGAAGCTCACAGAATCTGGGAGCTTTACCACGGCATCTGCACTTTGCCTCCCAAACGTCTTGAGACAACCACCGTCAACAAGTCCGCTCATGTACACCACTCTGTCGCCGACTTGGACGTTGGTAACTTTAAGATCCAATGTGAGAGACATAGCCCGCTGCTTCGTTTCCAAGACATGCTGCCACATACTCTCCCATGGCAATGAGGACACCACGGAAGTTAAGACCACAGCTCTGATTTCCACTTCCACCTCGTTTTCAGCCATTGGGCGGGCCCAAACAGGATCTGTTGCAAAGTGAAGGGCATTCAATGGTCCCGGAGAAGAAGTATCCAGCATAATTGGTCGGCCGGCTTCCCCAAGAGGCTCTTGCTTTCGGTCCGCTTCCGCAAAGTTGGAATGAATGAAGCCATTGACATTTTGAGCGTCGATGAGACGATTTGTCAGCAACTCGTTGTCCTTCAGGAAGTACTCAGCATTTTTGCTTTCATCGTCAATATTGTCTACAAACTGATGTTTGAAAACGGACAATATTGATTCGATAAACTGGTCATCCTTGGTGCTATCCGGTTTGCTTTCGTCGCAGGCGTCATATATAAGACCCAGGTATCCCCGAAGGTAACAAGGTCAGAGTCACTTTAGTCGTCTCTGAGCTGAACGCCACCTTGAGCAATCAGTTGGTAAATCTCAGTGTCTGCCAGATAGCCGGCTGTCTGGGTGCAAGCGCCCAGCATTGCAGTGGAATCGGGTCCGCCAAACAAGCAGTTAACGCCTGTGCACGGAGGATTTAACATGTCAAATGATCTTCTGTAACTTGTTACGCCAACTGCGATTTTGTTGGTGGGAACACCGGCTTTGGTGATCATAGCCAGGCAACCAGGGCAAAACCCGTCTCCGTAGAATTGACACTATAGATGTAAGTCGCTGTTTATGATGCTGCCGAGCGAAACACTTGCTGCGAACGGAGGCAGTTACCACTGGGACAGCCAGGATTACTAAAGGCATTCTAGTAGTCCCATTGCCCATGGAGATCGTAGGTTTCATAGACGATATAATCGAGCACTGGGGCCATGTCCTTGATCGAAAAGCCTCTCAGGTACCTAAATTGGTTAATGTGAAGTCCTTTGGTGACTGTGATCTCGATACATACCAGTCAGAAGCTGGAGCTGCCAAGGATATTCCCAATCAAAGTCCACGCATCTAGGTTATACTTATTAACTATATCCACAACACTGGGGACAAATGTCAGGCGGTTTGCATCGGTAACACTCTCGCGGAAGATGGGGAACGAGTCAACATCCGTGGAGAACAACCAGTAACCAAAGGACAATATACGTTTGAAGGAATTAGCAGAAGCAAACTGGTTAAAGGCATCTTGTTGTTCCGACACTTCAACTTGAAAGTCCGAGGTCAGAGTAGCAAAAGCGTAATGAATATGAGTGTATCCACTGGGAATCGCAGAAACGGGCATCTGGAGACAAGGTCGATCGAGGCCAAATGACTCCCAGTAGCCCACCTTGATGAATTCCGATGGCCCATTGATATTATTAACAATCTCAATGCCACAATTAGAGATGCATCCAGCTGTGCCTGGAGCGGAGGTTCCCAGAGCGCCTGTTGCAGACTGAGAAGCGGTACAAAAGTCTGGAGTGATGCCGGACTGTCCGAAGATATCACACTGGTCAAGTGATGTCAATAGCTGTTGTTATATATACTTGGCACTGGATTGAACATACGCATGCGTTCAACGGACAAGAGTTCAAAGCCGTTATTGTAGAGAAGTCGGCAGGAGACTGAGTTCTAGGCACCTGAGGTCCGCAGTTTCCATTCGAGACTGCAGCAGGGAATGGAGGGGAACCTTGTAGAGAAATTTCGGTTGGATTACCATTTGAAGTGGTGGGAAACAAAATACAACACACCTATACTTAGGCATATAATTTGACCCAGTTGGACGTTACCACATCCTTGCCAGCCCCATGTGTTCTTGTTGAAGTTTTCAATGTCATCGGTGGCGATGGAATTTTCAGCTGCAATTAAGGAGCAGTAATCACCAGGCTGTACGTTGTATTTAGCACACGATCCATCGGGATTTGGTTTGGGACTGCGGTCAGTTAAAGAGCCTGAAGTGTAGCAGACATATTGGCCCACTGCTAGAGTTGAGCATAGGGTTGAACTGGGGTTGAACTGAGCGAATTGTTGCGCCGAAATGCCACACTCAGCAGTCAAGGAGCCGCAGCTGTCCCCAGACACAACTTGAATTGTCGAGCATGTCCCATCTCTAGGCTTAATGCCGCGAGTTGAAACACTGGACTTGATCGTTGGTTTTGAAAATATGGTGACGCTGCTTTGTTTCGTGCTCGCTAGGCCCTGCACACATGTGGCATTATTCCAAGTCTGTAGAGTGTGTTGAACAGAGGCTAGATCCCCGTCTGCATTAACGACTAAGCCCAGTGTATAGTTGCCGTTTATGCCTTTGCCACATCTTTGAACCAGAGTTACTTCACCAAGGCCGTTAGCTTTGACCTGTGATGTGAGTTCGTTCATTATTGTAGCAATACTTCGGCTGCTTTCAATGCTCCCTTCCGCAAAGAAGCCCATGATGAGATGACCGATCTTACCAAAAATGATTGCAGGTGCATCTGCATCAAGACCTATCACGTATTGCTGTATAGCTCTAATAACCCTTCAAACTGATCTTGGTTGTACTTCACATTGTTTTCGGACCATGCTCCCCGGATAGAGATAGCAATTGGAGTAGAGGCTGCCCCTTTGACAGAGGGATTCATGTCATTGAGTTTTAAATTATCTTCAACTGTGTATGCCCGAAAGGTGGTGTGAGTCTTGGGGTAAGTAACGTCATTATGAAGTCACAAATCAAATAACACTGTCTCGTTGCAGCTGTCAAATTTCCCAAGATGATGTATATAAGTCCAGTTGTTTGGCATGGGTCACAGGGTGGTACAAGAATTCGGACATCGTTCAAGTTGAGAAAAGAACTCGAATCCAGAGGCAGCAAGCGCCAGATTTATAATGACCGCAGCAGTCCAGGCTAACTTAGTCATTGCAGAGAAGCCACCAATTCCAGGTGATAGAGAAGATAAACCGGATAATCTTGAGATATTGGTCTTCTGTTGGGTCCACCTCACCTCGACCTTTATACTTTCGAGCTCAACTAGATTGTTTCCAAAATCTCATCTTCCACTTACACTAGCCAGCATGGCATATGGTATAACTCCCACTCAAAAGAAAACATTAGACTCTACCAATGTTTCTATGAGCTCCGTAGCATACACCATAATACCAGCTCAACTGCCGAAGTCTCACGTCATCCGCATGGGCATATCTAGTCCCGGAAAATTGGTTAGACATAGATATTACTACTATTGATCTTATTCTGGCGGGTACGTGAACCCGAGTTCTCTATCCTCTCCTTTTTTCTTCAAAAGAAGGTCTCCATAATTTTAGAGATCTTACAAAAGTGGTAAATATATTCCATATTACTTTCTGGGTTGGGCTATTCAAGTATCTCATGTTATAAGCACCATTCCGGAGAGAGCAAATATCTTAGCTATCTATTTTTCTCTTTCCTTTTTCATGGCAATAGCCCCATATTCCAGAAGCTACTATACAAAAGTGCCTAGGAAAGATCTTCCGTGGTACTAGGCCTACTATTGCTCAAGTGTCTCATGCCATCGATGTCGGGCAATCTAACCTGGGCACTGCCTTTGCAAAGGTACGAAGTAATTTTACGATGTGGGTAGCTAAGATCTATATCCATCCTATTTCCTTCTTACGCCCAACCCGAACATAGACTCAAAATCCCGATATGATAATTGACGCCCTCGACTATCTCTCAGCAGGGCGTATATACCCTTTACCGCAGGGTTCTTTTGAAAATGACTATGGGGCTCTTTCGGTGAGAATCCAGATTCCTCAGCAGTTACCGGGATCCGAATATCTTCGCATGACTACAGCATCTAACTTGATTGGCCATTTCCGTCATACTAGACTGCGCATAAGTCCGAAGCTAAGTGATGTGGCCTTGAAATAGAAAGTGTGCCGCAAAGGGACCCTCAGACTATATAATATACAGCTCGATGATGTGCCTGCCAAAGTCCTGGCCAACAACTTTCTCCCTTATTTGAGACCTCCTTGGTTACACTATTCACCATACGTAGCCTTAAATTTGCTCCTTTACGTCTTCTCTTCAATCATGTTCGCCGTGCATCGTGTGGCGCAGTACAGTTTGTCGTCAGAGAGGCGACAGAACCACTGAGTATAGGGAAGCCATTGCCAGACGCTTCCGTCGACGCATTTCCTGCTTACGATACTGTTAGAGTTGCTACTGTCCACTTCGAATACCGCGGTACCTCAGCTGAAGTGCCACAAGTGGCGGCAGAGCTGGCGGCAATGCAGTTCATTTTCCAGCAATACGATTTTAATGTCAGCGACCTGGCGATTCCCCAATCTTCGAGTTTAGATGCTTATTCATTTTTGGAATCGGAAATTGCGTCGCTTTACTCTGGGCTAAGCGGTCCCAGGGCACTTGTAATCATTATATACGGCGGCCATGGTGACGAAGGCGGCCTGTGGACAATAGGCCGAGGAACTGAGTGCGTCGATCGCCTGGCGAATCCAAGTAACTCTTAGTCCATATAAGCTTTGTGATCTAGGAACATGTGCTAATATACTTATGATCAAATGGCAGTCAGCTGGAGCAGCATAGATGCCAATACAGTTGCCCCAACGGGTATCGATACCTTCCAGATCGTCGACGCATGTTTTGTTGGCGGCTTCGTTGCTACATCACAAGACATATCTCCGACTGCGTGGGCTGGCCGTGGAGCTTTTAGTGCCATAACATCTGCAAGCGGTTGTTCAGTTGCTGGGGTTAACCAGCTGGCTTTTACCAAGGCGGTTATACATACTCTGGCCCCAGCTGATGGTGCTCTTCCCACGAGTTTTTTGCCTACAAGTCTTTTCAACGCGCTCCCTAGGGTGAATCGAGCTTATGCACAGTTAACTGGGGATTATCAAGAAGTAAATGCTATAATTTCTGGGAATTATGTTCCTCAGCTTTACGAGCTGGGTACAACCATTCTTCCTCTTGGGACAGGAAGCACACGCAAGATTGCGCCATTAGATTGCTAGTCTTGAGAATAAGAGACATAGTGAGTGAATATCAAACATTGGGGTCATATGTATACTTACAGGTGGCGGTTGTGTAATATACCTATGAAGATTTGAAAGCCAGAGTTTCACGTAAAATGTAAACTGAGACCTGAATGTAAATCATGATTGAATTGACAAATTGCTTAATATTCTTCCTCAAAGCCATCTCAACAAGATCAATCATAACACATTTTATTCGAAGGAGTTAGCAAGGTATAAGATAATAATCTTTGCATGTTATCTAAATAAGCTACTCTAAAAGAGAAAAGTTCCGCAAGGCCAAGCGATGCAAAAAGGTATAATGAAATGCAGATACGCTAAGATTGACTCAAGTAACTACTAAGCAGTAGCTTGATACTAGCAGACTTAAAGTCCTAGGAAACGGTATCAACCAAGGTATAACAAAAAGGTCTATAGCAGTAGAGAAATCCGGTCTTCGTATTGGGTCAACTATTACTTACATCTTGTACCGTGTGTAAAAACTTTGAATCTCATTTTTGTAGAAATATATCGAGAGCGCCGCAATGCCAATCACTACTGATAATCACTTACTGATCCTCTGATTGCTTCATCAACATGTACCCTCTTGATTCCAGGACATGGCCCAAGGCAAACCGCCTTATCTGCAAGTCCTTGGATTAGCTTATCGATGTTAATCGTTATTTGCAGGCTCTCTTGTGCTTGTTGATTTGTTGCTGCATTGTTCGTTTGAGCGCGCATCTCAGGATACCATTCTGACAATGTGAAATTATTTCGTCCCGTTGGCACGGTTTGGTCTTCTCGCATAGATTTACCAAATATTGTGAAATCATGTTCTGGAAGAGCGGCACGTTTCGTCCTTGCCTCTCTTCGAGAATCTGATATATCCTCCAACGTATTCAAACGAGAATTGTTGGCACCATGAGGTCTGAGCGTACCCAATCTGGCTGCTTCTGGTAATGGTTGATAGTCAATCATCGGAGTTGATAGACTTATGATATCACTAGGCGAGCCCATGCGAACAAATATTCCTCGCTGCTCAAGATATTCCTCAACATCTGGCGCCTCCAACCACTCTCCTTGGAGGTCGGAAATGGCAGTGTTAAGCATTGTTCTTGTCCGTCCAAAGTGTAAATTTTGCAAATTTGGCGGCGATGACCGTGGCGTCAGGGTGGCAAGGTCTCCTTCGATAAGACGCATCATCTTAGGTAAACTCGCGTTTCGGCCATCGCCATATTGACAGTCTGAAAAAAATCCACTGGGGTTTCCAGAAAGGCGACGAGCAGTTCTTTCAAGAAGTTTTTCTGCTCGCTCCAGTTGTAGCGGTAGAAGCATTGTTGGATTAATTGCAACGACGGAGAAGTTGCCCAGCTGCAGAAGTGCTATCGCTCTTGTCAGACAGGCCAATAGCAGCCGCTGCGAGACTGGAGCCGGCTTGCTACTGGTAAATGGTCCAGACTGCCTCTGATGAGGATGATAATGATGGGTTTTTGTCGTTTGATTCTCATCAACTGTGATATCGCCAATGAGATTGCCGGCAGGTTCATGAGCAGCATCAAATTCATCCCCAGAGGCATTTGGGTCTTCTTCAGGAGATTGGTTCTGGTCGCCGGTCAACATAGACTTCTCCAAGCGAGCCTTCCTCGCTATAGATACGATATTCATCGCTGTCTGGTTGAGTTGAGTCATGACACCAGCAGGTAGCTCTTTTCCCCTCTGTGAGACATGCTCATAAAACTTGATAAACTCGTCAATTGAGCCATCCAAAGCCACCTCAAGCACTTCAGCTCGAGCTTTTGCAGATACGAGAGCGCTTTGTTTCCGGCTGCGATACGATCTCTGCGCCAGTCTCATTCGTGTTCTTCTCTTATTAAATAAGTTAGATTTTTATCCGAGGGCAAGAAACGATGCAGTTGACTTACCGCTTGATCGTTGGCCGCCTCCTGACCCGTCTCGATCATTCGCGGACGTCCGGGTCGGCGCCGCGGCGCAGTTTCGGCCTGGACATCCGTGATTGGTTTATCGCTCCCCATCTTAGTATTGTCGAATAGCTCGTAAATACAGCTCGGCTTCAAGGTAAATGGTTTGTCTATGTATTATATTATCCTTCGTTTGTAATGACCAGAGCTTCTCACTGTGTTGTAGCGGGGCAACTGAGCTGACAAATATTTCCAAGGCTTCTGTGACGCCAGTCATCTCACGCTAACGCCGGAGAAAATCTCAAGTCAGACAAATTGTTTTTTATCTAAGACCGATGTCCGTTTGCAGTTGTGTTTTTCGTGTGTGTCTCTTTATTACTAAATATTTTGAGGCGACGAGCGGAAATAAGGTTCAATAACGAAACAATTAATGATCTACAAAACAGAGAGACAATATATAAAAGGAAATTTCTTGTCCCTGTTTCGCGGTGATGATTTTGGTTAGCCGTCAAGAGAGACAAATAAAAGAAAAAGGGATTCATTTTGCACGTTTGCCAATCAATTGCTTACCATAACGTCTTCTCCATATTACATCATGTCTTCTCAATATGTGTCGCTCGCCATCGGTGCTCATACCTGGACGCCCGACAACATTACAGAGGTTGAGGGTCTGTTGCAGGTTATGCGCAGCCATGGAATCAAGATCATTGACACTGCTAGAAGCTATGTATGCGAATAGTTTTCATCTTCCTCTTCTTCATATTCATGAAAAAACGGAACAATGGCTGACTAATTGGACAACACAGGGCCTCGGCGCATCGGAGACCACTATCGGTCTCAAGAAGTTGGCTGGCGAATTCGCCATCGACACAAAGGCAGCCACGGGAATAGCACCTGGTGCAGGGCAAAAGATTTTGGAATTCGCCAAAGAGAGCTTAGAAGCACTCCAAACTAACAAGGTAAACCGGCCTTATATGCAATTTCATACCATGCTGTCAGTAAGATTCTGACTGTGCAAACTAGGTCCGAGTTTTCTTTATACATGCCCCAGTGAGTACCTGACTTCCTTACTGTTACCTCGTTATGCATGCCTTCACTAACTCTTGCTTTCCAAACGCAAAGGATGAAGACACGCCCGTGGGTGTACAAATGGAAGCCATCCAAACGCTGTACAAGCAAGGGGCTTTTGAAACGTTTGGAGTGTCCAATTTCACTCCAGAGCAGGTGATTGAGTTCTACAACTACGCCAAATCCAAGGATTATGTTCTTCCTACAGTATATCAGTCTAGCTATTCGCTGGCTGTTCGTCAGAACGAAACAAGACTGTTCCCAACTCTCCGCAAACTTGGCATCTCAATCCAAGCTTACTCACCAATGGCGGGAGGCTTGTTATCAAAGACTCCAGAGTACATTGAAGCCGGAAAGGGGAACTGGGATCCCAATAGCATCACTGGCAAGATCTTTCGTGACCTTTACTATAAACCATCTTATTTGAAGATGTTGGAAGAATTCGGGAAGCTATCTGCGGAAACTGGTATCAGTCGATCGGGTTTAGCTTATCGTTGGGTGAGATATCATTCAGCGCTCAAGCCAGAGCTTGGAGATCAGATGATTCTGGGCTCCGTGAATGCTCAGCAATTGGAGGAGGCTCTGGGCGAGCTTAATAAAGGCCCTCTTGAGGCAGCAACGGTTGAAAAGCTGGAAAGCCTGTGGCAGCTTATCAAAGATGATGCGCCAATTGACAATCTCGTCTCCGTCCGCAAGGTTGTTCGGGGATCTGCATAGAACCCAGCGTGGTATCCAAGCAGAGCTGCGGAGTACATGGTTTAACTAGAGAAGTCTATGGACGTCTTTTTTTAAAGTCCTAAGGCTCGATATTACCTGTTGGAATGAATGTAATACACAGCTTCATTTTAGCTCTTGAGTTAACCATTTCGGTGCATTATTTGACTTGAGCGCAGGCGATGAGCCACAACCCATCGAAGGCTGGAAAAAAGTTTCACCTGTTGTTACTGTAAAGTACAATTGCCATAATATGTTTCACTAATATGGAATATTCCAGTGCAATGACGAAAGCCTACATGAAGTTACAAAGTCAAAATGAGCCTTTGGCTGGACAGCAATGACTCTTCGATAGCTTTAAGCTATTTCCATATTTGAGCGCATCCAAAGCTTAGATACATGGCAGCTAATTACGCGGTATATGCCAGCCTACCGCTGTTCGTACATGAGAAAATAAGAAGTTGACTATACCTACTTGTTCTCATTTGCATGCTCCCACAGCGGCCACTCATCCTAGTGGCGGTGACATCTACATAGCCTACCCTATAATTTGTGCCTTGGAACTGCAACTCAGATAAAGGCCTTCATTCAAGTCGCACATAACAAGTAAACTTTCAAAGCAACCAAAATGACGTCTTTCCTAATAAAATACATTGTTCATGAACAGTAATCTCCTCAATACAAAACTCCTTTCAAACCATTCAGCCAGAAGATGGACTATAAAAATTCATCAAGCTGATGGCTGCTGGTTGAAACTCTCACGGTGCCACTCAACGCCAGCGATTTAGCTTACATAACTCATAGATAACCCCCTGTCTCCACAGGGTCTTACCAAAAGAGGCTCGTGAGACCCTGAAAACTTATCTCCACGAGAGTATCAAAAATTTTTCACGAGCCAGCAAACAGGCCCCACGTGGGCTAGTTGGACGGATGTCAGAGGGGCGAAGGGCCTCTCCACCATAGAAACGGTGAAGAGGAAAGAAAAGGGGAAGAAAACCCTCCGTAAACACTTCTTTTGCCAGCAATAGCAGACTGGCCTTCGCTGAAGCAGCTCCTTTACAATGGGGATGCCTGTTGTGGAGACTCGCCTGGTTCCGGTTCCGCTGTCTCTAAGTCTGCCACCCCTCAGGAAATCGACTAGTCTCACAGAGGCTGAGGCACGGCAAGCTCTGCGTCGGCTTCACGAGTTTACTTTGTATCCAATCCCGCGAGTGCTTGAGCTGGGATCGGCCAGTCACCATCAGGATGCGTCCGAGCTAGATTCAGGTTATGCGTCTGAAACTGAAGCTGATGAGGCATCCAAGGCGGGCAAGGCGATCCCTCTCTACCTGGACCCTATAGAACGCGACTTCGCCGTGCGCTGGCTCACCGGATTCATTGGACAAGCCTGGGAGTTCCCTCTGAACGATGACACGCGCGATGAGTTTGTGGATGCTGCATGTTCGCTGTTGTCGCATTTTACTTCCGCCGAGGATGACTCCAACACGCCCGATGAAGATCCCGGCATGACGCGCCGGTTTCAGTTCTCGACTGGCGACGGCGCCAAAACCTTTGTGGTTGATCTTTACGATACTCCCATGCAAACCGGCGAAGACCACACCGATGTCGGCTTGCAAACTTGGGGAGCCTCCATCGCATTCTCTCAGATGTTTTGCACTGCGCCCATGGATTTTCTGGCGACCACGAGAGCAGTTGATTCCTCTACTCGAATTGTTGAGCTTGGTGCCGGAACTGGCCTTGTCAGCCTGGTGCTTGCAAGTCTGTTACCATCGATAACAGATTCACTGCCGTCTATTGTTGCAACCGACTATCACCCCACCGTGTTAAAGAACCTGGAAAAGAATGCAGCGTCCCATTACAAAGAAAGCGGCTCTACAGCAATGGTGCAGGTGGCTCATCTTGATTGGTGTGCACCTCCATCGGACGTATCTGCAGACATTCTTGTGGCAGCAGATGTTGTCTATGCTGTGGAGCATGCTCGATGGCTTCGTAATTGCGCTGCTTCTATACTTACGCCGGATGGTGTCTTTTGGTTGATGGTTTCTATCAGACCTAATGGCAAGTTTGCAGGTGTTTGTGATTCGATAGAAGCCATATTCACTGAGCCAGGCGCATCTGACAAAAATGACAGCCGATGGCTGAAAGTTCTGGATCACCGATGGATAAACAAGAAGGATAGCATTGGACGAGCCGACGAAATCGGTTACAAACTCTTTAGAATTGGATGGGCGTGAGCAATGTGTGCATTGACAATTTTTGGCGTTACTACGGTAGAGAGGGTTGCAATTTACAGAGCGTATCGCGCAGTAGAATAGACATAGAGCAAAACTTTACCGGCAATAGAATCATAGATAGCTTCTAGAATGTTTACGATAAATGGCTGATACTCTAAAGGTTCATTAGCTAGAATAATTCTAGGCGGATGAGGACCTAATGAAACCTCAAGCACTTTTTGTTGCAGGAAGAGTATCCGCTTAAACAGTATGGAATAGCTCTTTACTGCAGAAGGGAGGAATTACTTATTATCAGTATTTGCAGATGTAAAGAGATAGTTGCACGTGCTGTCTTTCGATGCTCAAAAGGGAGATTGAAGACGCGCTCAATAGCACGCAAGCGGCAGTCAATTATTACTTCTGGTGCCGTAATTCGAAGGTGGCGGAACCGGACAGTTTCTCGGGCCGCCGCACTGTCGGAGCCCAAATGCTTAAATTTTCGGCCGACGCTGAATCCCCCCGAGACATGGCTTTCATCACGCCTTGAGATGGAAGATGAAATGACCACGGCAAAACGCGGCGAGAAGAGGATCAAGGGGCGAGTTGCGATAGCATGCACTGAGTGCCGCAACCAGCATCTGCGGTGCGATGCCATCGTGCCGACCTGCTCCAGATGCCGCAACTTACACAAAACATGCGTCTATATGGATTTACGGCGGAGCCGCCGGAGACACGCTGAAGTCGAAAAGCTGGTGTCCTCGGAGCATCACAACAATAACTCGATGGCGGTAGAGACCAGAGACATTCCGGTAGTATATCAACAGAGTCATCTCTCTGAGGAACCTCTGTCACCTTCAGGGGAGTCGAGCCCTTTACCAACCTTTGTCGCGTCTAGCAATGCTCTGCGGCCAACTGTGTTTGCGGACAATGACCTTCTTTCCACCAGACCGGTTGACGGGTTTTATATGTTTTTCTTCCCGGGTCATCCATTCATTTTACCGCGAGTGCATTTGATGCGTCACTTTGAGAAAACCCCAGATTTCAGCTGTGGATTGGTTCTCATGATCACCTTCATTGGTTCGCTATATACTCACAATTCGCTGTCAAACGATTATAGGCGGCAGGCTGAGCAGGCTCTGGAGAGTCAGCTTGCGCCTCATGGATTTAATGTTCAAGCTTTGATGCTTCTAGCCCTCACCCTGGAATGGTCAGGTGAGAATGAGAGCGCCGCGATGTATCTTGAACGAGCGAAGACGATGGGCCTGGAGATGGGCATTCACCGGCGAGACTTTGCTTCTCGCTGTGGCCACGGGGACAAAGTTTTGGAAGAGAGCTGGCGACGTACCTGGTGGGAGCTCTATGTGATTGACGCACTTTTCGCCGGCATTCGACACCTACCTACATTCACATGTTGGAGAGTAGATACAGATGTTGAAATTCCCTGCGAAGAAAAGCTATATGTTACAGGGGTGAGGCCTATTAATACCAACCTTTATAGACTGTGGCGTTCTCTCTACTGACTGCGCCTAAGATGATTCCTCAGCCTCGGACGCTTCGCGAGTACGACAATCGTGGGTTCGATGACAGCGATGAAAGCTTCTCCTCCTTTGCATATCTCATCGATGCCACCCGAATCCTGGGGACAACGTTAGCTGCCGGTGACATTGCTAACACGTCCGCCTATTCTTTGGTCAAGAACGCTGAAGCAAATTTGATGAGCTGGGATTTGCATTTGCCACAGGCAAAGCGCGACCCTGTTCAATCTGATGGAACATTGGATGAAGTGCTATTCAAGGCTCACATGGCAATAAATACGTGAGAATATCCCGAGAAAGAGTTCATTTCTCCTCTCCTCTCCCCTATCAAAAACTTATTTTACTGTAAGCTAACGACATCCGTGTAGTACATCTACTCATCTCCATCGACCAAGATCAATGCTACACTACACTACAATGGAACTTCTATGCTCAAAATATGCACCACCGCTTCCTGCCGAAGTTCTGAGTGCTGAAGAGCAGCATCAAGATAGGCATACACACAAGGCGATTAATGCGGCAAAGAATTTTGTCGATTTACTTACCGCTTCTTCTTCACCGCTAACACACAGCCCCTTTGTCATGTGTATGGGATCATTAGCCGTAGCCACTTATTTGTCTGGTTGTGAGCACATCTTGACAGGCTCCGAATTAGCACATGCTAAAGATCGAATCCGGGTATTCTTAGGCATACTGAAGGCGTTCGCAAGAATATGGTCGCAGGCGCGACACTGGTCGGGAGAGATCAAGCTAATGGCGAGAGTGGTTCTTGACCAGCAGGACGGTGCTGGGCAGATCGGGTTCCCATCCATACAGGCTATGCCAAGTTTCGAGGAGATAGTATTCAACGATGGGCCGGCAGAAGAGATCAACGTATCAGACGTGAGAAAAGATTGGGGGAATTTGATGGAAAATTTATGAATGGCATGGCTAATAGCGCAGCTACTTGAAGGAATATGCGACCAACCACCGCCTACTTATTCTTCAGCGACGAATTTGATCACGGCTTTTCCTTTCCTGCCTCTTTGTGCGGCAAATTCCCAGGCCTCTACCGCCTCTTCCACCTCAAAAGCCACAACAGGAATAGGTTTCAGGGTTCCATCGTCTATAATCGAGGCCACCCTAGAAAGAGCATCGCCGTCGGGGGAAACAATAAAGTGTAACCACTTAACTTCTGGGTGGTTCTGTAATTCTTCGGGCTGTCCCCTGCCGAAAGCCCAGTTTGGAGCCGGGTCTCCTACTGTTACGATGATACCAGTCCCCTTCACTGTGGTCCAGGTCTTGCTCAATATTTCACCTCCGACAGTATCGAAAACTGCATCCACGCCATGGATTTTCTCGTTCCAATCAGCATTGTTATAGTCCAAGACCTGATCTGTCCCCAGTTTTGCCAACATAGCGTGGTTTGAAGAAGAAGCTAGGCCGATGACTTCTGCATTGAGAAGCTTCTTCGCCATCTGTACCAAGATAACACCAACAGCTCCTGAAGCCCCTGTTACAAGGATTTTGCAACCCTTATCCAGATTCGAGTGCTTGAAAATGGCTTCCCAAGCCGTCAGGGCCGGGATTGGAATGGCTGCCGCTTCCGCATGAGAAATGGATGACGGTTTGACGGCTATCTCATTTGGCATGGCAATTGCGTATTCCGACTGGCCTCCCTGCGGAGCTTCTGCATCAATCATAGCATAAACACTTTGGCCAAGAGAGAGTGGTCCGCTGTACTGAGGCCCGAGGGCGTCGATTGTGCCGGATATATCATGTCCCGGAACTCTGTTGGAAGAAGCATATAGCTCAGGCCAAATAATTTCATCCGCCGTTATTCCTGCGGCATGAACCTTGATAAGAACCTGATTTCCGGTGGGAGATGGTCGAGGCAGGGTGTCTGATAGAATGATGCGGTGATCATTTTGACTGCCCAAAATTTGCACAGCTCTCATTGTTTCGATATGGGGGAATAATTGGAGAAATTCAAGGTGAGAATTAGAAGTAAGGTTCAGCCCAGTGAGCGGAGATCAAAATGCTCTGAGATTTATAGTAGCAGCATATGTCACTTGAGAGGGTGGCTGTACGATGTAAATGCTGGAAGTCAGGAAATGACTTGAGGCTTCCCGATTTACTGCGGCTATCTCCCCCTGTTCCGGCTACTAGGGGTGAAGAAAATTAGATGGAATTTATTATGGCAATGCCCGAATATTTCGTCATTCAAGGATCACTGGATCATAATGTGAACAAGGTTCGGGTAATGGCATGCCTGTATTCGGGTCGGGCGCCCGGAAAGCCACAATCGACCCGAGTGTGGGGCTTGTGTGAACTGGCCCGACCCGAATGACAAGTGAATATTGAGCCATAGCAAGTTGGACAACTCTTAGAGGCCAGTTATCCATCTGATGGGTGAATCAAGTCATCGGGCGACTGCTATGTGCGGCTTGCGGATGACCCGTATTGCCTCATCTAATACAATCCGACATTATATTTTTCTGAACCTGTGTGTATGGTTCTTTTCTATATAAGAAACAACGATGGCTTCTTTGTTGCCCGAGCTGTCGCAAATTAAAATATTCCTCAGCGAATCCTTCTACTCCAGTTTACCAGAGCTTCTTACGCTGTCTAAACACAAATATCATGGCATCTTCAGTGACAGTGACAAAAACGTAAGGCGTTAATAAATTCAAGCACCGAGAACCCTGCTGATGCTATATGGCTAGAAATCGACCGCGAGAAGACATTAAAATCCTCTTTGACCATGAGCTAGCCAATGCACCCGGAAAGTCGATCATCGGTATCCATCTTGATTACCCCCCCGAAGGTTTCACTCCTCCACATCGGCATGGCGGTGCCACCGTTGTCGCCTACGTTCTTGAAGGCGAACTTCTGAGTGGCATGAACGGTAATCCCCCCAAAGTGTACACTCCTGGGGAAAGCTTTGTGGAGCTTCCTGGCTGCCATCATACCGTGGGAGAAAATACCAGCAAAACTACGTCGACACAAGCTATTGCTATTTTTGTAGTGGATACTGACGTAGTGAAGACTGGCGGTTACGAGGCCTTGACAGTGCTTGACGAGGGCTGGTAAAAAGATGCATGACAGGAAATTTATGGCAAATTTTGCTAGAAAATCTAATATCATACCTCTATCTGTACCTACAAGTACCTACATATAAATTGAAGTCCAAAATGGCGTTTTCTCAACAACCAGTGGTGGTTTGGGCAGCGGTTTCTAATGAAATACAAAGGTTTAGGAATGGGCTGAGGGCCTCAAAGGCCCAATCAAATACAGATATTTAATATTGTGAGATCCCAGAATGCATCCAAGTGGCCACGGTGTAGCTTGCAGAAATCAGTAACGAAGACGGTAACCTCTGCCCAAACTTGAAACCTGTCACAACGTACCTAAATAAGAACCAAAACTACTAAGGTACCTTAGTGCCTAGGTATTAAACCCTGAGATACATTGTAGCCTGGTTTTGCTTTTATCAACATGCACCTAGGCCTGGAAACTAATAACATCAACCGGATAGGTGGAGTTACAATGACAATTCGTCAGATTTGGTTAACGGAAGCATTACTTTCAAGGACACGAGCCTTTCTCTGGGAGTCACATATGTACGAATTCTGACGTGTTCAATCTTTTCCACTCTATTCCTAGAGTGGATAAAGAGGCGGCAGCTGCTTGATGCTAACATTCTCGACTTTTCCAACGGTTGGCCTGGTCTTCCACGTATGAGCACCGTGGCTAATTCTGAGATTGCTTCTCCACTTCCGCGCAACTAAATCTCGATTCATTGGCCTAGACTACGGAGTATGGAGTAGTTTACTTCGGATAGCTAGACAGAGCCAGGAACTGGGACGAGCTGAAAAACTTAGTGCCCGCTAGTTTAAATAGTCTGTGGTACTATTAGGGGGCATTGATAGCAACACAGATCCCATTCAGCACTTTACGGGTCTTTTCCCGACCTTGTTCAATTAAATCGCTAATAGTGTCGTGACTTTAGGCCAGCTACTCATGCCGAATTCAATAGAGCCATGGGATGGGGACCCGTGTCGAGGCTCAGGGCAATTGCAAGGGATGAAGAAGCTAGTGATTTTGCATCGTGAGATCTCGTTTATAAGCTATAGACAGCATGCTAATCCGGATCTAAATTCTTCTTCTTAAAGTTCTTAAGTAATTCTCTTATTTATTAGGTCTCTAATAAGTTTTCTTCCTATTTTACGACCTCAAAATGATAAATAAGATTATTATTGGCGCCCTTGGCCTCGTCGTCAGCGTAGCCGCAACTCCTTTGGAGCTTGCTGAGCGAAGCTCGTGCAGAGATGACAGTTTATACAAGTGCTTCGCTGATAGAGAATACTCCCATTCAGCATCTGCATACTGCTCTGCGCTGACTCCGGTTACAAAAACAGTCACCATAGTAAAGCCCACGGTGTGAGTGCACGCTTGATATACCTGACTTAGGAGCCACGATCTCTGACATTATTGTGTATAGAACAAAGACAGCATGGGTCACTAGCACTGCCAATCCATCAACCGACTTTGTCAGCTCGACAACCAATATTTACACAGCAACGGTTCCTTCTTCAACAGAAACAGTAACCGAGACGGCGACCGAGACGGCGACATCAACAGCAACCCAGAGTGTAACGACGACAGTAACTGTCACTGGTGGCCAGAACCAGCAACCACCGCCTACCACAACGCTTGCTCCGTTAAAGCGTGACGCTCAAGGAGGAAAGCCGGAGCCGCCAAAGTGTATGCTCACTAAATGCTTCGTATACTCTCCCGAACGCATCACAACGGGTTGCAGCTGTATCGGTGTGCCGCCTAAGACGGTCACAATCTCTCAGACGGCCCCTTGCTCGACAGTTACAGTGGTATGGTTCCCCCTCTCTCTAATATTTGCTCCATCATATCCACCAGAGGTGGTGCTGACTAGTACAGACCTCGACTTCAGTGACGACGCCTCACGTTACAGCAACAGCATGGCAAACTGTAGCCACGGAACTCGCTGACGGCGTTTCAACTACCACAGCCACTGTTACAGCCACAGTCTCTACTACGGTCACAACAACTGCTACCACGACCACGACCGTCACCGTCACACCTCCAGCACAGAACCTCGTCCCCAATGGCGATTTCTCATCTGGTTCGACTGGATGGAGCGTCATCAACAGCGCCCCGTCCGCATGGGTAAATGGAGGGGTGGGCACCTCCGGTAGTCCAGATGGTACATCCAACGCTTACCACATTACCAACGTCATTTCCACTGGACAACTTTTTATAGCCAGCCCTCTCTTTGGATTAAAGGCAAGCTCCTCATACGGTGCATCCTTCATGGTTGCCTCAACGAGTACCGATCGCAGCTTGGTGAATACCGTCCGTACCCAACTCAACTGTGGCTCGATTACCCTGGTGGATACAAGTTTAACCCAGGCGACACAAGATGCAACTGGTTACTATACCGTCTCGGCGAGTTTCAACACTCCCATTACAACCGATCCCACCACTGTAGGCCAGTTGGGTAGATGCCAGTTGCAGTTTCTCTTCCCTCATTCTTCGCAACCGCCAGTTACGTGGTTCCTGGCTAAGGTTTCTATCACGTCGACCGGTGCTATTTCTGCTTAGGCATTGGGGGAGCGGGTTGCCATTTAATAGGAGAGCGAACATTAAAAGCAGAGTGGCGCGCGAAATTATATAGATATAGATTCATTTGGGCCATATTATCACGTACATACATATAATAAAAATACCGTCACTCTCTCTATGAGCATTCATTCGATTCACCTGCGTTTATGCCAACACAAGCACTACACATGGTATATACTTGGCTCTCCTTCATCGGATATGATGAATGGGTCAGTCAGGGCTATACTGAGCTTCAAGTTTCAGGAACTGCATTAGACTGGCTCTATACTTTGAATACATAGTATTTGTACCACTGCCATCTTGGCTCTACCTATACTCGGCTCCACAATCACCTACCTTTTGGAATATTTCAGCCCTTCGACTTCGTATTAAGATCTCCTCAATTGACTCGCGGTCGGATTGATCAAGAGACCAGCCGAAACTCGACAGATTCTCATCTGTATGTTCGCTTATGCCCATACGTGCACCAACGATGACGGCGCCAACGTAGGGAAAGTCTAATACCCAGCGAGTAGCGACATTTGATATGTCGACCTGGTGTTTTGTGGCAATCACGCGCAGCACTGTTAACAGCTCCTGGAAGAGGCTCCAGCCACCCCAACTGCGAATCATTTCGAAATACTAGGGTCGGTAGTCAGTAATGCAGCAGTGGAGAAGTATATTTTGTGTCTGATCACCCTACCTTTCGCTGGCTTGGTGTGATTGACCCATCGTAGATATCTGGCTCGGGCTTTCCAAGCCATTTATCGGCAAGAAAACCACCGCACTGCATTGGTAAATTTGTCAATGTTGATGCAGTCAACTATGAATTAGTTCCGACTGAAAAGCTTACCAAGGTGCCATATGTTAAGAGCTTGATATTGTGTTCCTCACAAGCGCATCCCATCTCGAAGACTGGCCGAGAGTCGACGAGAGAAAACTATTTCACAATTAGCGATTATTATTCACCATTGACTTCTCTCATCATCAAGGTGATCACTGTGTCGAACCTGAACTTGGTTGGTGTATACTCTGATACCAGCCTGGACCACCTCGAGCAAATGTTTTGTATCGAAATTGCAGAGACCAACTGTTTCAACTCTATCATCCTCCGTTAGAAACTGGAGAGCTTTCAGATAATCTGGATTTTGATACTTTGCGTCTATTAGCACGAAACGTATGATTGTAGGGGGCAATATTTTGAGCTCTTACAAATTGCCAATGAAACTGCAACAGATTAATTTTCTCTGTCTGCAATCGGCGGCATCGCTCGGTGACATTGGCCTGTACAGCCTCTCGAGATACGGTCATCGGATGGAAAACGCAGTACTTTGTTGCCGTGAATATTATATGCCTGTGCGGGTACAGAGATGAAAAGCGTCCCTATGGTGTGTAAGCGATGGATATCGTTTGAATCGATGTAAATATGACATACAAATATGACTTCAGCGTCACCATAGTGATCAGCCATGTCGAATGCTGTAAATCCTTGCCGGACATGACTTGAGAATTGCTCAACAATCTTAGAGGATGATGCAGCCCCCCAAGCAGGGCTGGACATTTGCCAGAGCCCCGAAAATATTCGAGGAACCGTGCGTCCATTTAACAGGAAAGTTTCTCTTGCTTGTTGAGGTAAAGGTATCATAGAGGTCTGTTTGCCGAGATCTTGATGCGCATCTAGAAGCGTAGGTCGAGGTAGCCCAAGGATACCAGCCGTGGATATTAGGCTTCGCCCGAATGGATAGTCATGCTCAGTTGTTTTTAGAGTAGCATAGCAGCTTGTCAATGATTGATAGAGAGCTTCCACCAATGCGTGCTCTCCATTATCCATTACCCGCGTGCCAGTATCTATAAAAAGGGATTTCTGAACAGCAGTCATTGCTTGCACGATGTCGCCATCCACGCTCGTCAAAAAGGTAAATAGTTCATATTGACTGTCATCGCTAGTTCTTGATATCAGAATCGTTCCCTGAGCGACCAAGTTCTGGAACAATTGAAGACTTTCGAACGAGAGCCCACATCCGAGCATACTGCGGGCGATCTGTTGCGTCCTTTTTAGTTCGGCAAGACTGGCCTTTTTGTCTTTTCCTATTATCGAAGATATAGCTCTCTGCTCGACAAATTTCTTCGTCTCACACTCGAAAGCGCGTGTGATCTCTGGAAACAATACCAAAAGTGCCCTCATCACCACGCGAAGACCATCGGCAGGGAGGTTGGCGATGATAGTATCTGTCATCATGTTGACGTGAGCCGTGCTCACGCCCCCTTGTTGTGCGATGGCCATGTTGAATAATACTGAATTTGAGCAGCCAAAACGTATTACGCTTCAATTCTGCAGTTCCAAACGCGTATGCTAAAGCGATATTATATACTGAGCCGGGCAGTATTTTTTTTTTTTCGTATGTTGAAGAGCAGATCACTCCTCCTTCGAGCACGTCAAAACCTCGTGATCTGACCTTGTACGCCGCCGTGTTAATTTTCAGCCCGCTAGTATTTCAAAGCCAAAGTTACCGGCGTTTCAACGGCCGCATAGATTGCCGGCCGGCCTCTCACTCACCGCAGTGGAAGTTCACAGTAATCTCGACTGTTCCCGGAAGGCCTGGACCTAGTGTGATCTCTCTGCTTCGATATTGATTGCCCAGTAACGGCTTGAGATGGTGATGCGGGGTTGTCGACTTGATATCGGAGCACCACTAATCGTCGTTCCGCTTCCTCGGGATCCTCCAAGTTCTACTCCGTACCACTCGTACTAATCTTGCTTTCGGATTGTCTGGAGTCCGTAAGAGAACTAGCATCTGTCAGGCCCACAGGCTCCACAGATCTTTGGATGCCATCGTTTTCGCGTCTTGGCTATTGTGTCCGCGGTTGAGTTGATTGCTCCACCACCAACTGACATATCGGGTTGTCGCGAACCAGTTAGGCTACACGCGTTTGTACATTGCCGTCACCATGAATGCCTGTCTCCCATGTCGAAAAGTAAAGATGAAATGCCGGCAAGGCAGCCAACCGGCTTCTAAATGCGAGCGTTGTGCGCGAAAGTCTCTTGACTGCGTGTTCCAACAGCACCGTAGAGGCCGGAAGCCTGGGACAAAGTAAGTGAGACACGGCCTGCCGCTGAGTTTGGGTTAACAATGTGTTTGTACGAGTAGGATCTCTAAGCGGAATATGCCTGCATTGCCTTCCACCTTTGCGGCTGTGAAGAAGACGCCGGACTATAGCGGTGACACTCCATCTATTGCAGAGAGTGTGCCCGCTGAGGAGCCTGGCAACCTGCAGCCGTCAGGTTTGCTCAATCAAGAGGCAATGAGAGGCAAGTTTTCGCTGCGGCGAATACTAAGTACCACAGACGGCGATGCATTGGAGCCGCCCGAGAGATCTTCTCCCAGTCGACCAGAAGACCCAATTGAGATGGGAATACTAAACCTCTCCATTGCCAAATCCCTTTATGAAAAGTCGGTGAATTGCAGTTCCCAGAGCAACGCTTTAGAGACTGATGCAAGAGTGTAGTTTTATCATCGTTCTTAATCCGTACATCAGCCAGCTTGATCCTAATCTACATACTTTCCTTTATGTGCGGCAAAAGTCATCTTTCCTCTTCACAGCCGTTCTGGCAATGTCCGCAAAGACATTCAACCCTGTCGTGTACAATGCGCTGTACGATCATGCGCAGGACCTCTACACCGAAAGTTTTCGGAATGGCGCCAAATCAACAGAAATTGTCCAAGCCATCCTCATTCTCACCTACTGGAAGCAGCCGCAAGACACGAGGGCTTGGACCTCCTTGGGTTATGCTATTCGCATGTGTATGGACATGGGATGGCACAAGTTGACGGCCTATTCCCAAGCTAGCCGTGTTACCGGAGATGAGACGAGACGGCGAGAAATTCGCAATATTGAGAGGACGTGGTATGTATTGTTTGTATATGACCGAAGGTATGTTTTGATGCGCAACTGTGACCACGTGGCCAATGCCAATATTAACATCTTCCAGCATAAGCCTTCAAACTGGACGGCCGTGGATGATTGAGCGAAACGGATTTATAGAGTCAATAGAGGCCTGGTGTAGTGACCCAATCGCGGACCGAAACGACGATTTGCTTGGTGCATTTGTTACCTTGAGACTCATGAGCTCTTCAATATTTTCTCTCCATGCTCCTCACTCTCGACGAGGCGAAAGAGTGCCGCTGGAGAATACGGAGGCTCTGCTTTCGCTCAAGAAAGCCAGCATCGAGAGATGGGAACGCCATTGGATCCAAAACGTGGAACAAAAACAGTCTTCAGAAGAGGAGACGTGCCACAAATTCTTGATACGGTTTTATGGCACTCATTTTCGACTACAGCTCTTTTCTCTGCCACTACAAGACGTGCTATCATCTGAATTCTCGGATTCATCTCTCCACTTGGACATAATATGGGCCGCATTTACCGGAGCCACGGATATGTTGAAGTTGATATCTCGTCATTCGGGGCAGCTGTATTTTGCTCAAGATTCGATACATGTCATGACTGCATATAGCGCAGCTTTCCTTGTCAAGGTATGACCATCGACATTATGCATTTCCTGACAATTCGAGATACTAATGGTTGGCATTCGATACAATTAGCTCCTCTTGTCCGCCCCTGACACAGTAGTTCAAGAGATAGAGGCTACGACAGTTGATGTCATTCGTACCGCCGCCCAAGCCTTCTCACAGCAAGCGACAGCACCAGGCACGAGTTGTGAGCTGCAAGCCAGATTCCTTCATAATATTGCCATCAAACTTTCTCAGAGAAGAAGGACAGAACATCCGACACCAATCGTAAAATTTTCAAACAGCGATAGGCATTCGTCACTGGATCAGAACGACATGAACTCAACGAGACTTCCTTTTCTGCCACCGGAAGTCGGTCAAGCCATGCCTCAGTCTCTTGATCAACCTCTTCCCGAAGTCTTCATTTTTCAGCACACTGACCTTGACCCATTGTTCACAGACGACGGTGCATGGGCCGATATATTATCAAGCGCCGCATTCAATACTCAAAACGGTGTTTTATTAGCCTAATCTCAATCTGCCTATCATCAACGTATGACCATTGACTGGCTCTTTTTTTGTTTACCATATTTTCTAGCTATGAGCCCAGTATCCCACCTATCTATCAAGGATGTAGTGGAACTACGGTTGTTTCAGAATGACTGAATGTGCGAATGCCCTCTCTGATAATCTTCAGCTGTGAAGGGCAATTCGGATCGGGACATGCTATCAAGGCATCGGTTGTCATCCAGTCGTTTGCAGCCGTGACTCTTTGTTTTGCAGGAAGGAGTGGGATAACGGTGGCTACCTCTCATCAGCGTCTTGGACCTTTCTATATATACACGTATACGGATGTAAAGAAACGAAACACAGAATGGCGTTTTACCTAGCGAATAAATACTGATACCCTGGTTTGGCGGTAAATAGATCATTTCTCCTTGCAGAGTAAAGAAATCCCCTTCTTTTGCACCACACATGATTCGTTTTCCGGGGGGGCATACAACTTCGACACGAAGGTCGTAAAGTTGAAACGAGTCGTCTTGGCTACCAGTGTGGGCCATGGCGGAATTCTTGTTGACAGATAAAATGAAATTCACTGCCATAACATATAGAATATCCCCTGAAATCTCCGTGTTATCAACCGTGGCGAGGTTGTGACTTATTTACAGAGTGCTCCATATGCCATGCCTCACACCAAAGCCTCCCGTTATCTTGACTAAAGCGTGTCGCGTGTGGAGTAAACGCGTACTAGGGCGGTCAGACCGGCGATTTACACCAGATGGAAGACGCCGGTCTCGGTGTTCAAAGGCTCCTTAATGGCAGATCTCTACTAGCTAATCGATATGAACTATCGGATACCATGGCAGGTTATCAAATCAATTGCCACGAACGCACACTCGAAGGAACCAAACAATGAAGGAGAGGTGTGGGCGGAGTGCAAGGTGCCGGAACGATATGCGTATGTGATAACGGCTACGAGTATTTCAAGAAGATCAAACCCCCCCCAATGCAACGACGGAGAAAAAAAAGACATCCTTGCTCACAAGGGTCTTCATATCGCTACCGTGCGATAGTATTACAAGCCACTCCCTGCTCTGCTTACGACTGTTTCCGCCGCTCTCAATTTCACGCATGATGTTCACAACTCAACCTTGTTATACTCAGAGCCGTATGTGAGAGAACTCGCGACGGTGCAGTTTAAGTCCTCAAAGACATCCTACGTCCAGCCCGACGTAACTGTACGGAGTAACGAACCCGCGTGTCCCAAGCCGCCGACCGCTGTCGTACAGCTCAATGGCACTTGAGAAAGACTTGGAGCGCAGTGTCGAAGTCGGCACGCCCTCTAATGGAGAAGTTTCCATGATCAACCTAGAGGCTGGGGGCCTCAAGCGGGACCTCAGTTCTCGCCACATCAATATGATTGCCATTGCAGGAATGATTGTATGTTGATACAGTGTCCCTTGATGAAATCATGAACAATACTCTGTCTCAACTAACCGCGTCGAACAGGGTACCGGTCTTTTCTTAGGCTCAGGACAAGCAATCGCAACCGCGGGCCCGGCTGGGGCACTGCTGGCGTATATTGTAATGGGGTTTGTCACTGCCGGGGTTGCATATACTACAGGAGAGATCACCGCATTCATGCCAGGAACTGGTGGATTTATTCGACATGCAACCAAATTCGTGGAGCCGGCACTTGGAGCGGCCACAGGTTGGAATTTCTGTGAGTTTTGGTTCACATTCCCACCGTGTTATGTCATTCTACGAACGATTTTCTTATTCCGAATGCTGACGCGCGGGGCTAGGGTATACCATGGCCATCACTGTACCAGCAGAGATCAGTGCCGCTGCTACCGTGATTCAATTCTGGAATGACTCTATCAATCCTGGTGTTTGGATCACCGTCTTTTTAGTTGTCATCGTCACCCTGAACCTTTGCGGTGTACGTTTATATGGCGAGGTACGGTTTCATATGCACAGACTTCAGATGTAAAACAGTGTTAACAGGCACCAAGTCCGAAGTTGTCTTCGCATCCTTGAAGATTATGCTCATTCTCGGTCTCATCATTGGTGGCTTGGTGATTGATCTAGGAGGAGCGCCAAATCATGATCGCTTAGGTTTCCGGTATTGGAAGCATCCTGGAGCGTTCAACGAATACATAAAACCTGGAACGGCAGGACGCTTTCTAGCCTTCTGGAAAATTATGCTTACAGCAGCGTTCAGTTACGGCAACATTCAAGTAGTGGCAATCTCGGGGTCGGAAACCCGGGCACCCAGGAAAATCATCCCGGCGGCTACAAAAAAGACGTTTTACAGAGTCTTGCTATTCTACGTTCTTAGCATCTTCATCGTTGGCCTCATCGTGTAAGTTTCCTCTTCACCAGCAACCAGCCCGGATTATATACTCATGCCTGCTCCCGAGTAGTCCATACAATGACCCTTCTCTCGCCATTTCTACGGGCACTGCTCAGCAATCTCCCTTTGTTATTGCATTCCAGCGATCAGGCGTAAAAGTCGTTCCGTCAATTATCAATGCAATCGTCTGCACTTCTGCCATTAGCAGTGGCTCGGCTTGCATCTTTATCGCCTCGCGGACACTGTATGGCCTAAGCTGTGATGGGCATGCACCCCGAATCTTTCAACGATGCAATCGGTTTGGAACGCCTCATTATGCCATTGGCTTGACTTGCCTTTTGCTGCCTCTTGTTTACCTAAACGTCGCAAATAACACATCTGTGGTATTCGGTTGGTTCGTCAATATCACTACCGTCTCCGGCTTGATCGGCTGGGTAGTCATTGAGGCCACGTATCTACGGTTCTACGCCGGCCTCAAAAAGCAAGGCTATTCGAGAGATGGTAAGGTCTAACTGTAGTAGTGAGCGCTCGTGCATTACGACCCAAGCTAACGAACTACGTAGCACTTCCGTATAAAAGTCCGTTGCAGCCATATGTTTCATGGGTCACCATGTTCGTGGTGAGCCTAGTCATCCTCTTTTCAGGTATGTTTTCTCTCGTCTGGGGGATGCAGGTTGGCACCAAGTCTTACAATCGCACCTAGGCTTTGATGTGTTCGTAAAGGGACATTTTACGGCCGCCGGGTTTTTAACTTGCTATCTTAACATTGCTATCTTTATTGGTACGTATTATACGTGATGCTCTCAGTTCCACCTACAAGAACTCTAGGCTAACATGGTAGCGAAGTTCTGTACCTTTTCTTCAAAATATTCTTCAAGTCGAAACTTATTCCCACCTCCGAAATTGACTTTGAGACTGAGTTCTCATCAATACGGAGGGAAAAGGATGCTGAGGAGGCCACCCTGTAGTCATTGGATATGTCTTCCAACTTTTTTAGACTTCTTCTTGAGTCGATAATAATATTTCCTATTCATTATGCTTGCCATTCATGGGTGAATAACGAGCGTCTTCGTGCTATCGTCCATTTCAGTTCCCCGAGCCTATCAGCGCTGCCTGCTCCCATAAGCAAAATAACCAGCTCATCTCGAGTCATTCATCCACAGTTCCATTCCACTCTTATTTGAGCCTGCAAATGTCTAGCGGCCGAAAGCGCTCGTCCCTTCACACAGATTGGATGCTACCCCGCCCTCTACTAAATAATCCACATCGGCACAGCAGTGGAGATTCTAAGCGGTCGTAGTTTCTAGACACAGTATTTTTGTGAGAATAAGGCTTTGTCACGGTTTCCTTACAGCGGAGCCGCCCGCTCAGCTAGATAATATGTCGTGGGGTTCGTTTTTCTCATGTTATCTCCCATGAAATAAACCCCTCCTCCCCTTTCTTACAATACCCTCTCTCATTAGAAGCACGATATAGAAACTTCTCACAACATGAGTCCTCCCTCGGTCGACCTCACTGCGCCAAATGGCGTCAAATGGAGCCAACCCACTGGTCTGTTTATCAACAATGACTTTGTTGCATCGTCCAACGGCGAGACGATTACATCCATCGACCCAGCGTAAGGAAGCAGATGATAGAAGCTGGGGCCTCGATTGAACAAAGGTTCACTAATGCGATCAAACAGCACCGAAGAAGTCATTGTCAGCGTTCAGGCCGCCAGTGCTGAGGATGTAGACAAAGCCGTGAGAGCCGCAAAGGCAGCATTAAAAGATCCTTCCTGGAAGCAGCTGTCAGCTTCTGATCGAGGCCACCTAATGACACATCTCGCCGACTTGATTGAGGCAAAAAAGGAGCTTTTTGCGACGATTGAGGCATGGGATAATGGTGAGAGAATTCATTGGCTCAAGAAATAATGAGAATTGTTTCTGCATCTTATCACTCTGTTGCCAGCAAGTAATTAACACTTGCGGTTCGTTCAGGTAAAACATATCAAGAAGCTCTGGACGTTGATCTTGTTGAGGCTGTGGCTGTGATACGATACTATGCCGGCTGGGCCGACAAACAGTACGGCCAAACGATAAGCACAACACATCAGAAATTTGCGTACACCCTCCGCCAACCGATCGGAGTCATTGGCCAAATCATTCCCTGGAACTACCCCCTTTCAATGGCTACTTGGAAGTTAGGGCCCGCACTTGCTTGCGGCAACACTGTAGTACTCAAAGCCGCGGAGCAGACACCACTAAGCATCCTTGTGCTTGGAGAGCTTATCAAGGAGGCTGGATTTCCGCCTGGAGTAGTCAATTTCGTCAACGGGCTCGGCAAGGATGCCGGATCTGCCTTGGTGAACCACCCGCTGGTAGACAAGATTGCCTTTACTGGGTCAACGGCGACGGCAGCAAGTATCATGGCGGCCGCGGCGAAGACTTTGAAGAATATCACGCTCGAAACTGGAGGCAAATCACCACTTGTCGTGTTCAAAGACGCCGATATGGATCAGGCCGTCAAATGGTCTCATTTAGGTATCATGTCCAACCAAGGACAAATCTGCACTGCTACGTCGCGAATTTTAGTTCAGGATGAAGTATACGACGACTTTCTAAAAAGATTTGTCGAAACCCTGAAGGCTGTGAGCAAAGTAGGCAGCCAATGGGAAAAAGATACATATCAGGGCCCGCAGGTATCCAAAGCGCAGTATGATAGAGTGTTGGAGTACATTGACATCGGGAAAAAAGAGGGCGCAAAGGTTGCTGCCGGAGGTCATCCTCTTGATATTAAAGGCAAGGGTAAGGGTTTCTTCGTTGCTCCGACGGTGTTTACCGACGTCACCCCTTCAATGAGAGTCTACCGAGAGGAGATTTTTGGACCTGTCGTGGTTATCTTGCGATTCAAAACCGAGGACGAAGCACTAGAGCTGGCAAACAACACAACATATGGTTTGGGGGCCGCCGTCTTCACGACAGACCTAGAAAGAGCTCACCGCATAGCCGCTGAGATTGAGTCGGGAATGGTCTGGATCAATAGCAGCCAAGACTGTGATCCGCGCGTACCATTTGGAGGCGTCAAGCAGAGTGGTATCGGCCGAGAACTTGGAGAGGCTGGTCTTGAAGCTTATTCTCAGATCAAGGCTGTCCATGTCAACATGGGGAATCGGCTGTAAAGGTATCGGATTGTAAAATCGGTCTTAAATCTTCTCTATGATACCAACACGAGATGTCAAAGGCGCGACAGAACTGAGAAGACGAAAGAAAGTGTAACAGTAGATCAACATTAGTATATAGTACATGTAATTAGACTATATATATATATATATATATATGTATATATCGCTTTCGCAACGCCCCACAGCATTAGCCACTGCCGAGATGATAATAATGCCTTTCGACTCCCAATTTATTTGTTATCGCGACCGTGACCCCCAGTTAAATCCGGGCTCAATTTTGGGGATTGCGATTCGGTGCATGTAAACCCTTGGGGGTTATTGACGTTGAAGCAGTCCCAGACAGACAACAACTGGTCGGTGCCCGCATGAGTAACATTAAAATCTGTCACTTCAAAGTTGTCGCAGCCACCAGCTGCAGCACTGCATTGGAAATAAACTGCCTCCGTCACTCCAGAGCCGACTGTTCCACTTACGCGCCTCCAAGCGACGTTTTCCATCTTGAACAGGGAAGAATCGCAGTCTTGGCCGGCGAATCCGGAGTAGTTCTCGCATTGCCAAGCGAAAAATGGCTGCTGTCTCCCACCAATCAGCTTAACATCCTCGATTGTAATGTTTCGAGCGACACCGTATCCGCCGCCGCCGCCGTTTGGAGGGTAGCCTCGCGAGATTCCCGCCCATGTCTTTAGGTAAGAAACATGAGCAGTGTTTTTGAGAGTGATGTTTTTGGCATAAAAGTTCTCCAGATACTCGTATCGGCCATTATATTGCCCCATAGAGCCGATGGCAATACCCTGCCCATTTTCGAAATAGCTGTCGTAAACAGCAATATTACTCGAGTTCATCTTAAGAGCGATGGCGTCGTCACCATTTGAGACTGTCCATCTTCTGAACGTTATGCTGTCAGAGAAGATGGTGTCGCAGCCATCAGTATTGAGCGTGCTCCATTGGCTTGTCGATGTGCTGTTGACGTAGATGTCGTCGAGATCTACGTGTTGCGAGTAGGTAATCGCCATTGTCCACATCTGGCTCTGGACAAAGCGCAACCTTCTAATAACCGAGTTCGTGAGCGTGCGGAAGTTGATGTTCATCGGCCTATGGGCCAAATTTCCTTGGCTCCTGGCCCAATCGTACCATACTTGACCGTTGCCATCGAGAGTACCGACGCCCCAGCCGTCCCAAATCACATTGTGACCTCCAAAATACCAGACCGTACTCTGGTTTTGGAAACCAACGGGCATAGATACTGAGAGCCAATAGTCGATGTCTGTACTCCATAGCAAGCGTCCAAATTGATAGATGACAACGTCCTGGAGATCCAACGTGGTCATGTTTGTCTGAATATTGTAGACTGGACCAGGAAATATGACAAGGCTCTTGGAATTGCACTTATTGTTCAGCGCATCCATGATAGCTGGAGCATCATCACCGCCATCGGCATTTGGTCGTATATAGCAGAAGTGACGACCTTGGGCCGCCGCTTGATTTGCCCAATGAGATTCTGTTTGGGCAGCGTTTGCATCTCTGCTCATAACATCATGAGGTAACGAGGATAGCGCGAGTGCGGCAGGCAATGCCGCTAAAATTAGACTTGAGAAAGAAACCATTGTGTGAACAAATCAGCAGATGGTAAATATGATGAAGAAAATCTGACTATGGTTAGGGCAACCTCGTCACCATCTGCCCTGAGTTGAGTGACGGTTATTATGTTCACCCTCGCCTGGGAGACCAAAGTGTCTTTTTAAGGCAGCGGCATGTCTCCTATTTGTATGTCTCTTGGCTTTCATAACGGCCTGCACGAATGATGGAGCTGTGGGCTTTTTGCATATGGTAAAACCACCTGCAGCCGATGCTACCAACCCAATTGTGAAAGCAGTTCAGCGACATTTCCTTGCGTCACAGCTCTCTCTGATCAAACCCCTCTTTGCTTTTCATTCACACATCTACCGAGAACAGGTCTACGCTAAGTTAAGCCATGCAAATATAGCCGCGGCCATATATGAATATCCAAGACAGAAGTAGCAGAGACTGAGAGGGCTCAGCATGATCTGGGGGATACAAGGGCGGTGCAATGGCGAATCATGCCACAGAAACCCTTGTTAAGAGGTGCTACGCCAAGGCTTTTTGGATGCTCGCCCTTCAGGACAGGGTGTGGATCTGCCACTTGATCTCCCTACAGTAGAAGTGCCTACCATTGTGTTTTGCCGATCCAATCGGGAGCTGAGGTGACGTCGTGAAAGGCTTGCCATGCTGTGAGGCATTGGACCGTCTCGGATATAATGGAACTCTCGCGGTCATCGGCCGAATACTTCTTCCCCCGCGGATGGCTTCAATTTCGAAGGACTCGGAAGCCAAATGCTCTACGGCGCGACTACCACCTAGCGCAATCGCCGCCGCTAGTTCTTCTCAGGTATACCCCAGGCTTTGCTGCCCACCACTTCGGGATATGAATGGCACGAGACCTTAGTATGGGTGCCAGGGAGAGCAGAGCAGTAAACAGACAATGAACGGCATACACTTCGTATTTCGCCTGTTTGAAGCAGAAGGTGGAACATGTCCGGATCATCGGCTTCCGGATCCTACAGTGTGTATGACATGTTTTCCAAGCTAAATCTTAGTGCATATCACATCACACCAACAATATCACATTAACTGAGTCGAGGTCAAAAGCTTCCCTTTGAGATAGATCTAGAACTCTGGAAAAACAAGACATCAGGTCAGTCGGCTGCCGGTGGGGTAAGAGGCGTGGATTTTTCAGATCCACAGCAGTGTCGCACATACCAATACCGCGAAATTAATGGGCTGTTGGTTCTAAGTTTTGCTATTTTCGGGTTACATGTAGGAGGCTTCTCGGCCAATGTTCAATATTATATTCGGTCCGAGACAAACCCGTGCCCAACATATTGGCATTCAATTTATTGAAAATATGCTCGTACAGTATAAACAAGCTCATATATCCATGGCTTTTATTGCCGCCGGCTTTTGGGCCTAAATTTTGTGGCTGCATCATTTGCAGTAGAGAAAGAAATTGTAAGGAGAATCGTGAGGAAAATGCTTCTAGCTCGTGTAGGAAAGAAGAAAAACCCCCGAGATGCCCCGCCTCGTGCAGCCTTTTGGCGTATCGCAAGACTACCCGTACATGTACAAATGCGTGTGGTTGTCATTAGAAGATTAGCCGCTCGCAGGGGTAAAAGAGGAGTCTATGACGTTCTTTCTTCTTATGATTTTAGAGTTGCTATGTACTATGATGACTGGCAGTCACTCGCGTCAGTATTGACCGATTACAACCTGCTCATCATCAAGTTTACATGCAGCAATAGACATGTGACACCCTGTTTATTGACGGTAACATTTACCTGCCTATTTCATGGCTATACACAATATCTGGCCTTGATTTTGTGTTTCCATGACTTGGGCACATGATAGATCATTGGTCATCATTGTGACACGAACGATTCACGTACAAGTCAAGTTCAGGTTCGCTAGGTATGGAAATAGAGTAAAGATCAGCGTGCGGGGTTGCTGTTGTGCATGGGCATGTCCGCGAACTCCTGGAATACAGAACGACAAAACTGCTTTCAAGTATCTAAAATTGGCAGTATGTGTGGGGAGAGTGAAGTTGATTCAGGCGCAGGAATATGCGTGGGCTACGATTCAGAAACAACATCGCGGAATCCGGGGTGCTATTAAGTGCTCTGCTGTCTCAAAATACCATCTCCCGTCTGCATTATGCGGGGCAGAAGCGCCGCTCTGAGTACATTGAGATTACTGCTGAATCAAAGCAAATGAGCATGAAACATCTCGCTACCCGTGACTCAAATGCATGAAAAGCTCTCGTATTCCAGCGTCAATTCTGCTCCGCTAATGCTAAGTACGTTCAGCCCCTCATTGCAACTGGCCTTTTGACGCTAGGGACCGAAGGGGGAAAAGAATCCGTATATATATGCATGATATAATACGAGTTATGCACTTCGTGTGTAATACTACCGATATAAAATCATGGTGAGCACAACAAGGCTTCAAACCACCCAAGGAGATTGCTGTCACGGAACAACTCCACTACAAACAAAACAGAGGGGGAAAAAGAGAAAGAAAGAAAAAGAACACACTATATATTGAGTGAAGAAGTGAACGCCTTCCTATGACAACACGATACCCCACTCGTCGCCTCGCATGATTGGAGAAAAAAAGAGAAGGATCTTAGGGTATTAGTAGAGAATTAAATATTACTCATACCGAAATGCCCAGTGGCGGTTTGGTATCTCACCATGAGGGCTCCCGTTTATAGAGCATTCAGAATATTCCACAAGCTCAATGAGGCTCTCATCGTCTTCTTCTTGTCGGTGGCATAGCTAACAATGACTTCAACCACGACTGCAATCGAGCTTGCTACTGGCTCAGCTCCCAGTCCAGCATGGAGTTTGCGCAATTCCAACCCTAGCAAGACCCAACCATCCAAGACATTCACCGTTACCGACCAAGTTCTCGAAGCCTCGCGAGAGGCCGACTCAACGGCCCCTGAAGGAGGGTACGGCTGGGTGATTGTAGCCAGTGGCTTCATTCTACTTTGGTGGTCCCTCGGCACGACATACGCTTGGGGCGTGATGCAGACCGCCTTGGTCTCTGATGACTTGGCCGATCCCGCCGTGCTCTCCTTTGTCGGGTCGTTGCAGGCGGCGTTGATCTCAGCTCTGGCAATCTCCAACTCCTTCGTGGTGCGAAAGACGGGAGTCCGTGCTGCGGCAATGCTAGGTGCAGCTTGCATGGGTGGGAGCGAGATCCTTAGCAGCTTCACGGTTAGGAATGTTGGGGCACTGTTTTTCACTTCTGGAGTGTTGATGGGGATAGGTGTCAGGTGAGAAAAAGTACAAGGGAACAACGATGACCTTTCTTCCTTGTTTATTTTCTTGTCAATGCCAGTCGTGGAAGATGCCGAAACGATTGTTAACAAGGGAGAGCACTGCAGTCTTTGTTTTGCGGTAGGCCATTCTCAACCTCCACCATATTGGAATGCATTCTCCGTGTAATACGTTCAACGCAGAGCATCCTGCAGCTAACCTCGAATACGAGCCAGGTCATTTCGACGGTCCCGTCACAATACTTCAGCACCAGACGAGGGCTGGCCAATGGCTTCATGTTCGCTGGAAGCGGTTTCGGGGGCGCCGCAATCAGCTTTGCATTAGACTCGTTGATCCAAAAGCTGGGTATTGCATGGGCATATCGCATCCTCGGCCTCATGACGCTCTCGACGGGTCTCCCGGCTGCATGGCTCATGAAAGAGAGGATCCCGGTTGAGAGGCGGGAGTTTATTGAGTGGTAAGTTATGAAGGAGTGAAGGAACCATGCCGACAATCACGCAGCTCAGTATCATTTTACTGATCAAGATGCAAAAATTTGTCTCCCGTCTAGGAAACTGTTCAAATCTCCCACATTTGTGCTCATATTCGTAGGGAGTGCAATTGGGACCTTTCCTTTGTTTGTTCCACCATTTTTTATTCCATTATACACGAGATCACTCGGCCTCTCCACAAACGCCGGCGCCGGCTTGGTTGCGGGCTTCAGCCTATCTTCCGCAGCTGGCCGTATTATATCTGGCTTTGCGTCCGATAAAGTCGGCTCTATCAACACCGTACTCGCGTCTCTGGTCTTAACTGCCGTCACTATGTTGGCAATTTGGCCAACATCCACAACGCTGGGGCCGCTGATCGCCTTTGTCGTTATAAACGGCGCTGCAAATGGGGCTTTCTTCTCTACAATGCCGACCGCCATTAGCAAAGTTTTTGGGAGTGCCAGAGTGGCTGTTGCTATGAGCATGGTGGTGACTGGCTGGGTTGGTGGTTATCTCATGGTAAGTGGCTCGAACGAACACTCTTGCCCTTCGTATAGATCAAAAAACCATGAGCGACGTTTAATAACACTCATCTTGCCTACAGGGGGCTCCAATCGCAGGCTACATTCTAGAGAGCTTCGGTGGTGCTGATGGCGGTTTGCACGCATACAGACCCGCCATGTTTTATGCCGGCGCACTTGCCCTTGCTTCTGGAGTCTTCATCTTAGGCGCTCGATTTTGTATTAATAGATCTCTTCTGGCTAGTGTATAAATTCTAGAGTATAGTATTTGTTATGGGTTCGGCGCAGGTCACGCCCAGGCAAAAGTTGGGTAGAGTTTCAAAAGGGAATAGAATTAAATAACATTGTTACAGATTGAATAACTTTTTCCTTCATAATTCTACCAATACCGATAATATTACAAATGCCGCCTTCTAAGACCATAAAATGGATGGTGTATGATTTACAAATGCTTGGTCCTTTCTTCTGCCTCGGCGATCCATTGTCTGGCCTTGGCTTCATCTCGCGGCTTCAACCCAATCTTGAATGGTTTTGGATCAGTTGTCAATGAAGTGGGTGTGCCGTTGCAATCAAGAGGGTGAATGACCGGGGCTTGGTGAGAATCTTTCGTGGGGGTTATCTGGAAGCTCGTAATGAGACGGATATATGCCGTATATAGCTCTCGGTTGGCGAGGTGAGAACCCGCGCACATTCGAGATCCCGCTCCATATGCGTAGTGAGGTGTACCCATCTCTTTATCCTCTAAAAACCGCTCCGGATGGAATTGATCCGGAAGTTTGAATCGAGCCTCGTCATAATCAGCTGCGTATGCATTCTGAGTAGATTGTCAGCACCCCATAACTCAGCTCAGATATATCACGACGTTCGTGATTGTGAATTTACATTACTAACCATGAAGAAGGTTGTTCCGGCCGGTACGATAGCGCCCTCGTAGGGGATATCTTTGATGTTGACGCGGGGGAGGCAAATTGGAATGACAGTCCAGAAACGAAGGGTCTCCTTGACGAGAGCGGTGATATAGGGTACCTTTTCCTCAACAAGACATTTTTCCCAGGCATCTCCATTGGGATAGACTTCTTCGATAGCTTCGAGAGCTTTGGCCTGGATACTCTGACCGTGTTCGGTAGAAAGATACGCCATGCCCATAATGATGTTTCCAGGTACTGTATCCAGACCCGCAGACACCATTGTCAAGCATATGGACTTAAGCTCGGCTACAATGTCATAAAATTTAGTACAAACACTATTTATGGTAGATCGCAGCAAAATGATTAGGGAGTATGATACTGACCTTCATTCAGCTTTGCTTCTGGATCCTTGAGAATATTTCCAGTAATGCATGGCTTATCAGTACCTGCTGCAATTCTGTCCTTCAAATCATTAAGCATGTCACCCAGGTATTTGTCGCGTCGTAGGCGATACTCTCCCGCTTTGGTGTTTGTGGTGCCAAACATGCGCATCAGTGGTATATAATCTTGCCAGTTATTGCTCGTGGATCGGAAATTGGAGATTTCACGCTCCACATGTGTGATTTCCGTCAGAAGCTCGCTGGTGACATTGCCCTCGATGCGGAATCCGTAGTTCAATGTCAGTGACGTGTTGAGCGCAAACCGTGACATATAGGGACTAGGATCCACGTCTTGTGAGCCTCCCATGCAGTCGTTTAGCAGCTCTTTGATGCTCATTGTTGATTCAAGATCAAGGATGGGCATGTAGGACTGAACGGCAGGGCGGTTGAGTGCCGTGGCGGCTGCCTTGCGGCGTCGTTTGCAAGACTCATCCCAGGGGGAAGTGCCGATCGTAAAACCTTGGGATGAGGAGACAACAGAATGAAATGTATGAAAGGTTGGGCGAGAAATGAGAGATGACTGATGGGTGATCCAAAAATGCTTCACCGCGTCATAAGAGTTGACGAAGACAATCCGCTTGGAACCTGGTCAGCGCTTTTTTCTCTGTACCTGTATCACAAAAGGAAAGAAAGAACATACTCTATTTCCGAGGCGAGCCTGGAAAACAGGTCCATATTTCGATGCCCATTTCTTCGCGACTCGAGCGTGATCAACGCCCAGCTGGAGTAGGTTGCCAAAGACGGGGATGCCGGGAATTTCTGGGATGCCTTTGACTTTCGGTGTATCGGTTGCATTGAGTACCTTGAGGGCAACAAGAACGGCAGCAATAATTGCTATACCCAATATTTGATAGGCCATGTCTGGCTGCAAAGCGATGTTGCTCAACGATAGGAAATAGCTTCTTTATGTCCCTTCACCTCCCACAATCTCTCTCAAGTGCAAAGGAAGAAACGACTCTATTCAATCCATCTAAAAACAAAACCAGAGCAGGTGCAAGAGCGCTACTTATATGTCTGCAGTGAGCGAAGACTCGAAGAGCACCGGTATTCTGAAGCTTGCTACAACATGAATGATGTCGGCAAATACGCTTCTCGTGACTGGCTCGTCATAACAAGAGGGGCATTAGGTGAGGCGGATAATGCGGGGGAAGAGGGTCATAGCTTCTGAGTAATCTACAAGAAGAGCGATCGAGAGAGATGAATCCGGTTCCGGTTCCGGTTCCGATTCCGGCTCAAAAAGTTGACCTCTACTTTACAGACGGTTTGTGTGATATGCTATGCTAATACTTGGATCAGAAGAATAAAAAGTCGGGCTTTTCATTCTATTGAATAAATCTGGCTTTGCCGAGGCAAGTCTCAATTTTATAACATTGGTCGAACATCATTGTCTATTCCGGGTCTCGGGTAGCCAAGACGATACGCTAAAACTGTATTATGATGTTATTTTGTCAACTCAAAAGAGGTGTGTATACTATATCTAGCTAGAGTCAACTTATACCCTATATACCATGGAAATGCTTCATGAATTCACAGTTATCAATTATTCAACATATTTAGGTGAGCTACGTTCGCTAACATGTCCGCCAATGCTACGAATCAAGGAACCAGTTCATTATATAGCATACTTGTGGTTTGTGCCTGCTACTTGAGGATGATGAGGTTTCCGTAATATATACCTATTGATCAAGTTGATCCCTTTCCTAGCAAACATCCAGCAGTGTAAGTCTACAAGCCCGAGACGCTCTCCAATTATTCCCGCTATCCTCAAATCAACACTATCTATGATAAATTGCCGACGCGATTTCACTATTCTGAATAATGAATCAGCAAGTTGCAGGTTGGCGGGAATACATGTGCATGTAGCCACCAAAGGCATGGCTGCCTCCCCCCCCCCTGGAGGAACCGAGAATTAGTGGCTGTCTACAATTAAAGGGTTCAGATTAACATCAAATGAAATCTATCGATTCATGTTATAGGAAGTGCTACGTAGATATTAGCGTGTAGCGTACTGAGACAATAGTCTATCAGCAGCCTAACTTGGGCGTGCGTGTTTGCAGTTACTGCGCAAAGACTATATTCTATCTGTATAATGCTATGCTAGACGATGTCGTTATGGATTCTGCGACTGCATGCAGCAGACGAAAATGAGTGTTGAAGACGGGACCGTTTACCACTGGATGACCGCGGAAGTGGTACCGTCAGCACTATGGACTCATGCCATTCTATTGACGTTTATTGCCATGTACAAATGTATCCGCCTCAATGCACAATCTCTACCAGTTCAACATAAAAAAAAGAAAAGAAAAGCCAAGACGAGGCCGCTTCACATCTAGATCCAAATGTGGTCTCCGGTCCGGTTGATCGGTTATACCTGGAAGAGGTAGGATGGGCAGAACTTTTCGTCTAACCGACTGTACAGCTTATTTTGCCGCTGCTCGCTCAGCCAAATAACTCTGGACATTAGGGCGGACAAGAATAGCTTCTCTCAATTTCTTCAATGGCTCTGACAGCGTGTCCTATCGGTTTTTGTCCGCATTAATGAAACAAATTCGGAGAAATGAGTCGTACAGAGCACAAGTCACCTGGATGGAGGACTTGTGAAAGAAGGAAATCGCAAAGCCTAACTTACAGGGCCGTGGCCAATCACCTCATCGTTGTCGAGGGCCTGGAAGACTGCAAAGTCGACATAGGTCGGCTTGTCGCCCAAAAGATACGGGCCACTGGCGTTACGAGAATAAAAATCGGTGAAGAGACCTTGGAACTTCTTGACATGCGTGTCCTGGTAATCCGGGGCCTTGGCGGTCAATTGAGAAACCCAGCCAGTCTAGCGCTGTGGTGAGCAGAATTGATGCATGAATGGCATGATAGTGGGTGGATGTTGGGAGGTAAGCCGGTTCTAGCGGCATGAGTGATTGTACTTACCCGCCAGTCATTGTAGATGTCAGCTACGGCGTCGACAAGATACTTGTCGTAGTTTGTCTCGCCATCGTAAGCACCGGCACGACGGGAGAGATACCGCAGAATGGCGAGATGCTGAAGATGATTGTTAAGCACAATTGATCAAGCGGGCAATGGCCGGGCGTAAAGCGACCGCGAGCACAATGTGACGCGTACCTGATACAGCCTCTGCCCATCAATTTCCAGGATAGGCAGTGTGCCAGTCAAACTAACGCCCGTCGACTTGTTGATGGCTGGCCATGTGTCGTCGTAGACGTAGAACTTGTTCTCGTATTCGATGTTGAGCTCTCTCAAAAACAACCTGGTTCCTGGATCAGCACTCGTAATATGTGGGCTGTGCACGGCTCACAATTACCGGACAATTTCCCCACGCCCGAGGCTTCCCAAGCCGAAATAATGGAGGGTTGGAGTCGACATGACGGCGGTGAAGGCAGGAAATAGGATGTTTACCGTTTGGGAAAATGCTCAAAGAATGAAGGATGCAGCTTATGCAAAAGCTAATAAAAAAGCAGCCAACAGGATCATCTATATATATATTCAAAAGATTAGACAGATGTCGATTATTGCCTCTAGTGATTAATAATAATATAATTGGAGTAAGCCGATCAACAATGTGTCGTAGTGGCAGTGACGAGGGCCAGCATGAACGTCCTGGGTTACGAGGCACGGAGTTAGCAAATCCAACCGGCTATGTTGGCACCAGGGAGTATTTTAACTTGACATCTCCTCATCAGGTATTTAACGCCACAGGAGATCTAGTTTCCGACTCAACAAAGCATCGGTACACCGTTGAAATCTGTCATATTCTTCGCCTGAATCAACAATGAGGGGCTCTCTCTCCGCAATTCTCTTAGCCATGACTCTGCTCCCCACCTGGGCTTTGTCACAGAGTGGAAACTCCGGCTATCCTGCCATATTGCCGCTAAAGGCTCGACTGCGGCAGGCCGAAGGATATCAGCGGCGAAAGCGGCAAACGGCCAACATCTCGGAGCCGCTGAGTAATTGGTACAGCGGTACAGATTTGCAGGCAAGTTTCAAGATTAGGGAATCTCCAGCCGGGCCGCATTTGAAGCTAATCCATGATATAAAGTGGTATGGTGAACTAAATGTTGGGACGCCACCGCAAACTCTGTAATTAAATCCTTTACAATCGCCAACGCAGTCCATATTTGCTAATCCCAACTCTGTCTATAGCACTGTGGTGTTTGATACCGGCTCTTCGGATCTCGTGATTCCATCCACACAATGCGACGCAAATCCTGGATGCACCGGACTGCGACATCGGTTCGCTCCCGAAAAATCGGAGACATTTACTTCCCTTAACGGTTCATTCCGAATTTCATATTCCACAGGAACCGGCGTCGCAGCTTCAGGCAATGTCGAAATTGAAGGTCTGATCTCGCGAGATACGATAGCTGTCGCAGGTCTCCAAGTCCAAGACTTCCAGTTTGGCCTTATTACGAACCAATCGGCCGCGTTTGGTGTTGATCCGTTTGACGGAATCGTGGGTATGGGATTTCCGTCCGGCTTGACCACTGGCCCGCAGACATTTCTTGGCGGCATAAATAGCAGCGGACAGGTCCCTGAAGCTATTTATGGTCTCTACTTGACGCCGCAATCCGTAGGGCACGCGGAAATTAGCCTCGGTGGCGTGGATAGCTCCAAGTTGACCAGCGATATCAACTACATCCCGGTGTTTCCAGTGACAGGTCAATTCAACGGGACCTTCGACAAAGTCTATGTTGACAAAAGGGCTGCCAATGTGTCCTCCAACTATGTCATCTATGATTCCGGTACGGCGAATATCGTTGCTCCAAAGAATGATGCTGAGGAGATATATGCCATGATTTCTCCGGAGATTAAGCCCATCGATGCAGTGGGAACATATGGAATACCTTGTTCAAAGCTGAAAGATATCAAGTCGTCAATTTCTTTCACTATTGGAGGCCGCAATTATACAATTCCCTCCCAAGAGCTCAGCGTCGGGTCAATCTCAGACCAGCCGGGGATCTGTCAGACGCTTATCAACAGTAGTGGTGATGATCAAGCGAACAGCTTGTGGGTAATTGGTGGCAGTTTGTTAAAGTACTATTATACAGTTTGGGACATCGAAAATGCCCGGTTCGGGCTTGCTCAAACTTTGCATTCTCCTTAGAGCGCCGTGCAGCATATAGACTCAAAAGGTGGAAGCTTTGCGACATTTCACACTACTAACTCTACCTTTGGGGCGCAGTTTATGCTCTTTATCCCAGAGAGATGCCACGATGGGCATATCGCTGTTGATTTTATGCAGAATGCGAAAGTCTCCGGTTGGGTAGGCTGCATCCAGCCTTTCTAAACTTGTACCATTAGCTCAAACAATTATCGACCTTTACCACAGGCTAGGAGTCAATAGAATTTATATCATTCTAAATGGTTGAAGGCCTATCATCCTACCCGTCTGGTAGGTGCGTGTCACTGCGACAAAAGTGATTTAAGAAAACACTCGCCCATAAATGACCTAGATCACAATCCAATAGTCATTACGTAGCACCAAGACACTGCATAACGTTGTAAACGAAGTCACTGTATTGGCATGAAGTTGCGAGGGGATGCATATGACTGGGGCAATATCAAGAACGTAAACGATGATACCTGGTCAGCTGTGTTATGCGTCTGCAAACGGAAAAAAAGACTGGGCATGCTAAAAGAGGAAGGAGGACCGCCAATTATGAATGTGTCGACCGTTTCATAGTATCCACCGATGCAAGAATATTATGTTCAGGGGAGCTGAAAAGAGATACTGGTGGGACCCCTCATGAGATAGTATGTCGTGAAGTTAGATGTTACAGCGGTTGCACTAGTTCGTCCCAAAACACTGCCCCAGTCGGTTTACTCTGGTACTACTAATGATTCCATGTCAGTAATTCACATTCACATTGATTCATCTACACTCATATTGACTCATTTATATTCATATTGGCAATGTAACTTTACTAAATTATTAACGAATTGCAGAGAAACTCCTGTAATACCTACCAAATGGGTACCCTATGTTTATACGTAGATGCTATACACACGGTAGTGCAAGGAGTTCCTCGAGTCAGATTTAGTCAATTATTAACTTTCGTGACGTTAAAAAAATGGGAGGATATCACGCCTACATATTGACTGTCTATGACAGAGCATTGCATCTTCACTGAGAAGTAGTATCATTAAAAGTCTCGATACGATCAGCATATAGTTGTTTAGAAGCTCGTAGCTGAATGATTTATTTCATGAACATTTAGCACGGGCTATTCGTAATAAAATAGATTGACAGATAATGAGAACACATAATATGTAAATCAAAGTTGGCTAGGTAGTGTTCAGGTCTAAATACAATATGTGCATCGAGAAAATATACAAGCTTGAAGTAATTTGTAATAAGTGATGCTGGCCTTCGGGCGATCGCTCATGGTTTACCTGAATCCAGCGCAGACATCCTGGTAAACGTTCTGCTGCAGGGCAGCGGCGTTAGTTGGGATGTAGTTGAGGTAGGTAGCATAAGAGTAGGTCCATCGAGGGTCGTTCAACTCAGTCTTCCAGGTCCAGTAGACCCATCCGTCCATTCCAGGAGATTCATACAGCTGCTGCTGAGCTGTCCACCACTTCTTGAAGAAGTTTCCGTCATGCCAGTCGACACCAGAAGTCATGCTCCACTCGCCGGTGATGGCAAAGTCCTGGCCGTTCACGACACGAGAGTCAGTGCATGCGCTGTGCATGAGCGAGTACTGGTCACCAGTGTTGCCAAGGGCAAAGCCAATGTAGTTGTGATCGTCAAATCCAACCATGGGGTCGGCCTTGACTGCGGCGTTGCTGCGAGGATCGCCAGAGTCCCACTTGCTGGACATGAACTGCACGTGCAGCTTCTTGTTGCTTGGGACGTTCAGCGCAGCTTCGGCATCACGCACAGCCTTGAGGGCGCCTGGGTAGAAGGTCTGCACCATGCTTGGGTCTTGACCAGGAGCAGGGTAGCGACCACCTCCATCGTGCCTGGAGACAGGCTCGTTGAGAACCTCAATCATACCAACAGTCGAGTATGCAGGGTTGGTGTGGATGCGGTTTGTCATCCAAGTCATCCACTTCTCAGCACGGCCGTAGTTGTATGAGTTGTAGAAACCCGCAGGCTTGTTGTTCTGGCCGGTAAAGGCGTCTTCTTGCTGACCACCAGGGGCGCCGTGAAAATCAATGATGACGTAGATTCCGAGATCAGCAGCCTTCTGAACGACCGCATCAAGGTACGGAAGCTGAAGGTTGCCGTCGGCAAATGGCTCGCTAGCCGTGTCGACAATGGCGTTGTAGGACCAGTAGCCAATGGGGATACGGATAGTGTTCAAGCCGACATCGTGAACAGACTGAACGGTGGCTGGGTTAATCCAGTCCCTGTAGTGGTTCTGGAACTTTGTGTTTCCGGTCGCACGCTTGCTGCCCATATAGTTATTGCGCATGCAATCGAACTCAGAGGCAGCACCGTTGCAACCCATGTTGTTGTTCCACTCATTGGACATCATCCATGGCTCGCTGATAAGCCATCCTTCATCAATGTGTCAGCCTGGCTTTTTTCGCCTTCCAGAAAATGGGATATTCAAACACTTACCACCGAAGTTGACACCACGGATCTTGGTGATACCAGAAGCAAGTGCAGGCTCAAAGCGCTTGCCAAGTTGCTCAAAACGAGCAGTCTGGTTGAAAGCTGCCAGTTCGCGGTCTTGGGGAAGCCACGCAAAGGCGGTGCCGGCGAGAATGGCCGGAGCAACAATGGAGTATCGCATCTTGATGGTAGGTATAGGAGTTGTCCAAGAGTCGTCGGTGATGATAATAAAAAACTTCAGCCCAGTTGTCAGGAAACATACAGACTTATATACAGACTTAAATTGAGCCTTATTGACAAGCTTGACTATTTCGTGGTAAACATTCAGGGTACATGCCACGAGGACGATTAATGCTAGCCTAGTACCTATCGTGCATACGCTCTCTGCGCTGCATCGTGTAGTATTGCCTTAGAATTGGCCGGCTTGGTGTCTGTACCAAAACACAACGCCGGCCCGATTCGCGCCACATCCCTATTAATTCGCAACTCGTCAAGGCCGTCCTAGCCGGAATAAGAATCTGATTATGCTTACTGTAACAAATAGCCTGGAAATGAGTGGATCTCTGCCCTCTCATTCGGCACCATTTCTCACTCGCATGCAACTCGTGCCCACCAGAGGTGCTACTAGAGGTGCTAGCTCCTGCTCAAGGGGGTTACCAATTTTAACAGTCCTTGATGCATGATGATCAACCAGCTGTCAATGGCAGGGTGGACTAATCTCAGGCCCAGGATCGGGAATATCGAGAACAGTCGGAGCTTTGTGGAGCACGGCCATCACTTCTGACGTTTGTACTCCGTAGAGCCGTGCTACTCGGTATTCCGCGCTACTAATCTAAAAAGGGGGTTTAGCACAGCCTACTCTGTACAGTCAGCTACTATTTTACCCCCTCCGCTGATTTTGCTGCGGTTGAACATGCAGTTCCCAGCTCTGCCTTATGATCTGCCAAGCCTGTGGTTCTTATGCCCAGATCTGGGTGAAATGCTATTATTAGACGAACGGAGAGCCCCTATCGGTCAAATATAGCGAATATGTGAAATAGGTGACAAATGTCTGCTACTGCTGCTGCCTAATATTTCGCGGAAAACGCCGGCTTGGTTGCAGGTCAACATTCGCACGGAGTTTTCTCATGCCAAGCACGTTGGATTCCCCTATAGTATAACTAGCGCAATCATTGTTTGCATGATCTAGTGAGCCTTTGGATCTGTTTCAGAAGCTTCCAAGAGCGGCAAGTCGCTACATCCCAAATTAGCAGTTCAATCAATTAGGTATGCAATAAGTGGAACACCAAATGGAGCACACGGAGTTCCTAGAGTGTTGAGAAAGGAAACTCGTATTGCTATGACTCTATTGGATTTCAAACCAATCATGACTCGCAGCATACACCGTATGAGTACATGCTGGTCGTTCGTTGTGAAGTCAATCAAGGCCTCTATCAACCTCTTCGCACTTGTAATCGCGCAGCTCGATTCTGAGAGCTTCCTAGATAGGCTTCTCTTGCGCCATTTCACTGCTGTGCCCCAGCAATTACGCCCGAAATACGAGTATTTGATGTTGTTATGCATAAGTATAATCTTCTTTTATTTTGGGCAAGAGAACTGAATTAAAAACCTACACAAGATTGTAATGTTAGTTATCGCGCAGCATACTGAATTAAGGTCATTTGCTTGGAAAACTATTATAAACAAGGTCAAGATGGGTCCTGCGCATGTAGACTCGACCGTACTACTAATGTACAAATCGAAAAACAGCGAGAGAGTTCTGCTCACCTGGGAGAGAGACTTTACAAACTGGGCATACACAAATCGCAGAATTCGCCTCTTAGCCCTATAATAGCTATGGAGCCATGGGACTCATGATCATGCCCATATCCTTCCATTTTCGATGTGACAACACTGCCCGACTATAACTCCTTTGGATTACTGGTTGGTATATGAGCTATATATGCAAGTCTACACTATCTACGGCAATAAAGCTCAAATTTCTAGAGAAGTTGATATTTATGCCCCGAGTTGCTGGACACTCACACAGAACCTCAGATTCCATTTCCAATCTGAGATACCCTTTATTGTCAGTACGCTATGGCGCCACAATTGACTTGAACTGAAAAAAGGGGTGGGCTGAAGAGTAAATATAGGATGTAAATAAATAAATAAAGACCATCTCAATATTGTATCTACGCGCTTAATTCGTACGGCAGTTACTTGCTCGATAAACGATCTCTGCTATCAACTTAAGGGATACATACTGATGCGTTTATAATAATTCGTCCCTGCCCATAAATAAACTCTCGATACCGAAGCACTGTTTGTGTCACTGAGGTAGGAATTGTTATATTTTTGTCGCACTCTCGTTGATTGACATCACGACCACAACTTTAGCAGTCATTTCATCATAGGTCGTGTTCTTAACTATTAATAGACAAAGACTCCGCGACAACTCATAGATACTCTTGTCAATCAACTGGAAGACAAAATAAAGTAGAGCCTGAGATCCACCGATGCAAGATGATCCCTACGTCATTACGCTTATTTTTACAAAAATGGAATTGAGAATGAACATCAAGAACCAGCGCACTAATGTAGACGGCGAAGATGTGCAAAAGCCTATGAGATTATAGCTTAAAAACAAGCATAGTATGTTCTTGGCGTAAGCAACCGTCGTCTGTTGTTTAAGAAATGAATCGTAACCAAGAAAAAAAATGCAGTTAAAGCACAGTCAAGATGCGACGATCAAGGCTTAGTATGTGGAGTCGCATCAAATTATCGATCACTACGCTCAAGTATAAAGCCGTTAAACTACCCCCGTATGTTTGGTGTATATCTTCAGCATTTAATAATAAGCGTCATTTAACCATCGTATCTATACCTATTCAGCAATGAGAAGCATCATCTTCATTAGCGTACCTCTATCATGTCGTCTTGTCTATGCGCAGGCGTTCGGTGATGAAGCACAAAGCATCTCCAATGTCGATTGGGAGTTGGGAATGCGCAACGCAAATGCAACTGGGACGGCAAGCATCCCTGGATACAACATTACCGCTAAGTATCCAGGAGAGAGAAGCGATAACTGGACGGTATCGATATCGGTGTCCAGTGATATACAGGGGGGGAATGCGGCTGGCGGTCAATTTGTTACTGGCACTCAGATCGAGTGGACAGCTCCTCAAGGTTTGATTGGATCAGCTGATCCATCGTGGTTTCTCTGCCGCACTGCTTACAGCAGTTCAAAATTGAAGAAATCCGATTCCGCTCCGAGTCAGGGAAGCTGTAATGGGATATTATCCGACAGCTGCTGGAGTGATCTCCAAGGGTCACTTGAAGCAGGCAAACAGTGCCAAAATAACACCATGCCTCCGAGTTGCGTTGACGAGCTTGGCTTGTCAGATGGAGAAGGATTTGGATTAACATCAGGTAATTCAACTTGGTATCTTTCCAAGAAGTAGCCCTTTTACTCATCATGATACAGCACATCCCATCAAAAGCAATAGCAGCAGCAGCAGCAGCAGCAGCACATCGCTTCAGCTACGGTTTGGCGACGAAAGTCACGAGCTTGGAAACTTTACCGCTTATGACAGCGCCATTCGGCAAATCTGGGTCGTGGTCACAGGGTTCGCCGAAGCTGGCAGTGATAACGCACATCCAAGGGGCTCTGCTGGCCAATCAGGAAGCATTGCATGCATCCAAGCCAGCGAAGTTCAGGGAGACAGCAGAGACTTTGAGAATACGGCCAGCGTTACACCTTTATCGTTAATGAGCATCTTGGCGGGTGTCATAACGGTGGTTGCCTTGATTTGAAGAATGAATACCCTGCACGTCGTTAAGCGCGGGAATGGTTTATAGCCAAGAGCCTTGTGTGTAGCTAGATATTTCATCATAGAATTCTTAATGTATTGGGGTAAATCATCTCTCCATGCCGTCATAACACAAGAGATACTAGTTGTTGTCTGGTAGTCAAACAGTGAATTGTTACTTTCTGCCCTAGTCAATCAATGGTCAACCAATTTCTCTCTCTCTCTCTTTTTTTTTGTGAAGGCCACTCACTCACTACCTGATCTCTCTAGTCATTTCGCTCCATCACTCTAAAGTCGCCGTGAGCTTGTGTTCACATAATACTGTTTAGCTAAATCAATTGGCGAAGTGCAGGGTAAACAATCCCCTCCACCTCCCCACCCCGCGCGGGCATGACGATAAAATGCTCCCTGGTCTTTCCGGATTTAGCGTACCCATGCTCGTCTTTAATTTAGAACCTATTCGATAATGAGCCCTGCTTATGAGATAGGTATCGGTACGTGATATGCATGTCTGGCGATTTGAGGTATAGAGCGCACGGGCAAATAGTCGATTTCGCCCGGATTTCAGTTATGATGTGACTTGAACCATATATCTCGTCACATATTAGTATGATAGACTATATTCATCAAGTTTCCAATGTACGGAATACTCCACGAACTACTACTCGAATTCATTTACAGGGGTATAAGCCATATGAGCACAAATGAACTACGGGAGGCGAACCAAACTGGACTGATCATGACTAATCGTCTCACAAGTATTTGAGGAGCTTTTCCTCCTGCAAGCGTCAGCCTGCGCCATGTTTGTAAAGCGCAGCCGCTTTGACCCTCACAATGGCTCTACAATACACGTTTAAGGACATTGAAACTACAAGGCACATACGTCTCCTAACCCTTCTACCCGGAGAATATGAAGCACCTTCGCTGTGCACTATTTCAGAGTTTCCCCTAGATCAATCTCCAGACTATGAGGCACTTTCGTATGCATGGGGCGCCTCAGATGCCCCAGATGAAGTTCGTCCCAGTTTGTCTTTGAACGGTCAACGTTTCGATGTTTCGGACACCCTGGAGCAGGCTTTGCGCAGATTGCGAAGGAAGATATATCAGCCCTACTGAAGGAAGATGGGGTTTGGACAATGGTGATTCTATCGAAGATCTCTGGCAACCATACTCTCTTGATTTGACTGAAGAAGAAAAACAAGAGATGAAAAGCACGACGACGAGTGACATGTGGAATAAGATCATACTCAACAGCAAGCAGCGTGGGCACATTGTTTCAGGTGCGCCAGTTTTGTATGATTGCGTATATCATCCATTCTTCGAAAATGCTCGACAAGAAGATTGGGAGGCTGTTGACAACCTACTTGCGAGACCGTGGTGGTCACGCACCTGGGTAGTGCAGGAGATTTGGCAGGCAAGGGAAGCTATACTCCAATGTGGTAGTTCAACGCTGAAATGGAAAACAATTGAAAAGGCCATGAACTACCAAGAAGCGTGGGATGATATGGGTTGTCTGGTAAAAGGTACCAAAAGATGGAAAATTTGGGCATCGTTGAAGCGGCGGTATGGGTTAGCGATCCATATCTCTCAAAAGAGACTTCTGGGTAGCAAACTCTCAGATCTCCTATGGAACATTTGGGACAGAGACGCTACTGATCCGAAAGACAAGGTCTTCGCCGTCTTAGGTCTGGTTGGAAAGGAATATAACGATACTTTGCCTGATATCGACTATTGCAAAACTATTGAGCAAGTATATCGGGAGGCTGCTTCTTTCATTATCATGAAAGAGAAATCATTGGACCTTCTGCTTGCTGCATCCGGCCCAGACCATAAAGGAAGCCTGCCATCGTGGGTTCCAGACTGGAGACGAGAAGCAAATGAACAACGACCAACACTCTTCGTTAACGCTTCTTTTATGCGCATACAGTGCTATTTCATGGGCTCCACAGATGCTTTGTATTTGCATGGCCATGGGTACTCTGCGTCTGGCCATTTGGAGCCTCAAATAAGCTTCTGCGATGATTTCAGCATTTTAAACGTTCATGCCTTGCAGCTGGATACTGTAAGTGAAGTTTCGGCAGACCTTGGAATTGTTCCCAGTGCCGAAAGCATTACCCAATGTGCGCAGTTCATCCTGTATTGACTACATCGTGCAGAAACTTTACAGCCGGTGAACGTCGTTGATGATGGAAAATTGAAAAGAATTCTTACAGCAGGGGCATTCATCGATCCAAATACTTTGCGGACTGAGAATCAAGTCATCGAAAATGTTATGAGACTGCGACGCCTTTTTGTTACAAGTAACGGCCATTTTTGCATTGGGCCATCAAAAACACAGGTTGGAGATGTAGTCTCAATCATCGTTGGTTGCAGTTTGCCAATATTTATTCGACCTAATGGGAGCTGCTTCAAGGTAGTCGGGGAGGCTTATGGTATGTCCATTATACGTTCACAGAAACCCACAAGATACACTAATAACAAAAGTTCACAACTACATGGCCGGCGAAGTTTTGAAAGATCACCCTATAGGAACATCAAGATGGGTTGATGTATCTTTAAGCTAAAGCTAACATAATCGTGTAGAGGAGAGCTTCACTGATGCGGTATAAAAGCTGGAGATCCCACTTTAGGGAAATATTCAGCTTAAGGGCATAAGAATCTAGTAGGACAATCGCATCTAGTTCGAGCTGTGACAAATCATTCATCTTGAGCTAGCATTAGGACCTCTGAAGACCAAACCCATTATTGTACCGGCTTATCAAATCGTTTGTCTTCCGCTGATACTTCCAATGCTGCTTGAACCCCTGATTATAACAACCCAACTTTAGTTGTAGCCGACTATAAATGTTTGAGTAATACTCAAGATTGAAACAAAGCTGCGTATCCTCATCATGATATGCAGTTTAATTGATTTTAGTATCGACTGGTCTCAAACCGACTCTTTGCTCTGATCTTTGACCTATATATGAACAAGAGAAACGATAAGGAGGAGAGCAACTCCTAGAAATCCAATTAAGCTGCCTACCCAATTTATTCCTAGAGTTTGGAACATTAGATATATATTCTTAAGACCTATATCCCCGTTTTTGGTATGAGGCCTGACTTATGTGGAACTGGAAAGGGAGGAAGTCCAGCGGTTAGTCCATAACGAGATAGGCTGTTGGCAGTAGCGCTACCCGCAACGGCGCTGCCTGCGTATGTAAGGGCTCTGTGCCTTTCTCCCTTGATATGCGCTGCTTGAACCTTGCATAGTAGGTCTCTTCGGTAAAGAGGGCTAGGATCATCGTCGAAATGGCGAAAGAGGATCATAGTCCACTGTGTCTGTCTGTAAGTCCTTGCGATAGGCTGAGAATATATTCTCACTAACAAAAACAAATTTACACAACCATCGAGCTTGCTAATCATTTCATTTCCGTGCAAGTTTGCTCCACATCTCGTCACTCTGAGGCTGGTCTACTGCATGGGCGATGATGTTACGAGAACCCTGATTCCAAGGTGAAAGTGATTTCCTAGTCCCATTTTCCATTATTAGTTTATTTCCCCCCAATGAACCCTTATGACATGCGGTAGCGTTGACGTTTCCGTGATGAGTAGATAGTGCCGGCTCCGATTAGACCATAACGTTATCCGTCTGATCAAATGATTGACATCCACCCTTCGAATGCAAGATAAGGTCAATAAGCAATGGTACAGCGCTGATGAAGGCCTTCAGGCTTCACTATTTCTATTATATAACCTAACAGCGATAACTAGTCATGACGCTTGACTAGCATGCAGTTTTGTCGAGGGTTCAGATAAATAGAGAGCCATGGAGAGCAACAAACGGAAATGATCCTTTTATTAAAGGTTTAACCCTATCAAATAATCATCCTCGTACTGTGGAAACTGAGTTTGCCACGAACGAGTGGTAGAAGCAATAATTTTTCTCCTTCGTTAGGTATCATGCCGTCGTAGTCTTTTCCCCTTCTGTCTCTACCAAGAGGTCATAAGTCTTGAACTGTCTTAGTGGTACTCTTCTCTGAAAGAGGATATCAAGCTCCTCAAATGTCCTTCCCTGGCTCTCAGGTAGCCTGAAATGACACCAGATGGCGCAGAAGAAGCTGAATCCTCCGAACAAAAAGCCCGCCTTGCCTCCCCAATTGGCCTGGTCGCTATTTAACATATACGGCATGGCGATTGTGCTGATAATGTTGAAGAATGATTGAACAGCGGTAGAAATCGCGATAGACTTTGTCCGCAATCGTGTAGAAGATATCTCGGAGATGACAACAAAGCATATAGGCCCAACGGTCATCTGATAGATAAACGTCCACCTTCACATGGGAATTTAGAGTTAGTGTGAAGACCAAAAAAAATTAACGAGACAAGATGCTCAACTTACACATCCATGCAACTGGCCATCGCCCAGATCGCACCTGTATTGTGAGATGGGATACTGAGGAAGCCGATGACGAAGAGAAGCACCGTCATCACCCACATGCCGGTGTTGTAGATTGTTCGGCGACCGAGTTTGAACTATTGTTGTCAGTATGGGTACGTTCTATCTAGGGCTCTGGATCTCTCACATAGTTTAGTAGAAACCATGATGTGATGGTACCGACGAATCCCAACGCCGTGTTTCCAACGCCCACTATTAACCGTTAGCAGTGCATGCGCGTTGATGGTTAAAATACTAACTGTTGAATGCCTCTGCAGGATTAAGGCCGGCTTGTTCAAAGAAGTAGTTGGCATAGCCAATAAGCGGATTACCTGCTATGACTTGGATTAGATATACCATGATTGTAATCTCGGTTCGTACGCGGTTGACACCCTTGAACAAATCCAAATAGCTCGTCGTTGCTTCAAATTCTTGTTCCAGGAGATCTGTCTGCTCTACTCCAAGCAGCACCTGGTCGATATCTGGTGCATTTTTAGAAGACGACAATTTCACCAACGCCTTACGGGCATCTTCCTTGCGTCCCTGGCGGACAAGCCAATATGGACTTTCTGGAGCAAATGGTAGGCCCACGAGGATCACTAAGGGCCAGAGCCATTGCAGTGCCTAATCACGTTAATTACGTTGCCAATTCTGCCGATGTGCGAGAGCCAATACATACAAATGGCGCCTTATATGCCCACTCATCTTCTCGGCCCTCTAGGCCAGCAGCAACTCCTTGCGCAATAAACTGACCGATGACAAAGGCCAAGTTGATGAATGCCGTGAGCAGACCCCGGAGAGCCAGGGGACAGATTTCCGACGCGTAGGTCGGAGCAATCACCACGTAGAAACCGTAAGCTAGACCGCCTAGAATTTCGCCGGCGCAGAGCATCGAAAGAGAGTTGGCAAAAAATTGCACAAAAACAAAGCCGATTGACCATACGCAGCACACAGCTAGTGTCCATCTTCGGCCGAATCGTTCCATCGGATAGCCACTGGCAAGTGCACCAAGAACTTGGCCGATTGGGTTGCCCATTCCGAGGGCGGTCTGCCATGGGGCAGGGATTTCGTAGGAGCCGCCGACAAGATTTCCGTATCGCTTTTGGAATGCTGGGAGAGCGTAAAAAGAGAAGATGATTTGGCCATCATAACCCGACATGATGACGGCAATACTGAAAAACATGGCCCAGAACGTAGCCGTGGGATACTGTCTCATGGCCTGCCAGAAGCCAAGCTCGTGTTCAGCGCGAGTGATATCACGCGTTACATCGATGTGAACGAGCTCTCCCTTCTCCCCATGGCCCAATTCCTGCCCGGCAACTGCCGCCTCCTCGTGTTTCTCCATAATGATATCGGAGTCCTAAAGCCCAGGTATTCGACCAACAGCTCGCTGGCAGATGCTGTGTTTCATGTGGAGTTTGCTGGACCAAGTGATGAAAACGAGCTACAGTTTGCGGATGTTGTAGATATATACGCCTACCAAGGTAGGAATAATTGTTCTTTTTGGCGTATGGAATGTGACTGTCGCTAGAATTGATCGCTTGTGTGGGGGAAAGTCATTGGCATTCTAGTCAATCAACCCCAACCTGATTACGCCGATCTACACGAAGTAGGAGCTTCCTGATCCCAGAAACTTCCCTATGACGGGATAATCAGTATCAATATAGACAATGTAACGTCACCTGAGTCGCGTGTAAGTATGTAAGTACGAGGTACTCCGTCCTTGTTAGTCTGGATATTTCCGTGGTTGATCGTATGTGGGGTAGATAGCCGTTAAGAGACCACCTTTCTTGATAAAGAGCGAAGGTGCTTGGTCCAAAATGTGCACAAGGAGGGAAAAGCTTCATTCTCAACCCCCTGTTAGCGTTGATAAGCTACAGTCCAGCGTGCCGATTTACCGAGAGATGGAAGAATATTGCGGCCATGATTGTACTGCAAGGCGGGGGAGGATGCGGAGTAACTGGAGCCAGAGCTGAATTAATGCGTGTTGGGCTACACCTCGGCAAGAGGTCACCAGATGTAGGGGCTCCGTAGGCCAGATAACACAAGGCCAGGGAACATCGCGTATATCTAACCATAACCCGGTCTTTACGGTGAAGTGTTGACACGGAGAAGATTGACTACCCAGGTAAGCTTACCTAGATAGTTCACTTTGCGCGTAATTGGGGAGCCTTTACCCACCTTTGAACTGATGCAGCGTCCACTGATTGGCCTGGCCCCCTAAGTTTGCGCTTGTCTCGAGCCCAACGTTTGCAAGTGGCGTATGGATGGAAACGTGTTGAAGCCGCCTCCAAATCTTAACAAACCGCTATATTAGTAGCTGGCGCTGTAGCATGGCCTTGGATGGGGTAACAAAACGATGCAATCGATATCTATTTATCATTTCATGAGGGCGGAGAACAAGATGGCTAACGTTGCAATCTCGTCAACACGCCCTTTCCATGTGGTGCCGATGGATAATGTCGAGCTAAAAAAGGCGAAGGGGTACAATAACCATCGCACCTAAATTCTCCTATCTATTACTACCTAACCAAAGAATAAGACACAGCAGATAGATCAAGCGCACAGGTCCTAGTCCGGAAAATCTCTTCATGGGCGCCGGCCAATTTATCCATCAAGAAAGATATTTATGTATAAAGTAGAATCCTGTAGGAAGGCGGGGAGAAGAGAAGGAGGAAGCGATGGCAAATGTGTGATCTTTAATCGTTTTGCTTCCAAGGTTCTGTTGCCCATCAATCTCGTCTAAGCTAGCCCAAGACGCGACAGAGAGTTTGACAATGCTATGGTCGGTGGACCGCTGTAGAGATGCAAACTATTCTGCATCTTTCATATATTGTTATCGGTCATGAAGAACATGATGACCAGTTGTGTCCTGTGAAGAGCCTGCCAGATTTATCCGTCGGGCTAATCTCACCGCATCGAGGTCCCTTCCCTTCCTAGTAGTTCTTTTCTAGCTTAGCCAGTGTAGGCCAGAATTTGGTAGACCAGGGGATTCGGGGATATTCAGCACCAATTCATAGTCTGTAGATAGAGCTGATACTATGCTCCATCTTGAGGTTTAACATTAGGCTTTGATACTGATTACCTGATGGACTTTTTTTTGTGCCCTTGACACAGTGGATTTCTCATCCCAATCATAAACCGCCTGGATGCTTTGTACGTGTGCCGTTCAACAGGCACCATGACTCTCAATTTCCTCGTCGAGTCAATATGAGGGGGCGTTGATGCGGGATATCTGTATCATGTAGATATATCTAGTTGTGGTGTGGTCTAATTCCAAGCTTTGCCAAGCTGAACGATTCCCATAGCCTTGCTAAAGAGAGTGCTCACAACTTTAGCCAATCTACACCAATTAAGGTTCGACATTGGCTTCGCCTGTTATGTGGAACCGCTTGCTGCGGCTATTGCTTAGACTGTTGATAGCCGCCTCCTCGATGGAGTGCGGCTAATAACACATACATGACACTGGAAGAAGGATAGAGGATCTAAACGCCTTTGTTCCTCCCGAATATTCACCCAGAAAGAATGTGTTCACGTCATCTCCAGGCTGACAACCTTGGCAGTTTTATTGCCAATGTTCCTAAACCAGCTCGTATTAGTTGCTGCTGCTGCTTATGCTACTTCGTATTCCATGCCTATGAGATACTCAAAACCAGTCAAATGTCTCCTGCTAAACAAGGCAGGACGTGCGCTGCTCTATATCCATGTACTTTTATTGTTGGCTGGGCAAGGGATTTTGCGGGAATGCGCTGCGCCACGTCCTGCGATTAGTGCTGATCGTGACTTCGTACTCCAGGCAGAAATTTAGCTATTATTTGCTGAAAGCTGCGGAAAATGGCTGAACAACACTCAAGTACGGAGACATTGTGATTAAGTATCATAGTCCAGTCTATCTTATCTTTTATTATTGGCAACTTTACTCTGCCCTGTGAATGTTCCAACCCGATTGACCATGAATCAGGACGGCATTAAAAACCCCAATGATGAGACTATGGAAAGCAGGCCAACAGCCAATTTGGAAACGATTCGCGAATTGCTGCAATCTCAAACGAGCGAAGCAGCAGACCTAAAACTTAATGAAGATGGCCGAGAGTTATTGTTTACGGGCGAATTGAAGGCGTCTTCCACAGACGCCTCAAAAATTACCGTATTACTTTTCGACCATGCCATACTATTCGCCAATATCAGCTGGAACCAAAGCAGCAACAAGATTGAAGTTTACCGCCGGCCTATCCCTCTTGAACTTCTATTTCTATCTAAGACGCAGCAGGAAGATACGCACACATCTCGCCTTAGACGATTCTCGTTTCTCAGGTTTATGAAGGCTAGCAGCGCGAATACCGTGAGCAAAGAGGCGTGGCCAATAACCTTTTGTCATTTGGGGAAAACAGGTTTTGAATTGACTCTGTATGCACCCGGTGAGGCAGATCAAGAGAAATTGATGGATATTATCGGCACCGCTCACGAGCGTCTGCGAGTTCATCCCGAAATCTCCAATCCCAGCATAATCTTCACCAATTTCTTCGGGGACTCTAGAAAGATTAACTGTGCTGTACCATTTGGTAAGATTGGGCTTTACGCCAACTTCTGAAATGAATCGATTAACAGCCGTTTGTAGACCATGGGCGGAAAATACTGTTTGGCACAGACAACGGCCTTTATCTCTCTAACCGTGAGAAACACGACGCGGTCCCCGAAAAAGTGCATGACGTTCAAAAGATTACTCAGATCGATATTTTGGAAGAGTATAATCTTCTACTGATATTGTCGAATAATATTTTACAATCTTATCCTCTAGTGAAACTGGATTTCAATGATTTCTCGATTGGACAAAATTCGAAGACACTTCAGAAAAAGTGTACCTTTTTTAAGGCTGGAGTTTGCATAGGAAAGTACATGGTAGCATGTGTCAAATCAGGCTCATTATCAACTACGATCAAGGTATTTGAAGCAAGTCATACGAAACCCAGTGGTGAATCCATGGATGGCGGCTACAATGACCTTGAGTTGTCCCGAGAGTTCTACATCCCCAAAGAAACATTTTCAGTGCACTTCTTGAAATCGAAAATTTGCGTCGCGAGCCGTCAAGGGTTCGAAGTTATCTCATTAGAAACACTTGAAACCCAAATGCTTCTTGACGAGGCAGATGCCTCCATCGAGTTCGCTCTCAAGAACGGCCCTAGGCCTATTCATATACAGCGAATAGACGAAGAATTCCTTCTTAATTACACCGAATTCTCGTTTTTCGTCGACCGCAACGGTAAGCGATCTCGACCGGAGTTACGATTAGACTGGAATGGATCACCCCAAAGCTTTGCTCTCAGCTATCCTTGGATTTTTGCATTCGAGCCGAAGTTCATTGAGCTGAGAAATCTTGAGACCGGGGCGATTCATGTCATGCCCTACAAAAATATCCGTATGCTTCACTGCAGCTCTCACGAGGTATGCAAAACTTCATTCTGACGATTGTTTCTTCTGATACTGATCATGCACTAACTTCTCTATTGATTATATTTGCACACGAGAATGGAATGAGTCAAGATGTTGTTAAATCCATTGGCCTTGAGAGATATGGGGTGGAGATGTAAAGTGAGACTATCATATAACAAATGAAGTTTTCGTAAAGTTGGGCTTGCGAGAGGGAAGAGGGAATATATTCTATGCCCGTGAAATGAGAAAGAAGCAGTGACCAAGAAGTGCTTTTAGAGCCAGATGATGAAATCCAAATATGCCTGACTATCCTCAAACGCCACAAGCAGTGCCCAAAATAACGAGACTAACCTGAAGGTAAAATTTACAAAACTTTGGAAGGCAAAGGGGATTCTTCAATGCAGCGACTTGGGTAAATTAGACAGAACCCCACGCGCTCCCGTTTATTATCTCACTCGTATTACATTTCGCCTCCGCCGCCATGCCTTCTCCCTTCTTTACTCGTAGAAAGTGAATAAAATCTTCCAATATGATGTTCGTTTTTCCCAAGCATCAAATATCATGAAGCAATTATTGTTCTGAGTGGCAATTCTGGCCGTGTGTATTGAAAGATGATCATAAGCACTAGAGCAACTGGATGGGAGTGATTGGTTCGAATTGCAGGGCGCTTTGAAGTGTGCGCATTCGACGCTTTGGTATTCTTCTCCCACTGCTCTTTCAGATTCACGCAGAGGTTCATACAACGACCAGGTCAGTTAAACGCTAGCGTATGCACGCCTTTGGGCACTGGTTTGTGAAAAGGTACCTTCAATGCAATCTCAATGGGCTGCACAAATATGTAGTAACTAATAACTAAGCTGTAATTAAAATGCAGGTTTAATTCGGTGCGCTTATTCGACATTGACCTAATGAAAAGTTCGGCGTGATGCGATAACGAGGCTTTTTGTCGTGCGCATACTTTACGTTGTTTCATGCTATGGCGGGCCAGCGCTTTAGGTTCTCGAGGTCATATTCGAGCGTAAAGTCACCAAACACGGTTTGCGGTATGGGACATCTCTTGAGCTATATGATCTCTATGCATATTGAATATCTCAGCATGGTCGAAATTTCTCCATTTCACAAATATAACGGTCAAGGCGATCGATAGATAAAAGCGAATATATCTCACCAAGCAGGCAGTCACATATAACCAGTCCTGGCAAACCTGGGTATCCAAGGATTCAATCTTAGATGGTTGTGTGGATTAGCACACCACTACCAGACAGGTACCTGTTATCGCAGGATTTTCTTCTTTGTGCAACTACATGTACATACCAACACGTATGTCTAAACCGAATGGGGTATTCCGAACGAGGTATTGTAAGTTTCTATATGCCTTGTTGAAATCTTCGTAGCGGTTTGGCACGACCGATGCCCCCCCATGCTCTTTATATAACGTCTCTTTGATCTCAGTAATCTTTATCCGTCGCTGGCAAGTATCATACCTATTCGCTGCCTCAATCGACGCTCCCTAATTGCTACTTCAGGCTTTGCCTTGGCTAGAGCGCTTCCAAATGAACCATGAACAATATCACCAACGTATTGACGTCGTCAAGTCGCTTCTCCAATTGAATGCCCCAGAGGTATAGGCTGATTCTTCTTGCTATGGGACATCATCTAACTCTGATTCAGGCAAAAAGTATTGATCCTTACTCTGGAATCACCCATCGCCAGAGCAATGAACATCAAATCCTTTCAGTCTGATAGAACCCAGCCGGGGACCGTTCCATTTCCAGCACATTCTACATCTCTCCTTGTCCGACTGTCGAATTCCGATCCAAGAACTGGCCTAAATAACAACAACCGCATTGAAAATGAAGTTGCGTTTATGACGCTAGCCCGACAAGCACTTGCGAAAACAAAGTACAGTGACATTATTCCACATAGATATGCTTGGGCTGGTACAACTAGTGGACAAAGGTTCACAATTCAACAATACATGCCTGGAACCATACCTGCAAAACGCTTTGACACATTATCTCTGGAAGATAAATCCATTGTGCTCGGGCAAATGGCCGATATTCTGGCCCTACTACATCAATTCGAGATCCCGAACACGATCGAAATGTTCGGAGGCCTGAAGTTTGACGAGCATGGAATAATAGTTAGTGGTCAAATGTCTTTATTAAAAGACAACCTTCTGCCACCTACATGGATTTTATTCGTTCCGTCTTTAAGATCAAGCTTCAGGAGGCCGATGAAAACCCGGTCATAGTGGGCTGGGAAGAAAATGGGCTACGGACAAAACTGGACAAGTTTATCGGTTACCAACTTGACGAGACTTTGAAAGACTATGTACAGGTCCGTAGAGTGCTTATTCATGGAGATTTTAGTAAGTACCTAGTCTTTTCTCATCGAGCCTTGAGCATTTTTAGGCCTTCTAGATTGACACTTCATAGCAACAAATAATATTCTGTTCGATGCAGGCACGCTTAAAGTAACTGCATTATTAGATTTCGACTTCTCTTACGTTTCAACGGCCGCAGAAGAATTTCTCGGGTTCTCCTTTGGTAATATATCAGGTGGCAAGCTTCCAGGGCCGTTTGGAACCGGAGCTGATCTCAGCCTTCGCAAAGCGATGCTCTCTAGCTTCACAACGCCGTTTCTCAATACAGACACTTCGGAAAATCACTGGGACGTGACAAAGGCTAGGGGCAGAGAACTTGTGCGAGCTGGTGCTACAAAGCCCGCCACTATACCTCATTTTGAAGATATCGCAGATATCTACTGGCTTCAGGACAAAATAAGTCCATTTGAACTTGATAGCCCCGTCATGAGGAGACGAAAAACAGCAGAACAGCTAAGGAGCATCCGAAACGAGATAGAAGAAATGATTGTTAGGTTTTTGGACCGCTTGAATACGTCTTCGGGTGGCGATTTTAGCAATTAGTCTTCTTTCAAGAAGAACTCTGGCATATTTACGTTGTATCTCATCTCGTAAACTGCGCGTTGCATGTTGAATGCTGGAGCTAACAACTGTTTGTAATTCCTTTGAGGAACAATGCAATGTACTTCATTCACTAGACCTATCTTTATAATTGCATACAAAAATACTATTCTGAAAAACATCGGGCCTGAGGCAGTCCCGATTGACCGCTAAATCCAAGCAATTCAATCATACAACTTCTTTAAGAATACCAGTCTTGATATCGTAAACATAACCCCTGGCATTGTCTCTTAGTTCCTGTCGAACGAACTTTTGTGCTCTCAAAAGACGCAAATCTTCCCGAACGCTTTCTTCTAGCGTAAAGCCCCATTAGATTCAGTATCCTCAGAGACGAGAGACGTGCAGGTAGTGATCACGGCTGTAATAAACATACCTATCACTGGAACCAAAAGTATCCCAACACAGTGAATCGACCTCTGCAATGAGGTTCGGATGTCTGGCTTTTAATTTTTCCTTGAGACCTTTGTCACTGTAATAAGTGAAGCCACAATCTAATATTCTCGTTAGAGATAGCACATCTTATCATATTTCTTTTCCCAATTTGTCATTCAATAATACCTGTATGGTGAATAACAATGATATTTTGCAACGCTCCTACTTGAGTTGCTTCCATAAACATGAGATCATTGAGATTTGGCTTGACGCGTCCGCCACAATTTCGAATAACAAAAGCATCTATGAACATAAAACGAGTTGGTAAATAGGCAACTAAAACTCAGTTCATACAATTGCGTACCTTCCGGTGAAATCTGGAGAAACTCTTGAATAGGAACACGGAGGTCAATGCAACAAACTATAATGAATCGTGTTAGTTATGGAGATAGAAGGCTCACTGGTCTCCATATAACATACAAATGATGATCGGAGATGGCTTGACGTCTGGAAGGTCGGGTCTAGGAATATGCGTCGCCGAGTACACTCTTGGTCTGGTCAGTATGGTCTAATATGTAAGTACTCCGGAGTAAATTTAATACCGGTTTCGCTCCAATACCTCATCCCAGGCTGTCATTTTAGCGTAGAAGAGATGAACTAGCAATTGGTGATGGTTACTTCTGTAGTAATAAAAGAGACCTAATAAAGCCAAGTCGCGATATGGAGTGTGTGTGTCAAAGTGATTAAGATACCATAATCTCACTATATACGCATTTTACAGTTATATACCTTTTTACCCCAAAAACTGTCCTTTGAGGCTCAAAAGGCCACTCCAAATGGGTATGTGGAATCGTTGCAGTGAAGTTTCTCATCGCATCGTTACAGAGCAGATACATCGTTTTCTTGTCCTCCGATTTGTAATGAGCAATTAACTTTGAGTACTGCGAATCTTAACCTTAATGCGGAATGTATGACCTCAAAACCAACCCTTCTAATGTGGAGTAGGGACACCTGAGCGATCTACTCCATCAGCATCATAGTTGGAGGCTGGCTTACTCCAACCATTATGTGGGGTCAACTTAGCAATTCTCTCCAAGACTACTCCATATTATCTTTGGAGTAGTTTGTGATAGTGCAACCTCCACTTGCATGAGAGGAGAACGCTGCTCAATTTCACGCTCCCAGACATTCGGGATATGTTTCGCAAGTCAACTCTGACTATATTATTATCAATACCTCGACTACGCGTGGACTAATTGGGGACACTGCTCGCTCACCCGGCCTATGCCTCACTTGTAAGCGGCGCTGACTGAATCCCGCTTTCCGCAAGCTCTCATTCATTGGAAAATCCTCCCAAGATATGGGAAAGAAGCGGGTTCTAGTGAGCTGGGGTGTTGACGTGGACGCCGTTGCTGGATTTTTGGGATCGTATGGAGGCGAAAACTCAACAAGCGACATCAGCCGAGGCAAGACCAGACTTGAACAACCCTTTCAAATCGAAAGACAAAAGTGCTAAAGTATTCTATGCAGGCATCTTCGCTGCCACTGTTGGAACTCAGCGTATGCTGAAGATGTTTGATAAATACAACATCAAAGCAACATGGTTCATTCCGGGTCACACTCTTGATTCGTTCCCAACGGAAATGGCGGCGGTGCGAGATGCTGGTCATGAAATTGGCCTGCACGGCTACTCGCATGAGAACCCAGCAGACATGACATTGGATCAACAACGAGTTATCCTCGACAAGACCTATAGACAGCTCACCGAATTTTGCGGCAAACCACCAAAGGGTAGCGTTGCGCCATGGTGGGAAGCCAGTGCCGAGGGAGCACAGCTTCTGTTGGATTACGGAATTGAATATGATCACAGCCTTAGCCATCATGACTGTCAGGCGTACTATCTTCGGACCGGAGATTCATGGACCAAAATCGACTATAGTAAACATCCAAACGAGTGGATGAAGCCGTTAGTCAATGGTAAAGAAACTGGGCTTGTGGAAATTCCCGCCAATTGGTATATTGACGACCTCCCACCCATGATGTTTATTAAAGCTGCACCCAACAGCCATGGATATGTAAATCCGCGAGACGTGGAGGATATTTGGAGAGACACCTTTGATTATTGCTACAGAGAGTACGACGAGTTTATTTTCCCAATTACTTGCCACCCTGACGTCTCGGGCCGACCACAGGTCATCTTGATGCACGAACGGTGAGTAACATAGACGCCCTTACCATATCGTTTTCATATATGTTCTGACGTTGCTTTGTAGACTTATCGAGCATTTCATGAAGCACGAAGGAGTGGAATTCGTGACGATGGGTTACATTTCTGACGATTTCAAGAGTCGAAACTCCCCGATGTCTGGCGCTGCAATGCCGGCCCCAGCAGGATCCATGCTACGACAGTCACCTATACAATAGTTCATCAAAATTCAACCGATACCCGATTTTTAGTATCTAGGTGTACAAAATATCGGGATTTGCAGCTATTATCGATGATAAAAAACTGGTGATAAGTCCGAATATTTATGTCTTGGGCTCGTAGTAGTTTAGCCAGTACTTAGCCTCTTATATCTCTTTCCTATTCAATTCAGTTTCCAATATTATTTCGCATGATGATTAGCCTGTATATTGATTAGCCTATTGAAACTAGAAGTCAGATGTTACTTTTCGTGATTAGGCTGTTACTTATTTGCTCTTTTCTCTGCTAGCCTAATAGAACAACCTTTGCCTGGATTGAAGACAGCTATTACAGCCGGGATATTATTTTGTATGTCAATTACTTTGTTTTCCCTATGATTACACAAGTCAATACTCTATATGTAGCCACGGATATCAATCCATTTATATATCCTCTAGAGGGGCCTCTAGCGAGTGCTTCATAACATGACTGGTGCAAGGCCAATTGATTTTGTGATCGATTTTGTTTCTTATTCATCCTTGTCTCGCCCCAACACGTGTAAACATGAAGGCCCCTCTCTTCATCGCCCTTGCCATCGCGGGCGCTGCTTCTGCGTTTAAGGCAACAACCACGGCAAGTATACGCGTTTCAAGGGCTGCTGAACTGCTGTTGACTGGAAATCCTAGCGCTATTACGACGGACAGGAGGGTGCTTGCGGATGTGGCTCGAGCTCTGGAGGCATGGCCTCCTGGCAGGTAAGCCTGGCCCCCTCTTCACCACGATGCTTCATCTTAACGTTTATTGTACACTGCCGCACTGTAGCTTGGTATTGGCAACGGAGTTTATACTGCTGCCGGCTCCCAGGCTTTCTTCGATACGGCCGGTGCTTCGTGGTGTGGTGCGGGGTGCGGCAAATGCTATCAATTGACCTCTACAGGAGAGGCACCTTGCTCGACGTGTGGTAAAGGTGGCGCTGCTGGCCAGAGCATCATCGTGATGGTCACAAACCTTTGTCCTAATAATGGAAACGCGCAGTGGTGTCCGACAGTCGGCGGTACAAACCAGTACGGTTACAGCTACCATTTCGACATTATGGCACAGAATGAAATCTTTGGAGACAACGTGGTTGTTGATTTCGAGCCTGTCGTCTGTCCAGGACAAGCTACTTCCGATTGGGAAACCTGTCTCTGTATAGATATGCAAGAGACAGATACCACGCCCGTTGGTCTAGGTGACCCTGGCTCTGGTTCGCCTCCTTCTAGCAGTTCGAGACCGCCGCCAGCGACATCATCAGCACCACCATCCGGCGGCGGGTCACAAGTTCTCTATGGACAATGTGGAGGGGTTGGCTGGACAGGTCCCACGACTTGCCAACCTCCAGCTACCTGCAAGGCCCAGAATCAATGGTACTCCCAGTGCCTGAATTAAGCAACCTTGAGACATACACGCCCATGTTTCAGGCCATGTATAACGAACCGGCTTATGGCAGTAGCTTTGTCTGTGATTAGTTAGGGCTTGAATTTCTTCGGTCATTCAGCCCGCAAGCTAGCCAATTGTCTCTCCGAAGAGAGATTCGATATCAATAAATCCCTCCTTGCATATCGGCATTTTTCTGGTTATCTGTATCATGGCTAGTGATCAATACACCGACACCACCTGATCTCCAGTTACTCCAACACCTCCATGCTCTCCATGCTCGCTCTCCAGCGGGGTTGGAGTAGTGCTATCAATCCCACAAATGGCTGATGCCAACGATCTAGGACATGATTAGGCGAAGGGAATTAAATGGGAATAACAAAACGGCATGCGGCCTCGGATAGGTTGAGCAGAGATTATTCGCCGCGGAAGTCTGTGGAGGCTCCTAGATCTTCATGCTTATCGGTCCACACTACCCCAGGTTCATGCTGGGTGGTCTAACTCGTAGATATCGTTCGTTACCTATGGTAAGTACAAGTACGATGGATGATCTATTTTATAAGAACCCAAGGACCAATGATGTTGCTGGGAGGATTCTCTTAATTTTCAATTGCTAAATTCTTTTTACACTAGTCGTTGAACACATTTGGTATAATTCACTCTTCTGGCTTTCAATTCCCGGATCCAAATCGCAGACCAGGACTCTTCAGCGTGAAGATCCTTTAATTCTACTGCGGTATTTCCCTTACGTTGGCCATGGCTAAGGCGCCCGAGACGAGCTATGGGGTTGACCGCATCGAAACAGCTCTTGGATACGAAGAAGAGGGCACCGATTTGTCGAAACAGGCCGATGAAAGCAATTTTGAAGTTTTTAGGAGAGAAGAAGGCGCTGTTGATTTTCGGACCGTAAGTTGGCTACACGCGTCAGTAATCTTCCTTAAATGTAAGAGTCACCATTTTCTCCTTCCTTCAAAGCCGCTTATGAAAAGTTTACTGAGAGTGCGTTTTCCAGACATATTTGCTACCGGGGTACTTTCGATTCCATCTTGCATGTTTGTCCTGGGCGCATTCCCTGGGGCAATCAACGTCGTCGGTTGGACGATGCTTAATACCTATTGCGCCATCATTCAAGGCAACTTTCGGAACTCTCATCCCCGCTGTCATTCAATCGCAGACATGGCGCAGCTAGTTGGCGGGCCTTTGCTCCGAGAGGCTGTGAGCATCTTGTTTCTGCTAGCTTACATCATTTGCGCAGCCTCTGGAATCTTGGGAGTGTCTGAGGGCCTTAATGCTCTTTCTGACCATGCAGTTTGTACACAGTGGTTTACTCTTGTGGCTACTGTAATCGTGGCGGCACTTGCGAGTGTCAGAAAATTTGAGAAGATGGCCTGGCTTGCCTGGTTGGGATTTGGCTCCGCCTTTGTTGCTGTTCTGATAGTGGTGTAAGTTCAAGACGTCGAATTGCGCCCGAACATTTCAGACTCGACGGAAGCTGATAACATCACACAGTATTGGTGTTACAAGGCTTGATCGCCCAGCAGCCGCTCCACAAACCGGCGACTTTGACTTGGGATTTCATGCAATTGGCCCCCCTACTTTTGTTGCGGGCGTCACGGCAGCAGCGACAATATTCTGCTCCAGCGCCGCGACATCTGCTTTCCTCCCAGTTATCTCTGAGATGCAGAAGCCGAAAGACTATCCAAAGGCTGTCTACCTCTCCATGACCATTGTCACCACTTCTTACCTTGCTTTCTCTCTTGTCATGTACCGGTGGTGTGGACAGTGGATTGCCTCCCCATCGCTCGGCAGTGCTGGGCCCGTCATCAAGAAGGTGGCTTACGGCGTAGGAATCATTGGGCTCTGTGTCAGCGCCTGCCTATATGTTCACATTGGTTCCAAATATCTCTTCGTACGTGTACTCAGAGATTCTCCTCATTTACAGCGCAACAGCGTCATCCACTGGGCTAGCTGGTTTTCGATTACTGCTGGCGTCTCAGCCGTCAGCTTTGTTGTTGCGTCAGGAATTCCCATATTCAATTACATACTCGCCCTTGCAGGGTGTTTATGTTTTGCGCCTTTGGCAATATCTTTACCAGCCTACCTGTGGTTACACGACCATCGCGATTGGAGAGTAGGAGGACATTGGAAGACGGCTGCTTGGACATGGAATGCTTTTCTCGTCCTCGTCGGCGCTTTCATGACGGTGGGAGCTACCTACGGTGTAATTCAAGAGATAATCAATGCGTATGCCGATGGAATAATTGGCTCTGCTTTTTCATGTGCTGATAATAGCAACTCTTCCTAAAAGAAGATATTTATCATTCGAGAAGTTGCTTCAGGCAATTGAACAGCTTTATTTGTTAATTTGTTCTTATTGGCCAAAATCTCAATAAGTAATAATGTGTTTATATCTTTGTTCCTGTATATCGTTCCTAGAAAGACTGCTGAATTTTATAAACATTGAGACCTAAATATTGGCAGAACTATTGTTTGATGCACATATAGGTACACTGCGTATAGACATTCCTGCTTGATTACAGCGGATACTTGATTATGTACGCCTCGACTTGCTTAAATTGCGTGCTCAAAGCCAGAGCCACTTTATTGGAAAACAGTTGAGTCTATTTGGTTGAATTGTTCCTTCCGCGAAGTATACATGATCTTTCAATAGTACCTGATATCAAATGGAAATTGCCGTATAGTCCAGTCGAGATCCCTATTGTGTCAAGGTCAGAGAAGTGCCCTTGGTACCAAGAGCTCTGCCAGCAACAAATCCTGGGCTGAATGGATAATCAATGTAGCCTTCTGGAAGAAGCGGAGTGCAGAAACTCGCGCGATCGTATTTGTTTAGCGGCTGGCCACCCTTTATTCTATAGGGAAGATCTGGGTTGGCGAGAAAATGCCGACCGAAAACAACGGCAACGTCGTAATCCCTATACTCTCCGTCGACGGCTTGACGCGCATTCTCTGGAGTATAACCACCGGCCACAAATATCGGCGATGTATTGCCCCAAATATCCAATAAGAATCTGATGCTATCCGTACATTCAACGTCCACGTTATTATTAACGCGCGACTCGATAATGTGCAGATATGCCAATTGATATCGCTTTAACTTCTCGGTAAGAAAAGAAAATTGCGGAATTGGGTCCGTCATCCTCATTCCTTGGAACTGACTGAACGGACTGATTCGAAATCCAACTTTTTCTGCGCCAATTGCTTCCACAATTGTAGACGTAACTTCGAGTGCAAATCTTGCCCTATTCCCATTGCTGCCCCCCCAACGGTCGTTTCTCTTGTTGCAATTGTCTTGAAGGAACTGATCAATAAGATATCCATTTGCACTATGAATCTCAATGCCATCAAATCCAGCCAGGATAGCATTTTTTGCCGCTTGCGTGAAATCAGAAATGCAAGATGCAATCTGCTCGTGGGTCATCTCCTGGGGAACATCGCAGTCTTCTTCCTCCGTCATTGGAGTTGCACTCGAGCTCAAGAGTTGGCGAGCTCCTCCATCTAAAGGATTCAAAACTGCGGCGCGGCCGGGTGCAATGAGCTGGCAGAAGATAGTGCATCTTCTATCGTGTACAGCATCAGTGATTATCTTCCAGCTCTCAATCTGGGCGTCCGTCCACAGCCCAGGGGCGTTGGGGAAGCCACTGTGAGCTTCGGATATCAGCGTTGCTTCTGTTATTATTAAAGTGCCGGGGACCGAAGCGCGCTGTGAATAATATTCCAAGGCTTGGGGCAATTGGACATGGTCGCCGTCCGCGCGAAACCGAGTAAGAGGCGCCATTATGATCCGATGATCAAGGATAGAATTCCCAACCCTCAGAGGCTCGAAAAGTTTTGATTCAGCCATGACAGCAGATTTGATTGAGAGAATTAGAAAGTAAAAGATTGTCTTTTATTTTGATATGAGTCTAGATGGAACATGCATGAAAAGGCGACCGCGTTGGTGCTTTATATCCCTTTCTTTATAATACGACATGCTTTAGGTGTCACAACATCTGCTCATCATCTCATTAGAGTATCAAAATATGATCATTAATAATACTCATTGATTTCAAATCACGATGTGTTTGTACAAGATTCTCTCAATTCGAGTGATATCTTCTACTTTACTAAGCTGAAGCCATCGACTAGGCTCCTTCTTGGGGTTTATTTGGGGTCGCACCTCTCCAACTGTTGGAGACTAGTGTGATTGGTTGTGGTAGGTCCAAAGACCTCCAGCGTATGAGGGACGGAGCAAATAAACGCGATATCGGTGCGACGCAAAAAGATAGGTAGATGTAGGTAATAAAGTTGTGCTATTTAACTCTATCTTGCTAGGTTCCCCTCCAACTTTGCACCGTGAATGCTTATAGGATTGCTGTATACGACGGCATTACGCACGTATTTGTGGTTTACCTCTAGCTTCGTTATCTCCGTGGGTACCTAGGTCGGGTTGCCCAAACGTAGAGCAAATATGTCGGTCATTTTCACAGCTGTTTCTCAGTAAGTTGAGCATATCTTACAAATGGTCGACCATCCCTAATCTGACTGGCACAAGGGACAATCCAGTTCGGAGACAAGATGTCCAGAAAGTCTTGGGTCAAATGGGTGTCTCTCTTGACCCGGAAGAAGAGAATGATTTCCACGCACTGCTTGCAGCTGTTCATGACTGTGCAGAGGAAATTCAACAACTACCAGACTACCAACCTGTTCCAGACAGAGGCCTGTATCCAAGAGAAGATATACATCGCCCATCTAAAGAAGAGCAGGTTTTCGGACAAGCCTGGGCAAACAAATTTCTTATACGAGGCACCACTAAAGCTGGGTTTCTAACCGGCAAAACTATCTGTCTCAAAGACATCGTTGCAGTCGCTGATGTCCCTCAGATATATGGAACTGATATTTTCCCACCATGGACACCCACCACAGATGCAACTGTTGTCACGAGAGTGCTTGATGCTGGCGCTAATGTGGTCGGGACAACTACTTGCGAAAATATGTGTCATTCAACATCCTCCTTCACAAGCGCCCAGGGGACAGTTCATAACCCGTTTGCTACTGGATATTCGGCCGGAGGAAGCACATCCGGAGGCGCTGCAATCGTCGGCGGTGGCCTTACAGATATTGCGATCGGCACCGACCAAGGTGGTAGCATCCGAATTCCTTCGACCTTTTGTGGATGTCAGTACTCAAACGCCGTCAATTCTGCTGATTTAGTTGTCTAATATGGAGTCGCAGGTGTTGGATTCAAGCCGACGCATGGATTAGTACCGTACACGGGCATTAGCAGTGGTGATGCAATTGATGATCACGCTGGTCCCATTGCTAAGAGCGTGCTTGATGCAGCACTTTGCCTTGACTCAATAAGCGGATATGACGGAATTGATGATCGATGCTTGGGTGCGCCGGCACACGGCTCAACGACCTATGCTGCGTCCATGCAAGCACAGCATGGCTTATTGGACGGTTTTAAGATCGGCATCCTTGTGGAAGGTTTCAGCCATCCTATCGTAGACCAGAGGGTTAGGCAGGTAGTCCTTGAGGCGGCCTACAAGTTTAAGAGTCTTGGTGCGACAGTTGATGAGGTGTCGATACCTGATCACTTACGCGGCCCAGGACTTTGGACGATTCAGCAGCGCATTGCGGGATCACAAAATCTTCTTGGACATCAACACGGGAGGAGAGGCTTGTATCTTACTGAGTTGGAGCAATGCCGGCTGCCCTGGACTACTGAGAGTTTCAGAAGGGGATTTGCAGCCACCAAGAATGTTATTATCAACGGGCTATATCTTGCCGACCGTTTTCCGGGTCTTTATGGCAAAGCTACTAACTTGGGACGACAGCTTCGAGATGCATACCAGAAAGTATTTGAGCAATATGATGTGCTTCTCATGCCCACGGCACCGATTGTAGCACCAAGACACGGGGAGAAGGGATCGCCGATAGAAGCTCTCAAACCCAGTATGGGTATCACCATAAATACTGCGGTATTCAATGTCACTGGTCACCCAGCCATGACTATTCCTGTTGGCTTCGCGCCATCGAATGAGGCGCCTCATATAAACCTGCCAGTGGGCATGCAGATTGTTGGTGGACTTTGGAAGGAAGACAAAATCCTTCGTGCTGGATACGCATGGGAGAAGGCGTTCGATTGGAAGAAAGAGGTTCTAAATTAGAGTAGGTGGTGCTATATTTACGTACTGTATCTTGCTAATAACGCGACTAAGACCATGGAAATACAGATATGGGCATTATGATAGGATATTGTACCGTTGACATCTTCACACTCTCTCGTGCGTCTCCAGCGAGAATACCTAGATAATAACATAACCACCATCAACGATCAACGCATGACCTTGAATAAAAGATGCTTGCCTTGAGCAAAGAAATAAGATTGCATCTGCCACTTCTTCCGGCTGCCCCATCCGCTTCATAGGTGCCATCTCAACGGCTGGCTGAAGGCGTTGCTTGACTTCGTCGCTATGAGTCGTCATTGGGGTCTGTATGACTCCAGGACATATGCAGTTAACTCGGATTCCATCTGCTGAATAGTCGATGGCATCACAACGAGTCATGCCAATGACAGCTGATTTAGAAGCGCAATACGCCGCTGGAATGATGAACCAATTCGTCAGCTTTGTAATGAAAAAAGAACAAAACAAGATTGAAGATAATAAGACACGGAAAAACTCACGTGCAGCGTGACGCCCCACGATACCAAGCTGACTTGCAACATTGACAATCGCTCCTCTGTAAGATGGCCGGTTTGATATAGATGCCGGTTTATACGGATTCTGCTCCACTATATGCATCGGATCTTGCTTGATCATGCGCTTCAGCTGTGCCCTCGAGCTCAGCCAGCAGCCTCTATAATTGACCTGATTAATCCGGTCAAAATCTTCAGTGGAGAGTTCGGTAGAACGAAGAGGGGGGCTAAGTATTCCGGCGCAGTTAACGGCATAGTCGATGCGGCCAAACTCCTGCAAGACACTGTCCATGAATGATTCAACAAAGTCCTCATCGGCAATATCACCGACCCTGGCGAAAAGACTAACCCCAGGATGCACACGATTAATGCTTTCCTGCGTTTCTCGAAGCCCAGCCTCGTTAATATCGGTAATACCTATCTTAGTACAGCCTGCTATTGCGAAAGCCTGGGCCGTTGCGGCCCCGATTCCTGGGGCGAGGATCGTCTTGTCAATTGCTATCCATTGCTTGACCATCAAAGGTGGGAGGGGCTTACCATGGCCACCAGCGCCTGTAATTACCGCCACCCCCGGAAATCGTCCAAGATCCATGGACACTGACAACAGGGTCGCCAAACGTACTCTTAGGCAATGGGCTGCTTAGGCTGAGAAGAAGATGAGATAGGCTGCGTAAAATGGGCTTTCAATCTATCTGTAACCCTTCCCCCCATTTATCATATAGGCAGATAGGCAAGCTGTACTTCTTATTTGAAAACGACAGTAAATTGCGAGTGCCGCACTGTGCATGTGCCGACCGTCTCCAACTTTAGTTGTAGATATCTCAAGTCGCCGCCTGAGGCTAGTAGAGTATGAGCCTAAGGCTCATTTGCCTCCGCCGCGGATCGGGTAGCTCCAAAGCGCAAGCCGGAGGACGAAGTTTCTTCTGGGGTTTTGCATTCCCGCAGTTGGAGAGTCGCTGAACCCCTCTCTATCCTTCTCCATGATTCTCCACAAAGCCTCCCACAATGCCATCTCCAGACTCCAGTCACAACTCCAACGAGAGTCGCCAAGTCCATGGTCATCGCCCACCTACAGCAAAGAGAAATCTCTGCGTATATTGCACTCGGAGTTTCAGGCGCGCCGAACACCTACAGCGCCATATTCGCACTCGTAAGGAATTTCATTCTCGTTACAATGTTGACTTCGCCGCCCTATATGCCCTCACAGCTGACTTGCTCCTTCAGACACCAAGGATAAGCCATACATCTGTCAGTGTGGCACCGCTTTCGCACGCCGTGACCTGCTCACTCGACATGAGAGGCTTTCTCATGGACAAACAAGCTCTCACCAAGTGATACAAAAATCTGTTGATTCTCAAGGCTCGACGGCTGATGCCGTTGCGCAATCACTTACAGAGGCACGAGATGTAGCAGGCGTTTCAGTATCGGATTGGACTATACGTAACTCTAATGAGGGTATTGGGTCCCAATGGCCCCAGCGGGAGCAGAGTGAGACAGTTTATCAGAACTTTTCCGATGACGCGCTGGGCACATTATCACGAACCACGAGGCCAGTTCATTCTGTATCCGATGGGGCGATAACTGATCAACAATATGGGCAGTCTATGCCTCGAAATGATGGGGATACGTCTTTAAGCCCAGGTAAGGGCCTTTATACACTCAAGCGACGTTAAGACTAATGATATTGTAAGAGGCGACGTTCGCTTTCTTCAATGATGATGGTGGTCATTTTCAGGAATTTGCTAGCTTCCTTGATGGCATAGGACTTCCGGCCGAGTGGACGCCGCCCAACTTCAACCATGAACTCAATACCAGTGGGGTTGACGATGAGAGCCATGACAAGAGAGAGCCAAATCATCTACGCTCGACGAATGACGAATCCTGTCCTGGCTCTCCGTTCGGCTCATGGCCACCTTCAGTACCACACGGCGACCACCCTTTGACCTCTATATCAGATACAGGTTAAACTCCCAGCAACCTGATAGCTACATTAGCAGCTTCCCCCCTTTCCCATCCTTGATTGAGTCCAATTTTGCTACATTATCAAAATCCGCGTGGCCGAGACTGACGTTTGTTGCTTCGCAGATCCTCATGATTCGAGCTTCAAGAGGTTTTCCTTGAGAGTAGACTCCGATATTTTAGCACGTTTCAATGCCTCCCTGGAAAAGTATCGTGACATTATCCCAGATTTCGTCATGCCGTCTAGGCATACTCTCACTAGATACATCACATCGTTCTTTGGAGGATTCCATTCTCATCTTCAGTTCCTTCATGCTCCAACCTTCCGACCGGGCAATTGCCCCATTGAACTTATTTTAGCCATGTGCGCTACAGGTGCTCAGTATTGTTTTGAGCATCGAAACTCAAGAAATCTCTTCCGCACTTCGAAAGCAATTGTATTGGCGCATCTATCCCAAAGGGAAATCGCGGTCGGCCAAAGGGCAGAATCAATCTTGTCACCTCTCAACTTGGGCAGTCGACTCATTCAGCATCCTGCTGGCCCTCATTTCTCCACTGTGATGTCTTCAAATTCGGAGCATCCGAATTCCACATCATACAAAGCAATGGATGCAATCCGCTGCTTATTGATCTTGATGGGCTATGCCACATGGGAAGATTCAGAGCTTCTACATGAAGCACTGAGTCTCCAGAGTTTGCTTGTTCATTGCCTTAGAGAGGCAGGACTAAGGGAAACCGTGGAAAATAATTCGACCTCTGCAAAATTATCGTGGACTGAGTGGTCAGAGCAAGAGTCTGTTAGAAGAACAAAGCTTGTCTCATTCACGTTCATCCATGTTCACAGCATCGCATATAACACCTACCCGTCACTACGAAGTAATGACATTTACCTTCGCTTGCCCTGCTCGACAAGAGAATGGAATGCTCAAACGGCCGCTCAGTGGCAAGCTGCACGGCGCGACGTAAAGGCAGAGCAGCTTCATTACCAAGATGCCTTGTCCCACCTTCTTACAAACTCAGGGAGCAACGCCCATATTAATCCTACGCCTGCACCGCTTGGAAACTACATACTTCTTCATGGGCTCCTTCAAAGAATACATCTGATACGAGAGCTTTCTCTCTCTGCACTGGATTACTCGGCGGCTTTGCCAGATGAGGAATTGAACAAGATCGAGTAAGTATGAATGGGGAAATTTCACCAGTTGATACTATCCCTTCCAAGGTCACGCGTGTAATAGTTTACTTATGCCATGTACAGACGGGCGCTTCGATCATGGACTCTGGTCTGGAAACAAGCACCGGAATCCAGCCTTGATCCATCAAACGAGAATGGACCAATTCCGTTTACATCCAGTGCCCTCCTTGGCCTTGCCTATATTCGTGCATGCATGAATTTAGGTCCTCACCGAGCACTCGAGACCCGAAACCCAATGCTAATTGCTGCTGGTATCTCAAAGGCCCCATCCCCATCGCGTGGTCGTTTCTTGATCCCGGCCTTAATATACTCTACACATGCGCTCAGCATCCCCGTTCGGCTTGGAATTGACAGCGTTGCACGTAGTCAAGCATTTTTCTGGAGTGTCCGCCATTGTCTATCCAGTCTCGAATGTGCGGTCTTTTTGAGTAAATGGTTATTTTCATTATCCCAGCCACATAATACTCAATCATTGACGGGTAAGCTACCCCTTCCTCGCACTGAAGTAGCATGTTGACTAAGAGCGTTGTGGAAAAGAAAATGAAAACCGCATTCTCCGCTGGGTCAACGCCATTGTACAAGAAGCAATATCTTACTTGGACATTGACCAGGCGGATATCGGTATAGATATTGACATCTCGCGGCCACATACACTTGGCCTGGCAGTCTCAAAGCTTTGGGCACGCCTCTTTATGCACAATGTGCAATGGCCATTTATCAATATCATTGGCCAGGGTTTGCAGAAATACGCAGAGACACTACAGGCCGGGTAAATAGATCCAGGCTTTTACGTGTCAATAGCGGGACAGACCTGAACAGCAGCCCGAGTACGACAGCGATCACCATTAGCCTAATTCATAACCATAGTGAATAAAGCATCGCAGCGATTTCCAATCCCTTTTTCTTCTTCCGGTATAACTGAGACAAAACAATTGGGCACGAATTATACAATCCCAGGCTGCTCCTGGGGATTGGGAGGGGAACATCGATATTGACAGATGCCCAAGGTAAGCTTAAATCACACATGCCGCAAGATATGCAGATGCTGGCTTGTATTACAATCCAATTTACAACGAATCTACTGCGTCGATGGCATCGAGTTCTATCGCAATCCCGGCAACTGTTTCATTAGCGAACATCCGGATGTGCCGCTGTAAGGGCGTAGTTGGAGGAAAAAAGTACGGAGTACACGAGAAGATGCAATGAACTGCTGGCGGCCACGCAAAGTACGGATCGTATGTCCGTTATAGGCAAAGTAGAGCGAATGGCACTTGGACAGAAAATCTCGTTCACCCGAAATCGAATATGCTGAATAAGGGAAGATCTAGATCAGGGCTGTCAAATTCGGGCATAGCTTCCGCATCAGGGCATGTTCCGTGCCTGGCAGCTCAATCGAATTTCTCAGCTCAAGAGTCACAAATCTGGGCTGATATCATAATACATGGCCGGGCGAATAGCGTGGTGGTCTCTGGATTAAAGTTTCTGGGAACATTTGTGATTGGCTAACGAGCTGAGATCTGCTGGAACCAGGAAATCAAAACATCAGCAAATTACTTTTCTAGGTTAGCATGCTGCTTTGTAATTATCCAAGACAGAATAAAGAAGGCCGAGGAGTTGCGCTTGATAATAATTACACAGTAATCTTCCTTTGTAAGACACACTGGAGTTTCCGTTTTATGTATACCAGAATCATTCTGTTACAGGCCACTATGGCAAGCATCGAACTATTTAGTATCGAGACTCTCCAGTCTATTTTATTGGGTGTTGCTCAAGAATTCAATTCAACCAGTGTTTGGGATAAAACACGGGAAACACAGAAAGCGAAGCAAGTTCTTAATATAAACATCATCCCACAGTTACATATCTACGGAATCCTTTCAACTCTCATTGGTTCTCCTATCTGGCTTGCCAGCAGCTGCAGGCTCTTTCGTTATTGGCCCAATCACTTTTGCCGCGTCTCATTCCCAATTTGGTAACTAAGATGCGAGACATCATCAGAGAAGCGCCCATCGGTCAGCTTCTTCGCCTGATTATGCGAAACAGAATTCTTCAATACCCGGAAGAGGAAGAGGGCTTTAAGCTACCTAGTGAATATATCGCCCAGCTGAATTCAAGCGAGAAACATAATGGGTATCGAAATTTGGACGGAGTACTGTCTGAATCTAGCGAAGGGATAGACTCTGAAAACTCCAGATCAGTTGGTCATGAGGGCGATGATGTAGAGCATCTCGGACGAACAAGAACGACCACCAGTGTTCATACCACCCCATACAGTAATGAGCGACTGGAGGCTGAAAGAGAACTCGCACTGCAACGTACCAAGTCTATTGTGATCAGTCCTCAGAAGACTGCAGATGGCATTGTTCTTGTCGATTGGTATACCACAGATGACCCAGCCAATCCTCAGAATTGGTCAACACTCAAACGCTACTTCGTCCTGTTTGTTCTCTGCTTTTACACATGGACCGTGTACTGCGCTGGGCCCATTTATGCTACCGCTGAAGAGGGAATACAGCATGCGTTTCATGTTAGTCCTGTCGCTTCTAGCCTCGGTCTTGGTCTCCACATCCTCGCCTATGGCATAGGCGACCTCCTTTTCTCGCCTTTATCTGAAATCCCCAGCATCGGACGGAATCATATTTACTACTTGACGTATATTGTTTACTGGGTTTTATCATTCCCAGAAGCGGTTGTTGATAGCTTTGGTGGGCTTTTGGCCCTGCGATTTTGGCTTGGCTTTTTCGGCAGCCCAGCCCTGGCCAATGGCGGTGCCACGGTCGGAGACATGTTCTCTCTCATGTACATTCCCTTTGGCCTTTCTTGGTGGGTATTCTCTGCGTGGGCTGGCCCTACAATTGGACCAGTGATTGGAGGTTTCGCAGCACAAGCCAAAGGTTGGAGATGGCCTATGTGGGAAATTGTGTGGATGTCTTCTCTTGCCCTTGTTTTCCTGCTGCTTTTCATGCCCGAGACCTCGGCGCCCACCATTTTGTTGAGACGTGCACGCCGACTCCGCAAGCTGACCGGCGATTCGAGACTTTAGTCGCAGAGTGAGATTGATCAGCGCCATATGAGCACATCTGCCGTCCTCTTTAACGCATTGGTCAAGCCTATGGAGATTATGATGAAAGATCCATCCATTTTCTTCGTCAAGCTTTACACAGGTTACTTCTACGGCGTCTTCTATACATTCTTTGAGGTCTTTCCTCTCGTCTTTCCAGTGATGTATGGATTCAATCTTGGGCAAAGTGGCCTTACATTCTTGTCTTGTCTTGTCGGCGTCATTATCGGGCTTGCCGCCTATTTTGCGTACCTGCAGTTCTATATGGTTCCCGATAACATCAATCGTGGCTTCAGAGAACAGGAACACCGACTTGTTCCTGCCATCATTGGATCATTTTTGTTGCCAATCGGCCTCTTCATCTTCGCGTGGACAGCCGATCCTAGCATTCGTTAGGTGGTGCCTCTTATTGGAGTGGGTATTTTCTGCTTTGGACACTTCTGGACGATGCAATCTCTATTCATCTATATCCCGCTGTCTTACCCTCAATATGCCGCTTCTCTCTTCGCTAGCAACAGTATTTGGAGGTCTGGCATTGCTGGCGGTGCTGTCATCTTTGCAAGGCCTCTCTTTATCAACTTGGGCGTTGATAAGGGTGTGACGATTCTCGCTGGACTTAGTGTGATGGGAATCTTCGGTACAACTGCCATTTATATCTTCGGCAAGAGGCTCCGTGCCAGATCCAAGTTTGCTCAAAGCTAGAACAGATAGGCTAAAGTCAGTTCTCGGCTGCTTCATGCCTAAGACAAACCCCCCCCCCCCCCCCCCAAAAAAAAAAAAAAAAAAAGGCCTCCTCGAAAGACAAGGTGGTCTACATAATACAGAATATTACAAACCGAAAGGAGACTTATGGGATATTCTTAGGATTGGGCTTTGATAATTTTTTCGAATGATGGATGAAAATAATTTAGACTGAAAATAGATTGCTAAATGTTGTTGTGTGGCATATAAATGCTCAATATTAGGCACTGTGGTGCGGTGTGGTGTGCGCACGCTTGTGCCTAAAAGTTCTCATTCCAAGTTGTCGATTACTGAGTGTCGGAACATGTTCCGAATTACACCTGATAAAGGTGGACTGTCGGAACAACACGTAATTGGTTATCGCCTTCTACCAGGTAATGTTAGCACTTGCGCATTTCCTGTGCTCTGCAACTTGCCAATATCATCCGTCCGTTTCGATATACACCCATTTCTCCCCATCTTCTTCATGTCATCAGATGTCATGACCAAGGAGTTCATTCATTTGCACCGGTTATACAGCATTAAATTCGTATTCGATTATATCCTATCGGCCTCGGCTAGGGACGCATCTAATGCCTATGGACACATATTCAGAATCTCCCGGCCCAGACGTGCCATCCAAGAAAAAGCTCAAGATAGGGAATGGCAATGCATGCGAATTGTGTCGCTCTAGGAAAGTGAAATGCGACGGAACGCGCCCAGGTAAGTCTTGTCTTCCTGATGTCTACCTGGTCCGACGTGTGTGTAGATACCGACCTCGGCTTAGCTTGTAGCAATTGCAAGAAAAAAAAGAAATGAGTGCATTTATAAACCTGTCTCTAGTGTCTTACACCAAGAGCCTATGCAGTCAATTCCCGAAATTGGATACAGCGGTAGTCCTGGTACATTTGCCGGAGAGGTAAAAGCCGCCATTGATGCCAAGTATGGGGGAATTTCTGGTGGATCATCCATTGCGATGCCATGTCAGATGCTCCTTTATTTGAATTGCGCTTACTTGGTCGACGACCGGGTGATGGGCATGCGGATAAGGTCCTACCACCGCGCCGACAGGCAGACCATCTCCTGAGTATATTCTGGCGGTGTATACACCCTGTGGACTACTACTTTGTTGATGAGAAGCGATTTTGTCGGTCATATGAAATGCTATTTGAGGCAAGAGATTTGGAGATAGATGAGCGCGTTTTTATTGCCACATTGAATATCGTCTTTGCTTTCGCCATCCAGGTTCAGGAATCCATCACAGCTTCGGAGAGGAACGAGGTGGCGAGCACCTATTTTGAGAGAGCCTGGAACTTACTACGCCCTGAATCCGTTCTATGGGAGCCGCCGTCGTTAGAGGTTCTGGAATGTCTCTTACTAATGAGCCGATATCTTCAGTGTACGAGCAATTCACATCAAGCATGGATGGCAGTTGGATCGGCAATACAAATTTGCCCAGAGCCTTGGTATGCATCTCTCTAAAGCTTCGGAGGCTGGCACATCGAGTGACCAGGGTCATTGGCAGCAGCACCTATGGAACTGCCAAATATTTGCCGACATGTAGTTAAACCCCATCTGGCTTAATCTTATCTCGTCTCTTTCTAATTCGGGCGTCCAAGGTCAGTCTCGTGGGTGCAGGGTCGTACGGCGATGACGTCCTTAGTTAGCCAACGTACCGCTAGCAGGAATCCTCCTTTTCGTGATGATTTGATACAAACATTGGAACTGTATGAAATTGTTCATCATAGTACTATGGCACAAACTCCTGTTAGTGGTGGCCTAGCTGAACGATTCGGCCTACACGGGTCTTATCAAAAGAAGGAATCATACTGTAACTCTGTCCTACAAGATGAAGCTTGCTTGAACCAATGGGAGAAAGTCAGGCTGAAAAGGGGTTTATCTGAAGAATGCGATGACAATTAAACGAAAATGAAGAGGATTGGCCTCCAACTTCGGTAAGCTTTACATGAACACTATTCGTCTGCCGCATTCTCTTCACATAGCTCATGCCTTTCGACACCGCTAGGCTATTGCATGCTCGAATCCTCTTGTTCAGACCAATGGTTGCTCGGTGCTGCTTCATACAGGATAACGCGCCTGTCGCTGCCGATGTTCAGTTTGAATCATCTTACAAGGGCCATATGATACAATACGGCGCCTTTCAATGTACTTCGAACGCCCAAAAAATGATAGCATTACTTGACAAAAGTTGCAACGCCAATGAATCTGCCTACAGTATACCCTGATGGTCTCAAATTTTCTACCTTCATATGGCGGGAACCATTCTACTTGCAGCGATGCAATCTACGAGTCTTTTCACAGAGGCAGTATCAGACAGCTGGCAACAAACTCTCTCAGTTTTCAAGAAGCATGAGCACCTTAGTCTCTATATACTGGAGTGTGCAGCACTGTTCCAATCCTTGGCGAGAAAAGCTTCGCATATGCGCCATCCTCCAGAGCATACTGGTTTTATGCAGGAGCTATCGGACACGCAATTCCATGATACATTTATAGAATTCGGCTTCCACAACGATAACTTTCTCTTTGATGAGCCGGATGAAACTTGGTTTCAATTCGTTTCCTACCAACTAATTTCTGTTTTCAGTTAATAAACTTACCATAGAATTGTTGTTAAATGATCTTGAGTGCATCTGCGATGACGGCAGGGTAATGTTTGGCGTTTAGCAGGGAGTGGAACGCCTTGAAACCTAGTAAAGAGATAGATACGTCGCAATTGATGAAGTTTAGAGGGCCGCAGATATGGGATTTTATTTTTTTCCAGAAGCTGCAATGAATAGCAGATGAACAAGCGGGTGCTTGGCACATGCTGATCCATCATCAGCGAACGGGCTCATGCTTGCACTTAATGAGTTATGATGTGGGCCTAACTCATGATAGGACTGCATGGCCTAGAGTAGATGCGTGAGGAACGTCTCAGATATGACCAAGCAAACTGTAAAGCAGTAATTTTTCCTTGAGAGCGTAAAGCAGGTACGAGCCCGAATTCCCTGCTGTTCCTACGTAGACAGGGAGACGCTGATGAGCGTGCAGAGAGAATAGCCAATCAAAAGAGCTTCCGGTAATCGACATAGTAATAATCGGGATGCTTCCGAGCTTCAAAAGTAATATTGAGTCAAGATACTGAAGCCCCGGGATCACCGGGGGGGGGGGGGGGGGGGG